TCGTGTTCGACTCTAGGAGGCGGTGCTCATCCCCGTTTCCAAGCCATGGAGCCAGCGTTTTGTCCGAAGACAATATTCCGTGGTCACATGGCCAGTGCGACTTAGACACGGAACGCTGTTACCTTCCCACCGAAGTGGTCCCTATTAATCTACTTGCATTTGCATGCTTTCGAACCGCTAGGTTGGCAGGAGCTGGGACAAGCGACGGGCGCTCACTCCGTCGCGTGGATTCGATCTTACGACTGCTTGGTCTTCTGACCCTGCAGCACAGGCTTCTGCGGTTTAGCCCGCAGCGCCACCATGTCCCTTGACCATCTCATTAGCTGCAGTTATTTGCAAACTTAAATTGGAGAAGAAAGTCTTTGATCAGCAGCTGTTTTGTCACCACTGAACACCCATTGCACAGATGGAGCTACACAACAGAGTTTTGGCCAATAAGGCAACACAATTAATTGCTTGCAGCCTGGCTGTTGACAAGTGATAAACAATGAATGTCACAAGGTATTTTTAAAATGTAACATGTTGCATTCTGAGCCCTGCACTCTCTCTCCATCTCCTGTATCTTTTAACACACACAAATCCTCCTCACTTTCTGCTATCAGAGTGGTATCATCTGCATATTGGAGGTTGTTGATATTTCTTCCGGCAATCTTAATTCCGGTTTGGGATTCCTCCAGTCCGGCCTTTCACATTATGTATTCTGCATATAAATTGAATAAGCAGGGGGACAACATACAGCCTTGTCGTACTCCTTTCCCAATTTTGAACCAATCAGTTGTTCCATATCCAGTTCTAAATGTTACTTCCTGTCCCATGTCCCCCACACACAAATACACTATATGTCTTGCTTCTACCCTCACTGGAAAAAGAACCACAATTCAGTTCTCTCAAACTCTCTTCTAGACACTGGAGGAAGATTGCTTTGTCATTTGCTTCTACCACTTCTCCTCCCTCCTTCTCAGCAAGCAGAAGACATTCCTGCTGTGGATGTCTTTTCTCCCCAATCTCTTCTTAATGGGAGATCAAATTACTTTCCAGACTTCTTTCTCAACAAGGAATTTACTGGATTCATGACAAGTATCTAAAGCAGTGGACCAGACTGCTTTCATTGCTCTTAAATGGAAACATTACAGTCATACTCTTGGAAGGAATTTTAAGCATCATATGTTTTTAGGCATCTTTCTCTTGGTTATAACTTGAGCAAGAATAAATAATGTGCTAACAGATCACAATATATTCAGAGTAAGTGAGAAAGAAAGATGGGCTCTTATGCCAAGTAATTGCTAATTACTGCAGTAATTACTAATTCTCTCTAGCTCCTTCATGACTGCAGCCATGACCCAAGGTCCTGGGAGACATAGTTTCCATGTGTTCTCCTTCTCTTGGATGCCAAATAAAGAGCAGTTGCTTTCTGGTGTGATGCCTTATTAAAGGCCCATTAGTGCTTCTGACTGGCTAATTCCCTTTGGTATTAGTATTGCCACTGCTAATGAGCCCATTTATAGTATTTTAGTGGCAACTCTTTTCCTAACAAGTATGAGTTGCAGGGTAATGGTAAGGCTTAAAGCTGTTAGCTACAATTATACATATTTATATGTGTATGGTATATAGAGTAAACACATATTTCTTCAGCAATTTTAGCTAGTCAGCTGTGATGCACCCTAAGTTCCCCCGGTTTATTTCTTCACACAACCCAGGTTCACTTTAGGGAATGACACTTGTTTTAAACCCTTTCCGCCGCCACCAGAGGATTTCTCCTCACTCTATCAAATATGATTCTTAAATCAGTGTTATTCAATCAAACAAAGTTTATTAAAGTGTTCATAAATAAATCATATAAAGTAAATCATGGATGGACTTATTTCATTTAATCAATCAACTGTGCTTTAGTAACTTTTATATTTGCTTATGCGGAATCATGTTAATACAAGTTTCTATTCATTTCTTTTCTTATTCATTTCTTTCTCTGTCTCTCTATCACTCTTCACTAACACAAGACTGGTCCTGACTAAAACTCTAACTGATTCCTGACTGAAGTCCTCTCTAACTCCTAACTCATTTCTCTAATTCTCAACTCAGACTCTAACTGAGACTCTGTCATCCATTCTCTTAAATATCCTTAGTTCTGCCTCTTCTGTACAGCCATTGGCTCCTGAGTCAGGGTTCCATTGTAATGGGCAGGAGTGGTTCTTGACCTGTCCGTCACATCAGCTGATACTGTTATTCTGCTAGGCCAGGAGATTGCTGTGTCAGGTCTAATGCTGATTTGACATAATTAAATAGCCTGGCATCAGGCTACGAAACAATGAATGAAGACCCAGAAAATAGACAGCAAACCCAAAATTTGTACCCACATCTCTAGAAAATCTGTCATACACCCCTACCAGGGAGGATGATGGCACCAGCGATATACCCCACATGGAAGAAGGGTGCTATCAAACACATTATGATAGCTGCAGTGTTATGAATTGCTCCATCTTGTCCAGTCCCTGTCATGCAAAAATTTTGTCAGTGAGAGTCCTTAGCATTTTTTTCTCAGTGTCTTAATTCTTATTTCTCCTCCTCCCCCCCCATACCCAATGGAGTCCTGTTTCTGCCTCAAGAATATTCCTGTAAAAACATTATTTTGGTCTGTCAGAACAAGGTTGTTATGGTCCATAAACACAAGATATTTAGAAAGAACTATCTGATGGGCACACTGAAGAGCTAGTTACTGTATACTTATATTCGATGTAATGGTTTGCAGAGGTCATTTAATTATGATTCTCCTGATGCTGATGACATTCACATGTCATAATGTACAATGGATTTTATTCGGTTATTTCTGAATAGCTCCATTTAATCCTACTCTGGTGAGAAAAAATAGAAACAAAGTGATTGCTGAGTATGGAATATCAAATCTACCATCCCATTGTTGTTTTTGTAAATTGGTTGAAATCCTCTCATGTAAGTTTTTTCTAAAAGTGTGATGATGTCACTGGCAATGGGAGATTTTTCAGGCTTAATGACTTCCTCATCTCTTCAGAGACTTCTCTATCATGTTAATTATTTCATCATGGGGAAGCCTTGGGAGAGAAGGAGGAAGTCTTTCATTATTGAAAATTGCTGCCTCCAGGTGACATTACTAGCAGGGGGAGATTTTGGTAGTTGAAGACTTCCTCCACCCATCCCATGGCTCCCATGGAATGGAACTAATTGTCACAGGAGAAAAGAGGGAAGTCTTTACTTACCAGTTACTGCTGTTGACTTAATCACCTTTCTGCAGGTGTAACTTAATGATATAAAACTTGGCCTTTACATTTTACAGAGAAAACTAAGAAGAAGAAATAGCCTATATATTGTTTTTGTTTAGATTAACATTCAGTTATGGGATTTCTCTCTTCTGTAGGTGAAATGAGAAATGACTTGTATATCACAATAGAAAGAGGAGAGTTTGAAAAAGGAGGAAAAAGTGTGGCCAGGAATGTTGAAGTAACAATGTTCATTGTGGACTCAGGTGGTCAAATTTTAAAGGTATTGTCCCTCTATTATTTTTGCTCAACCTTCCCTATTGCATATTTTATTCCAAACTGACATTTTCTTTAGTGAGAGACAACCCGGAGATATTTCACAAAGAGAAATTGTACACTAGCTATTTGTGAGGTAAATGTGTTAATAATCTGAAATATGCTTCCAACCTCTGATTATGCCCATGCAGCTTGTGCAGCCAAAGTGAACACAAACTTCACATGTATATCTTGTTCAGCCCCTGTTTTTTACATGCCAAAACCAACAGAAAATGTGAGCTCTTACTGTCACCTTGCTGGAGTGCTAAACATGTCTGGTGAGCAGTGTGCTGCTTTGATAACAAATTGTATAGAAAATCTGACTCAGAATAGTACAAGGATTATACTTCAAATTCAATGGTGATGTCGTTTGGCACAATTTGAAGTTATAATTTCTAGGTTTCAGTTATGTGCTGTACTGTGTCTCTGTAAATGCATCTTGGCAATCTGAGTCAGAACCTTACCACATTTTCCAAAGATAAATTGTCTTTACCCAGCCTGTTAAATGTGTCACTGAAAGGGCTCCACCTGGGTTTCCTGTCTGCAGGCAGCCTGATTGAAATGCATGCAGCTGGCCTGATATGTAAATTGTAAACCTTAAGGGGTAAATCACGAGAGAAGGCATATTTACGTGACCTAAATCCTTGGAACACTCTTTCACACTGACACAGAGATTAAGTCAATTAAATAAATGGCTGAGACTCCAAAGAAATGCTCACTATTAGAGATGCGAGTATTCATATACGAATATCCACGCATAGCTGGCGATAACAAGGGTCCAGCCCCATGGGGCTGGATGGTCCACTCGCTGATCCGCTGCTGCTGCAATTCTTCCAATGGCTTTGCAGATCGTGATCTGCAAGCCACTCTTCGACCTTGCAATGAGGCTTGTCCTCCCACCTCCTGCCAGGAGTGTCTAGCCGATCGTGATCTGCGGAGCCATTGGAAGAATTGTGCCATCCACAGCAGTGGCAGATTGGTGAGTGGACCGTCTGGCCCCATGGGGCTGGCCCCTTGTTATCACCACCTGTGCGGGGACATTCATATACAAATATGAATACCTCCATCTCTACTCACTATACTAGTGTAGAATAAAGACTGGCTGTTGGGCCACAAGTTGATCTGAAGTGGTAAAGAATGCACAATTGAAGTGGGGTCATAGGTTGTTTTTTTTTAATGTGACAGGGTGAAAAAATGTCAGAGAAATCAAAGGTAATTGGAACCGAAGCCCCTAGCAATACCTGAATTTTAGCACTTGCTCCTCCATCCAAGAAACTCTTATTGAGAAGTCAGTATGTTAGTAGTAGGGTGGTGAATCAAAAGATCTCCCTGAACCATGAGAAAGGATTTGGTTCATGTTTGTTCACAAGCTGAGTACCAACTGTTCTTACTATGTTTTATGCTGGGTTCAGATTACGTACTCTAGTCACTGCTTTGCTTCAACACTGATGGACAGAACATGGGCCTGGCAAAGGTCCATAAAACAAGGCCTTTGATCCAGCAGAAGCTGTCTCTGAAAGGAACGGGCGTCACTTTTGTGGTGGATCCAGCAGATGGAGATAGAGACAGGGGAAGAGATGAGGTTTTTGTTTTTAGCTTATTTTATTTTTGGATACTCTGTTTCCTTTGCAGCGTTCTCTGCTACCTCCCATACAAATACCTCCCATACATCAAATGATACCGCTACCCTGTGGAAATTGCAATGAAAAGGGAAAATCAGATGAGATTACTTCTTTTTTGTTTTGGGGAGCTGAAGGTGCCCCATTCCAGATGAACAAACTCTGCTTTCAGATCTTTGGATGCAGTCCAAGGATTTGCCCCCATTATTGATCAGTGACATCGGAAGCAATGTAGGGTATGCTGGTTTTAGAGCAGCATGCATGGAATGTACATAAACACACAAACTGTGCTTGGTTTGGACCCTCTCATGCATGAGAAGAGCCCATGAGAATTTGATATTTCCATAGATCCTTTTTTTCGCTTTTTCTAGGAAATTTGCTATCCCTTTTCACTCGATTGCTTTTGCTCTCTTCATTTTCTTTATTAGGATTTTATCTCCTTCGGCTCAGGAGAGCCTCCAGCCAGTGAATACCACTCCTTTGTACTGTATCACAACAACAGTCCCAGGTGGGCGGAGCTGCTGAAACTTCCTATTCCTGTGGATAAATTCAGGGGAGCACACCTTCGCTTTGAATTCCGACATTGTTCCAGTAAGACCTATTAATAAGTGGCAGTGCTTTGGAGTTGCATTAGGCTGTCTTAGAGAGCTTTTCAAAGGCATTTTGTGCCTCATGGCTTATAAAAGAGTTGCTGATATTGTAAGTCTGTGAGGGGTGGGGAGGATCTCCGTCAGGCATCACAGTGCAAACACTAGCTACCCACTGATACTAACAACTTAGCCTTAACAATGCTTTGCATAAAAAGATACTGTATATATTATTTCAAGACTGTGTGTTGTGTTGAAGTCTTTCAATGCTAAATCCCAGGACACAAGTGATACTCATTTTATTTAGAGATTAAAAAAAAACTCCATTAGGACAAGACACAAATAACAACTCTATCAACAGAGAATAATGTTAGACATACTATAAGTTAAAAGCAAGCTGGGGATCCTTCAGCCCTCCAGATGTTTTGCATTCCTATTGCTGCAATCCATTCCAGTTGGGCCATGCTGGCTAGGACTTCTGGAGGTTGAAATCCAAATTATTTGGAAGGGCAAATGTTCCCCATCCCTGTGCTAAAACCCTGCTGCTTACACGGGCTAGCTACCAGGGAGAATAGTATGAAAGTTATGGGGAGACCAAGCATGTTGGCCAGTGAGTCTGAACTGTGGAATGATCACTTTTATGCTTTGTAATAGGAACAAGTAACAGAAAGAGCAGGAGGAGAGGGGAATAAGATGATATTAAAGGGGGGCAGTGGTTTAACTTCAGTAGTATAGTCAAGCCTCTGCTCTTGACCTGAGTTTGATCCTGATGGGTTCAGATAGCTGGCTCAAGGTTGATTCAGACTTCCACTCTTGCAAGGTTGGTAAAATACTCACCTAGCTCACTGGGAAGGGGGGGGCACAAAGCACTCCCTTTATGTTATATTATACATAATATAATTTATGTAATTATGTTATAAACCACCCAAACAGTGCTCTGGCCTTATGGTGCAGTATATAAATCGGAACAACATTAAAAGAAAAGTTACAGTTCCCCGTATCTTTGGGTAATTAGATGTCTTTCTCTTTCTTTCCTTAGATTTCTCGTTCTTTTCTATGGAAAAAATAGACTATAAAAAGGCCACTGTTTTTTTTAAATCTCTTCTGTTATACATGACTGTTGTAGCAAGAATTTCTCTAGAAATGCTCATACTAATTAGCAAGTATAACTTCATGATCCAAGTTCTGAATGTGTTGCCATTCGTACTCTGGTTAGGATATATAATCATGTGAAAAACAAAGTACACCCTCTTTTAATTCTATGGTTTTATGCATCAGGACATAATAAAAATCATCTGGTCCTTAGCAGGTCTGAAAATTAGGTAAATACATTCTCAGGTGATAGTTTTCCCTATCCCAAATGGGACCAGAAAGAATGATAGTAATATTTTTCATACTTCAATAATTGTTTTTAAAAAGCCCTGTGGTCCTTGCATAAAATATGAAAACAAGAGAGGGCCAAACTTTTATTAGAAAATTAATTTCTATGATTTTTTTAGTTGTCCAGTAAATGTATCATCTGTCCTTGTCTTCAGATTAATTTAATGTATTGCAGTTATGATGCTAGCAGCCTGGTCCTCCTAAGCAAACTATCTTGAAAGTAAATTATGTGGAAGTAAATTTGATTTTCTTCCATTATAAATGTTTAAGGATTGAGATATATTTTTTTAGTAGTTGGTATAATTCTGCAATATGGGTGGAACAATGATTGTATTTATCATATGAATATGTATTTTATGTTTTGAATTGTTGTTAGAATAGGCTCAGATCAGAGGAGAGTGTTGCCACAGGGAAGTGGCTCCTAGCAGCCTCTTCCTGATCAATCCTGGCCATGGCATATCAAACTCCTCCTTGTACAGATTTTGGTCATCTTACTGGCAGCCTCTGATGATGCCAAATTCATCTGCAATCAGTGGCAAACAGTCATATCTCATTCCCATTACACTGTTTAAGTCTTAGGCCTACATCTGACATCATGCCACAGGTTTAACAATTGTGAAGGCCTAGCATAATGTCATCTAGCATAATTCAACTTCCTTTCACCCTTTTCCCACTGCAACCTTCTGTGGCCTCTGAAAATTGACCCCAGAGGGTTTCACGGACCTCTTATTTTGGAGCTCCATGGTGGGAAAAAGGCATCCTCAGGGTCGCCCCCTCCAATTTTACTCATGCAAGTATATCCAACAGCAAAACCACTCCATTGGCCTTAGTTGTGACTTTTGAGTGTTTGACTGCATTCCATTATTCTTTGTACAGGTTATAGCTGAGTTTAAGGATGGATCAGTGTGGGAATGTCATTTTTGGAAGCCTCCTTGGGGCTATAGTACACTGGCTATCTGACTGGAAAAAGTGTCAAGTTTCTGTGTAATTTCAGTTTACATTGAATCTATGCAGTATCATTTCCATCCTGGAATGTGGTGGATTTTTAATGTGTATGTGTGTTTCAGCAAAAGAAAAGGGGGAGAAGAAGTTGTTTGGTTTTTCTTTCGTCCCTCTGATGCAGGAAAATGGAAGGACGCTGCCAGACGGCACTCATGAACTCATTGTTCACAAGGTAATTTTCTGTTAGAAATTAGAGCAAAACACAGTTTATTCAAATAAATGCTCCAAATACTGAGGGCTGCCCTCAGAATCATGCAGATTGACTCAGCTGCCAAAAGAACACTAGACTTGTCATTGTGCTAAATAGTATCTCATCATGTCCTTTCAAGCTTGTTGGTTCTTCAAATCTTGTTATGCACATAATGCTGTACTTTGTACTGGGAATAATTTATCCCTTGGATAGCACCCATGTTTTGCTAATGGGCTTCATCTACACGTTTGACAGGGATGGCAACCGAGTTCCTATCTTTACCAAGGAAATATTTTTCTCTCCTCCTCATCTTCCTTGTCTGGAATCTTACTTCTATTTGAGAAACCTCTCTCTCTGGTGATGCTGTTTCTGCCTTGCAAATGCCTTTTTTCTTCATTATTTGTCCAGATAATACTTTGCAACAAATATGTGTGTGTTAACAGTTCAACTTTTGTGGGCTTGAATATACATACATAAAGCTAAAATAAGACACAATAAAAATGGTAAAATCTCTCTGAATATAGATACATATTTCTTATTCTAGGACCGGTTAGTAATATTGCAAGAAAACTGAAAGCTTCTGGCTCACTGGATTAAATTGTGCTGTAGTTCTGGCCTTATGTTCTTTACCTTTCAGAAATATCACCCTTCTTTGAATGATTCAACAGCTCAGTTTGATTTTGCAATGATCATCTAACTCTAAATTGTGTTCTATCTTTTAGAAAAATGTACACTTGCCAGTTGCATAACAACATTCTTTGAAAGATGCAGGAATGCTAAAATGTATCATTTAGGCCTTCACAATTGTTAAACTAGAGTTTCTATAGAAAATAACCTTGCTTGTTTTATTTAGCACCTTCTGTGTGCATGTTGCTGTACAAAGAATGAGAGGACAAGTCCTTGCTCTAAGGGCCTTGCAAGCTAGACATCAGGTTAAGAGAGAAAACAGAAGAAGCAGAGGTAAATGAAGGCAAGAATAAAAAGGGGAAGCAATTATTGGAGTCATGCATAGGCTCAGTTGCAATGGTGCTATTAAGATAGGACTTTGAGGCAAAAGTCTAGCATCCACTCAGATAGAATCAGCAGGAGGATCCTCTAATGTAAGTCTGGCTTACTACATCTTAAAGTTAGTAAAGTAATTCTTTTTATTATTATTATTATTAGATTTTTATCCCGTACCTTCTAGACAAAGTCTACTCAGGGTGGCTGTTGCCATCTAAAGAATCTTTCTTTCTTTCCCTGTCTCACTCCCCGCCCCCTCAAATGCACACAGAGAGACATGTACACTGATTAAATCTAAAGTCTAAAATTACCTAATCATATTGCTGTATACTTGTAGTAGTTACAGGATAGGGGACAGGATGGTGTCAATAAATGAATGGGAATAATGAATATTGAGAAAAGATTTGAAGGTCATCAGAGAGATGGCATTGTGGAGTCACTGCACAGCTGGACAGTAAGAATGAAGGATGGAAAATGTAGACCTGGGTGTTTTCAGTGCATACATTTACAGAAAGCCGTGGGCCTTGATGAGGTGACTCAAGGACAGTGTGTACTTTGAGAAAGAGAGAATAGTAGAGCACTAGGAAGAGGACACTGGAGGAACCAATGGAGAGAGGAAATTAGTGTATTCTATCATTTTCCAATGAAAAATGGTTTTACCTGACCGCTTTATTCTGCATTTTATTTCATTTTTATGAAGTGAATTGAAATAACAATTTAATGTCCTTGTTCTCTCAGTGCGAAGAAAATATAAGTCTTCAGGATTCTAGTCGCTACCTCAAATTCCCCTTTTCAAAGGGGCATCTCCTTGCAAACAACCACCCAGCAATAAAAACCACTAGGGAATCATTCTGGATCACATCTTTCCTGTGTTCAACTAAGCTCACACAAAATGGTAGAGTAATATGTTGATTACTAGTATTCTATTTTGTGGTTTTGTCACCATGGGAATACATTGTAAATTTAATCTTACTAAGACGAACGCAAATAACATTGATTAAACCATTGGTTTTATCAGCCATTGAAAAAAGGTGTTTGTGAATAGAATCAAAACTGACATAGGTTTATTGTTGTATAGTTTGTTTGTTTGTTTAAAAATCTGAATTGTAGCATCATTAATTTTCTTTAATTTCTCATTAATTGCTATATGCATTTTTCCTGTTAAATTGTTTGTTTTGCAACTTAGTTCAGCAGTAGACAAAATAATGTGATAGCTATCGGGTTTGTCTAATGACCTCTAAATGGCAGCACTTGGAAGTAGTGTGTTTCATGTAACATGCTACTAACAAGGGGTTAATGACACCCTTTGTTTTCAGACCTTCAGCACTAAAATGTCTTCTTGTATAATAAGTAACTCATTCATTATTTTAAATTATAGATTTGTTTATTGTTATTTTGGGGAGGAGTTGACTATTTTCTATTTATTTTGTCTTCTTAAAATTAAAGTGCATTTAGAGCATATTACTACTGTATTACTTGTAAGATAAAAATAATGTAAGGTTGACATATACTTTTAAAAAAGTAACAACTACTGGTATGTTTTAAATTTGAGGGGTAAATTTCCAAGTTCTGCTTGAATGGTTACGAAGACTAGTGGTTCCGCTGGGATCTAATATAATGCATCTGCACATCTACACCCTATGAAAATGTAGACAGCAATCATTTACATCTGTTACTTAGAAGTAAAGTTCATTAGGTTACTCCCAAGTAGGCATGTATTAACATTACAGCTACACTGATTTATGTGGTATTTTTGCTAGATTGAAATCCATTGTCTTTCTTTCTGTTCTTTGTAAAATTGATGTAGGTATCATATCACACATTTGTTTGACACACTGATTAGATGCCTGTTATGCTGTCTGGTGTGTTCAATTTGTAGGAGACATGCTTGACCTTCTCAAATGGCGGGCCCATCCAGAAAAAATTGCAGGCTGCCTCTCAAAACTGAAAGAAATTGATGGGTCAGAAATTGTAAAGGTAAAGGTTATCTTCAGTTTGGGGTACATTTTGCCTGGGAGGACGAAACAAAGAACATTTGCACATAAGTGTATCCTAAATGTCCTTTTATTCAACTAGTTTCTCCAAGATACACTCGACACTTTATTTGGGATTTTAGATGAAAATTCTCTGAAGTACGGCTCCCAAGTATTTGATTGTTTGGTAAGGCATACTTCATTGTTCTTTCTGAACTTAACTTGAATTTTTGAAGTTGGCTAAAGAAAAAGGCACTAATAAACACCAATTTTATTATTCTTAGGTTCACATAATTAACTTGCTGCAGGACAGTAAGTTTCATCATTTTAAGCCAGTTATGGATACCTACATTGAAAGTCACTTTGCAGGAGCACTGGCGTACAGGTAGAAGTATATGTATACATATATATATATATCTAAATGGTTTCAAATATGGCAGTAATTAATAATTTGATTGACTGAAGTGGAATAAATCAACACTTTAATTAAATTACTACTTTGAGAAAAAATAGTCCTGTGCTAATTCAATTTCTTAATAAAAGTCTCTTATCTTTTACCAGAATTATGTATTATTTATATATGGCCCTTAAACTTGAGCCTAAATAGAACTTAAATGAAATTCTCAATTTTCAGGTTTAAACAATGAATAGTAAAATGCATGGAAGACAATCAGAAAAGGCAAGATCCCACACTGACTTTGTTGAGAGTTATTAAGCTAAAGGCTTTTCTTGGGGCATAAATAAAACTGTGGATTTGCCAAACAAGCCAGAATATTAGTGAATATTAGTTTTGGAGAGTGGTCTTCAAACCAAGAAAGGCTCTGTACCCAGAATCAATGATGTATTTCCACTGGAGCCTGCTGATTCTGCCAGAATTGATTATCTGGCTACCTCCTATATCTTCTTGGTCATCCCCAAAACCTGCTTGGGATGGGCTGGGAAACCCTCCAAAGCAGGCCCTTTTCTGCTGCATGGTGTGGGAAAATAGGGGCAGAAAGCTCTGTGCCATTGGCACTGGTTACTGAAGTGCATTGATGGTGTAGAAGATTGGAGGATGTAGGCAAATCAAATACCTCAGAGATTATTTAGGGTGGGAGCTCTAGACCACACTAACCCGTTTCTTGCTTTGGGGCTACTTTACTTCATAATTTACACACTGTGGGTGTGACATTTTATTAGAACCTTGTGGAATCAGAGGAGGACATTATCTTTTACAGCCTTGATCCGCACGGTCTATCAAGAAAAAGGCTTTAAGATGTAAAAAGATTCTTGTTGCCATGGTGTGGTTAATTTAGCATAAGGCTTTCCTTGATGAGGATTTAGTTTGTAAAAAGTTTCCTTGTTAAGAACAGTTGCAGATGTCCACAACTAGTGAGGCACGTTAACCAGAGGAATATAAAAAGCTGCCTTGCAACAAGATTAACCTTTCCTCTGGAAAGTTTCTTCAGCATTTCAGACAGAAAGTATTTTCTAAGCCCTACTAGGAAGTGCCAGGAATTGAAGCTAGGACCTTCTGAATGAAAACCATTATGCTATGGCACTCACCGTGAAGATAATAATGTGAAGTTAAACTTTCCAGATCATTTGTCCTTCTCCTCCATTTTAGAATGTAAGGGTGCTAGGACAAGGGTGGAGAGACCGCTGGGAGAGAAAGAGGGAGTACGTGCAGAAATTCCCTCGTATGTGTTCCTGTCATCATAACAGTATTGCTACTCGTAACTTGAATTATGCCAAATTAGCTTTCAGTGTACAGTATGTCTTTGACTTTGGGATAAGTTTCCTTAATTTTTCTGTACAGCTGCTTATGTGGTTTATTTTTGCCCCACTTATTCTGAATAAAGCTGGCTATATGTTCATAAACAAACAAAAATTAGATTCAGGTTTTTTTATCAACAAGAACATTTGGCCTACATCGTTAAATTCATATAGACATGTTCATAAACAAACAAAAATTAGATTCAGTTTTTCATCAACAAGAACATTTGGCCCTACATCGTTAAATTCATATAGACAGGAGAAAAAGGTTATTATTTTCTCTCCCCCCCCCCCCCCACTCTACTCAACACATGGGATTTCATTGTATCACTCTCTAAAACCACAGTTTTATTATCATTTACCTGGATGCAAGTTACATTGAACCTAACATGCCTGGCTTCTACACTTATGTTAATTGAAACAGCACTGTTTTCATTGTTACAGTGCCTGTAAAATGGCAAAGTCAAGGAGACATGAATCTGGTGGAGATCCTATTTGCAGGGCTATTGAACTCTTCTTCCAGTTAGATTTGGCTCACTTCATACTGGCATTAAAAGGCTTGTTTAGAAAAGTCTGTTCCACTGAGTTTTTAAATATTACTGCTGCCCTTTTGTTTTGGGAGGGTTTCCTGAGTTATTGCAATGTATCTACCTCATGGGTTTTGTTTGGGGTTACTTTAGTTTAAGATGGTTGTATCTTATTATTGTCATGATTTTTATTGCAACTTGCTGCATGCCCTTATTGAATGGGGGGAATGATAAGGAGAAATAAAGAACTGAAGTATAGGAATCAGTTATGTAAATTATGCAAGTCTGACTTTGTGTAACCCTTTAGTTGATTAGTTTAAGGTACTCCATTAGACTTTTAACACCTCAGCCTGGAAATACGTTTTGTTTTATATACTAGAGACCTCATAAAGGTGCTGAAGTGGCATGTTGATCGAATAACAGACGTGGAAAGACAAGCACACAACCTGGAAGTATTAAAGGTAAATAGAGATGGGTGAGCAATTGTTTCATTTTTATTTCAGTGTAAACATCCAAGTTCATGCTTCTTGATCTGGAACATGAGCTGGAATTGAATTCTATACTTTATTTAAAAATAATAATAGTGTTGCCTAGCACCCTTCAAGTCTAGAAGATCTGTTACAGCATGTCTTGTTTGCACAGACAACTTTCTCTGACGGAAAAGTAATAAAGGGTCATGTGCAATGTTCCCTCTAATTTTCAGCCCTGATTGGCAGGGCTCTACTCCCCTGTGCATGACTCGCACCCCCTTTGTGCGTGACTCTGCTCCTCTACGCAGGGTTCAGTTGTGGCCAGAACAAAAGGAGCCAAAAACTGTTGCTGTAGGTGTTTGGAGGAGGAGGAAAGCTGCACCTGGGGGGGGGGGAGTGGTGCTCCGCTTGGGAAGTCATGCACCTTAGAGGGAACCTTGGTTATGCGGGGGGGGGGGGGGGAGTGGTGCTCCGCTTGTGAAGTCATGCACCTTAGAGGGAACCTCGGTTATGTGCATCTTTAAGACTAACAGATTTATTTTAGCATAAGCTGTTGTCAACATACTGCCCAATTTTTCATTCTGAGAAAATGGGTTGTATATCTAAGAAAGGCCATGCTATAACAGCTCTGCCAGTCATAAAAGCCCCACACAGCTCTTTGTTGTTTTGCAGCAAAACACAAATATGGCTGCTATATAGAAGATTCTTTTTCAAATCTGCAATACATTCCTTTTCCTGCCAAAAGTAAGCTGTGGCCAGAATCCTGTTCTACACCAGCATAAGCGCAGTTAGTGTCAATTCTCTCTCATGGATAGCAATGGTTTAAGAGCCTGGATGCAGAACCAAAGGCTGGGAGTTCGATTCCTCACTGTGTATCCTTCACAGGGGATGGACCCAATCCATAGAGTCCCTTCCACCTCTGCAGTTCTAAAATAATTATTAGTAAGTACCATGTTTCCCTGAAAATAAGACAGTCTTATATTAATTTTTGCTCCAAAAAATGCATTAGGGCTCATTTTCAGGGGATGTTTTTTTTCATGTTCAACAATCTACATTTATTCAAATACAGCCATGTCATCTTCTTCTGGTTGCTGCACAATGGTGGGGGTGGAGTTTCACTTAACTGGGGCTTATTTTGGGGGTAGGGCTTATATTACGAGAATCCTGAAAATTATAGGTAAAGGTAAAGGTTCCCCTTGACATTTTAGTCCAGTCGTGTCTGACTCTAGGGCGTGGTGCTCATCCCCATTTCCAAGCCATAGAGCCAGCGTTTATCCGAAGACAGTTTCCGTGGTCACATGGCTAGTGCGGCAATACATGGAACGCTGTTTACCTTCCCACCAAGGTGGTACCTATTTATCTACTCGCATTTACATGATTTCAAACTGCTAGATTGGCGAGGAGCTGGGACAAAGCGACGGGAGCTCACTCCGTCACGTGGATTCGATCTTACGACTGCTGGTCTTCTGACCCTGCATCACACAAAGGCTTCTGCGGTTTAGCCCGCAGCGCCACCACGTCTCACCTTGAAAATTATACTAGGGTTTATTTTCAGGTTAGGTCTTATTTTCAGGGGAACAGGGTAGTACTAGAATTCAGAAATACCAAGCACAATCTATCAAAATTAGAAAAACAGTGACTGGTAATATATAACAGGTACGGATTTTAACCAAAAACCTAACTATCTGTTGTTGTTGTTGTTGTTGTTGTTGTTGTTGTTGTTGTTGTTGTTTATGTTGACATAAATCCTCAGTAGGATTCTGGGCACTATATTTGAAACAGTGCATTTAAAATTTGGAAAATTGAGCATAAAAATGCCTGCTTGAATGAATGAGTGTGTATGTATGTTTTAAAAAAGGCATGAGATAAGGTGTAAATTTTCACTTGGAATGGAGAAATTAGCTCTGAATATTTAGTCAACTGTTACATATTAGTATGTGTAACTGCATAGTGTAATTGTAGGACAAAATATGTCATGCCAGTGTTTTGAGGATATAAGGAAGGAAATTTCTGTCAGATAGATCATCAGTGGGCACAAATAAAAGAGTTTACATTAATGATGGAGGAAGGTTGCTCCTGTTGTGTTATATGGTACAGAGCTTTGTGAACTTAGTAAATCTTTAACTTCTGAGTTGGAAAAGATACAAAGCTCTCTTAAAAAGAAGGTCTTGAATCATCCTGTAGGTGCTCCCATGGTGTTCACTTCAGGCCTGAATACAGGTTTCGCTTTTAAACTTCCATAACAGGATTTTAGTTTTGTCAGCTTCATGGAAGCTTTGCATTCTTTGGCCAGGGAGCAAACATGAATAGATTGGGTTCCAGTTAATTCCCAAACTACCAACTAATGTATGTTTCAGAAAGCCTTTTTAATTGACATGTTAGCCATTCATGCTACAAGATTTCCTATGATAATCATGTGTCATCAAAGTCAATTCTGACATATCACAACCTTTTCCAGGATTTTTCAGGTAGAGAATGCACTGAAACTGAAACCCCTGAGCTACCAGCCGCTAATACAGTCTTCTATTAAAACTGATTCTCAAACAGCTGTATAGTGACAATAACCCTAGCCCCCTGCAAAATCGCCTACATATGTTGAGCTCCCCATAGAGCATCATTCCTGTGTTGGATTCTTTATTTCTGCTACAAGCTAGTTCATTGTCTATCTTGTTTTTGTTTATATACATATCATTGGGGCATTATTTTACTTTATTTCTTATTTCATTTGTAGTTCAATGGAACAACAATATTACATTGTTTGTTTTTATCTTCATATTTGTAGGCACAAGAATATATATTTAAATATATAGTCCAGTCTCGGAGGCTGTTTTCTCTTGCTACTGGTGGACAGAATGAGGAGGAATTCTGCTGTTGTATTCAAGAGCTTCTGATGTCAGTGCGATTCTTCCTTTCCCAAGAAATCAAAGGGACTAGTGCTTTATCTCAGGCCCAAGTAAGTTAGGCAAGCTTCTGCTTTCAGAAGTTGCTGCTACTACTCATGTTTCCTATGTGCATGATTGTTAAAATGGAAATACACAGTTCTGCCTTCTCATGTTTCTAATTTATGTCCAGCTATAATGACATACATAGTATGTTTTATATTATGCTGTCAATTTGCTGATGGCAGAAGATCAGGCATCTGGCAGTAATTTTTTTCTTTATCAAGCTTATTGGTTGAGTTAATAAAGCTGTGAGTTCATTTTGTTTCTCTATGTCTTCCAGGAATATTTTCAGTCTAGCGCCCTATTCTGTTACTAGCTTTGAAACATGCAGTCCTTTTTGTTCATCTGCACAATAATAGTTTTGACCTCCTAGGATTTTACAACAACAACTACTAACAAGCAGTAAGGCAAATTATCATCTCTTTCATTTTACACACTAAAAAAGGGGAAATTTCCACAGCCCAGTTGTTCTGGCAAATGAAAGAAATAGTAATGCTTAAGAAACACATTCCCTACCTCATGTCTTTGATAATCTCAGATTCATAAAATGCTGTTTCTTTCTATGGTCTTCAGGTGGCCTTTCTCAGCTCTTTTCCGGCTGTCTATTCTGAGCTTTTGAAGCTCTTTGATGTGAGAGAAGTGGCAAATTTGGTCCGGGATACTCTGGGAAGCTTGCCAACCATCACAAATGCGGATGAATCCCTTCAGGCTGTGAAACTCCAATGTATTGGGAAAACAGTAGAGAGCCATCTGTACACCAATCCAGGTAGGATGCCAAGCACATTGCTGCTATTCTAAAATCAGTGTCTGACATTTAGTGATATTAATTCTAGTAGAAATAACACACTTAATAAAACATTAAACTTCCATAGAAAGTATTTATTTTAACTGACATTTACACTAAAGTGCCCAGGACCAGAATATCTTAAGAACATCCCTTTATAGTTGATACTAATCCAGGAGGCAGTGGAAGACAGGAGGGCCTGGTGTGATCTGGTCCATGGGGTCACAAAGAGTCGGACACAACTTAGCAACTAAACAACAACAACAAGAACATACAAATACTAAAAAGGATCAAATAAATACCACACTAAAAATGGTAAACAAAAATAACGTCAAAAACAAATTCAAAACAGTAAGGCCCAACAATCCATCTAAAAAACCCACTCAGACAGCCAGTCACTGAGGGAAAGTTTGCCTTCTGCCCTCTTCTTTCTCTTCAGGCAAGCCTCCCCATAGTAACTAGCTACCTGTGTGTAATTTTTTAGATGGATTGTTATGCATTATTGCTTTGACTAGATTTTTAATACTACTTGGGTTTTCTGTTTTCGTGTTTTCCATTTCTCAGAGTGACATTTGGTATTTTAAAAATATTTATATACTTATTGTTCTTAACTTTAATATTGCCTTTTAATGATGTAAGATGCCTCTTTATACTCGTTCTTAGCTTAAATATTGTCTTTTAATTATCTTAATCACCATTGTATACTGTTTTCAACTTTAAATATTGACTTTCAATATGGTAAGCTGCCTTGGTCCCTTTTCAAGGAGAAAAGTGGGATAAAATCTTATAAATAAATAAATAATAAATAAATACATAATTCCTAGACCTTTTTAGGAGGAGGCAGCCTAAATGCATCCTAAAAGATGCATTATCTCTTACATCTTTTATAAAGTTTCCTCATGTTCAGTCCCAGCTAGAAAATAATGCTTTTCCTACTTCTTTTTCACCGCCCCACCTTTACAGAAGTTTAAAAATACACTTCATTCAGTTGTCTAAAGTATACTGATCTGGAAAAATAAAGTGTGGTATCCTGGGGTAAAGCCAAGACTCACTGAGATCTGAAATGTAATTAAACTCCCTTGTCTCAGAGGGTGAAAATGAACACTTTAGAACATGGGAATATGCTTTGCTTTTGAGTGTGGGGAAAATAGCATGGTAAAGGAAGAATCCGTAGGTTGAGGAAACAGATTGCTCAAACTTCTGGACAAAAGAAGCTTTCTGCGACAAGTAACTTTCTGTTCCAAAGCTAGATTTACCTGCTAATCAGATTTGTATAGCACTGAGGGGGTTTCATGTTTTCTGCTGCATTTAATTTCCCAAGGCATAGAATGAAGCTGGCTTTTCATCACTACAGAGGTGTTTTACCCGAATCTTCACTAGGTTGGATTGGATATATTGGGCAAAATTCTCTTGCTTAGCTGTGTGGGTGCAAGTCGATGATGTGCCTGCAGTAGCTACAAAAGCACCAAAGACAGAAGTGCTATTTATGAAGCACTTCCGCAAGCACATTGTGCAGCAGTGGCAGTGGGAATAGTGCAAGTGATTGTGCAGTCAAATCATGAAGTTCCCTGATGCCAGGTGCAATGCCTGGCACATTTACAAAGGCATAACAGCTGTACAAACACACACACACACACACACACACACATATATATATGTTTGTGTGTGTGTGTGTGTGTGTGTTTGTACAGCTGTTATGCCTGTGTGTGTTTGTGTCTTTTCCTGTTGTTGTTGGTTTATATGTTTATATATATAACGAGCAAGGGTCAAGGGACCTGGGAATCCAAAGGCATCTAAAGAGGGACTGGACCTCAACTTTGGTATGCAAGAGGCATGGGGTATGTGTCCTTCCACATGTTGTTGTTTTTCCACTCATCAACCTTAGCCAATATCAGCAATGATGAAGGTTAATCAGGGTTGTACCCCCAAAATATCTGGGGGGCCACACAGTCCTCATCAGGTGACACAGTGGTTAATTTGCTTGTTTTTGAGTGTTAGAAGTTTCCTTCCATCTCCAGGTGCCCCCCTTCATACACAACCCCTCCCCAAAGTGAGATTGGCAGTGAGGGACTGCTTTGTGAACAACTAAGTTGTAACTATTTTCACAAGCATTGCTAGACCATGGTTTGATATTCCAAGAAAGAAGGTGACCGCTCCTCAAGTTCCCAAGCCCTCTTCATCTCCTCCTCTGGTGCGGCGGTGAGGAGATCTCAAGCTTCTCCTTTTTGTTTGTCTGTTTGTTTTTTCCAGTTTGATTGAACTGACCATTAAATGGTGTTTTTTTGTATTCGTAGAGAAAACAATTCAAAGTCATAAACCATGATTTTGTAATTAGTTTGTTTCAGTTTCCCACAGTAAAGAGACATTTGCACAAAATTGTAGACTGTACATAATAACAAATGGAGCTTCTCTGAAAGAGGCAAGGGAGATGTGTGAGCTTGTCAGAAAGGCAAAGTGAATCTTCATACTGTGCAGTGAAAGAACAAGCACCATGTGCCTGTGGAGGAATAAATCACATCTTTCACCAATCTAAGATATATAGTAGCTAAGGCCATTCAGCCTATTCGAGTGCACGAGTCAAAAAATCCTATGAGCAGCTCTCTCACTACCTGTGAGTAAAAATGTAATAATGACTAACAATTTGCTGCCTTTTCGTGACACCACAAAATCTGCTGCCTGGAGCAGCTGCTTTACCTTGCCTAATGGTAGGGTTGGTCCGATCTTGTGAGAAGTCTGTGCAGCCTTGTTCACTTGAGAGGGTAGAGTGTTCAAATTGCTCCTTAATGACTTTATTTGACATGAGAAAAAATGGCCACAGGGACCAAGTCAAATGGCTCATGATTTATTTCTATTTTCCAGAGTCCCGATGTATTCTACTGCCAGTAGTTTTGCATCACCTTTATATACATCTGCAAGAGCAAAAGGACCTGATTATGTGTGCACGCATCCTTAGCAACATTTTTTGCCTCATCAAGAAAAACAGCTCTGTAAGTACCAGTGGCATGGTGCAGAAATTCTATTTGCACAGTGTATTTCTCCCATTGTTCTATATTTGGTTCTGTTCCTCTCTCGCTCTCAAATACGACTTTGGATAGCATTGGCAGTAAGTCTTTTTGTGCCTTATATTTGATATTAGTGAAAAGCTAGTTTAAAGATTCCACTGATTGTTTTTTTAAAAAAGTTATTTATTTTCATACATTTAGAGTGTCACAAGCAGAAAGAGAAACACGTGCAAAGAAATTGATAATGTTACTCATTTTAGAAAAGGGTTCGAGGATTGGGTGGGTGAGTTTGCTGTTGAGTAATGTCTGCACAGGACATCTGGTTTTAAGGGCCATTTCAAATTATTATGATTCCTGGGGGATAGTTTGAAGAGATGGATGTGTTTCCAGGGAAAGCTAATATGGTAGACAAACGTGGAGACATGAAAATGGTACAGTATTAACCCTATTATCCTGGTTATATGATGAGTGAGGTGGTGTGTTCTTATAGCCTGGCTCACTTGTCATAGAGTTGGAAGGTACAAGTCAAAATTCCTACTTAATGCAGCATCTGCTGCCTGTGATAGCATCACAAGCATCCCTGACAGTCGATCAGTCTTTGCTTAAATACCTCCAGAGAAGCAGAGGCTGCCATCTCCTAAGGCAGTCTGTTCCACACTGCTGAACAGCTCATGCCATTTGGAGAAGGTTTCCTTCTCTCAGTGGTTAACCCAGATCGTATCTCCTTTAATTTCTGTCCATTGGTTGCACCTCTGCTCTATGAAATCAACAGAAAGGAAATCTCCTGAAGACCTTCAGATAATTGAAGGGCACTATCACATCTCTCCTTAACCTTTTCTTTTCTAGGGTTTTTTTTTCTTTTTGTAGCTTTTCTCCGTTCCACCTGAAAGTATGGCTCACATTATCCAGAGTTTTTTTAAAACTGTCCTAAAACTTTCCATTTATTTTGAAGAAAAAAACAGGCCCAGGGGCCCAATGCATAACATGGCCCCAACATTAGGCCACTTCCTTGACTAAAAGGAACTGAAAATTTTTACAGTCCAGAGCAGGGCTTTGCAAGTGCCAGTTTTTCCTCCAAAATAAAGTAGCAAAAGCTTTAGAATGTTTTTTAAAGCATTCCTTGGCCTTAAAACTGTTCAGAAAGCAAATTTCCACTGACTTACATTTTAGTTTGTTTGAAGGCAGTAGAATGTATATTTTAATTTCACACATTCTTCTGTGTGAGATTAAAAGTGTTCAAAGAAGGCAGTTTCTCATGATGGCAGAGAAATAGATCCCTAATGCACTGAGTAAGTAAATGATACAGTCAAATATTTTATTTCTAAAAATCTGGGCTATTAAATCATGGCAGAAATTCAGAAAGGTAACTCTTTATACATATACACAACAGCATCTGAGGAGAGGAGGGGGAAAATTGCAAAGGCATGTCCAAAAATAGACCACTGACTTAAGTGTGGGAAATGTGTCCTTTGTGCTCTTTAATAATCTCTGTGTCTTTTACGGCCATCAAATATTTTATTTCTAAAAATCTGGGCTATTAAATCATGGCAGAAATTCAGAAAGGTAACTCTTTATACATATACACAACAGCATCTGAGGAGAGGAGGGGGAAAATTGCAAAGGCATGTCCAAAAATAGACCACTGACTTAAGTGTGGGAAATGTGTCCTTTGTGCTCTTTAATAATCTCTGTGTCTTTTACGGCCATCACGTTGCATCTTATCTATGGCAAACCTAGGTTTTTCAAGGTATATAAACTGTTTAAAGAGTAGTTTTACCAGTGCGTGCCACCTCCCAATGAGTTTCTGTGGCTGAGCTGGGATTTGAACCTATGTCTTTGCCCATTACTCTGTGTGCTACACAGCACTGTCTCTGTTTTAAGAATCTGGACATAGAAAGAAAAAAGACCGTAGTGATAGCAAGAAAGCACAGATATGCCTAGAAAATATATGCTGGCTTTCAAACTATTCTATGTCAATCTTATTAATGTTTCTGTAGAGGTGATAGGCCAAGCTACAAGTTTTCATTCCATTTTGCTTTTGAAATCAAATTAGAAAAGGGAACCATTATAGTTTCAGAGCTCTGAAAATTACAGTTTTGGATTGTAATTCCATGAATCCTCAAGTTGCCATTATAAGCAGTCATGTTATTTGGGAGATTCTGGCAGTTGGAGTCCAAAACTATAATGTTTCCAAGCTCTGGCCTCCTCTGGACGTTTAAAGGCAATGCAACAAATGTGTTGGGAGCAGGATTCTGGTAGCTGGTTCTGCTTCTGGCAACACAGTTTTATATGAACAGCGTAGTGCTCGCTCTGCAGACATTGTAATCATCAAAACACGGGTTTGGGCAGAGTCTGTACTTCCCTTCACATGCACATTCATCCTACCCACTCAAGAAAGTCTGGAAAGAGCTTTGCTTGTGGGCAATTATTTCAGGTAACTATCTAATCCATTTAGCTCACTTTTCTTTAAAAAAAACAACTAAAATGTTACTTAGTTAATTAAAAATGGCAAGGCTATCAAAGTCAGTAAAGCAGTTACCCTGTTTTTGATAGAATATATTTTCAGTTTTTGGCAAATCTAGAAAGAAATGTCCACCTCTTTGCCTTGAGTAACAGCTTGGCTTGTTAGTATTTAGCTAAGGAAAAAGTGACCGACCCAAATGACCTCTTTCTTCTTTTTAAATAACCCAAAGGAGAAGTTCGTATTGGAAGAAATAGACGTCATTGTGAACAGCCTGCTTGACGTGCTGCTGAGGACCATCTTGGAGATCACAAGCCGCCCTCAGCCAGCAGGATCGGCAACTAGGCTTCAGTTTCAGGATGTTACCGTAAGTGTGGTGGCAGCAATAGCTTGATGTTGGTACTGAAGCTACCATTTTTCACTTTCTTGGCTGTAGCTGTGACTCTCCCTCCCCCTCCCTCCCTCCCTCTCTCTGTGTGTGTGTATGAAAATGGAAAAGGTGTGTGTGTGTGTGTGTGTGTGTATGAAAATGGAAAAGGCTGCATAGCAAAGTGTGTATCTTCTCGTGTGAAAATGGATCATCTCTGTGTAATAGGGCTTCCTGTTGGATTCAAACAGCACAACTCTGCATATGCCTATGGAGCTGCCTTATATATTGAGATCAGTGGAGAAGCACACATGGGGCCAAATGAATTGGCATGTTGTGTTTTATTGATTGATTGCCTCATTTAGAGTACTTTCAGCTCAAAGATGGAGAGTACATTTGCTGCAGGGCTGTAACCTATATTGCCAGTCTAAGGTGATAATAGATTGAACTAAGCAATTATTATTTAGCTTTGACTTCTGTGAACTGCATGGTCTTGCAAGACAGCATTCACTCTAATATTTGCTGAAAAACTACAACTGAGTTATTAAAAAAATCTTTGAATGCTGTCGATTTCAAGCAGTTCTCAGACCTCTCTTCTGAACGAAACTAAGCCTGCTCAATTTCAGTGAGAGCCGAAAGAACGAGGAGGTGGGAAGCAGATTACAAGTTCATGTCCTGCTGCCCCTCCTTTGACAAATTCAAATTCCTCCTGCTGTTCATTGTCCAATCTTATGTATTTCTATGGCTGGCCATAGTTAATGCCAGCCAGAGTTCCCTGTAACACGATTTGTTGATCAGCTTCCAGAACAAGTGTGAATGGGATCAGCAGTGATTGTTATTCAGTGACCGTCCAGTGGAATTATACCAAGAGTTGTTTGACTTTTTAAAAAATTGAAAGCAAGAATGAAGAATGTGCGGTCTCTAGATGTTTTAAAAACATAAAACCCTCTTTATAGACAAGAGATGGTATGGCTGGCAAGAGTTGCAGTTTAATGTGTTAAACAGGGCCTAGGATTTCCCACCTCCAGTCCTCAAATATCCCATCTATCTCCCTGAGAGATAACTGGAAGAAAAATCAGCAGTAGTTGGAAAGAATATTAAAATACACATGAACAAACAACACTATGGACAGTTCAAAATAACAGTAGTAAACCATCAGGTTTTGTCTGGTCTAGCATCCTGTGTCCATCCTGCTAGAAGCCTGCTGAGAAAACATGAAAGCAACAGCTATGCTTCCTCATGTATTCCCAGCAACAGGTAGTCAGCAATGCATTGCCTACACACAAGGGTGGTTCTGTTTTCTGGTCAAACCTGTTAATCTTCAATAAATCTATGCTTCACCAAACTGTCCAGTTCCTTTTAAAAATACAGTAGGACTTCCTTATCCATGGCATCAATATGCACTGATTCATTTATCTATGATCTGAAAATTTTTAAAATATTAAAAGAAAAAATCCAGAAAAAACTATTTTCATATGTATCATCAGAAACAGCCTCTAGAGGGAGCCAGAGACTGTGCCATGTATACTTGTTAGTGAAGAATACATAGCATTGTCTCTGGTACCCTCTAAGGGCCAGTTCTGGTAATGCATGTGAAAATATGGTTGTAGGCTTTTTTGGTTTCGCCAGTCTTTGTGGCTGGCAGCTTGAGAGGAGAAGAGTTAGAATTCTGTCTGTCAGAGTTCCAGCAGATCCCAGCCATGAAAGCCTTTGAGAATACATGTGAAAATAGTGTTTTCTTTTTTTTTTTTCTGGTTTACTTTCCTTTTACCATGCTCTCTCTCTCTATGTGTGTGTGTGTGTGTGTGTATGTGTGTCTGTCTGTCTGTGTGTCTTTGTTTGTGTGTAGTGTTTGCTGTTATCCAGTTTTCAGTGTCCACGGGGTGGGGGGACTGGAATCAATCTCCAGCAGATATGGGGGTCCTGTTGTATGGTCTAAGCTCGAGAACCTCATCACAGCTTGTGAATTCCATAAATATGTGGTGCTGAAAACAAGGATTGCTCCTGACGATAAGGAATGTGAGTTGGGCTGCCATTATGTCACTACTGTACTATTCTTCCCTCCACTTTTTACAGTCCTGGGGTGATGCAATTTTCCCCTACAGGGATAAAAGCTGCTGGAGAAGGCCATAGTGAGTGAACAAATAAATGTAGGGAGAAAGGTTAAACAGTCCCACTTGATGCTGTTTCTTTATTGGAACAGGTCCTAAACTCTAAACTAATTTCTATTTTAAAAAGAACAGAAAATACTCCTGCATCTCTCACATTATATATCATTTCATTTATCCCTCGATATAAATAGCCTGATAAATTCTACATTGTTCAGATGTATGTGGTTACAAGGCGGAAATCCTTTTCTTTTAAGAACAGCATGAAAGCCATGTAAGTGAAATAATGTCAGGTTATACCCTGCTTTGTTAAAATGATAGGAAGTGTACACAGTGGGGGGCATGTAAGGACTTTAGAAGAGCAGCTGACCTATATTTGTTCACTCAGCAAAGTTTTCACGGAAACGTTTAGCACACTCACTCTGTCTTGCAGTCTTATTCGTCCTCATCTTACCTCATAGAGCCTCTTTTTAAAAAGGTTTTCAATGGAAAATGGATCCTAGTCATGTGTTCTTCTAAATGATACAGTATTTCAGAGACCAAACATTCTCTAGGTAATCAAGTAAAACATGATGTGATATTTAGAGTCTCACTCCTTTCCGTCACCAAGAAGTTAGAAGTAATATTGATTAGAGGTGTGTAGTTTTCTGGGTTTTTTGGACTAAAACTCCTAGAATTTCCCAGACAGCATATCTGCACACCTTTAATATTGATAGATTTAATATATTTATTTATTTATTTGATTTATACCCCACCTATCTGCTGCTGTTAATGTGCTTCTAAGTCACTTCTGTCTTATGGTAACCTTATGAATGAATGACCTCCAAAAGTCCCTTTCAGATCTTGCAAACAAAACTCATTGGCTTCCTTCTTGAGTCAGTCCAACTAGTATTTACTTTTCCTCCTTTCCTGGTGTCTTCTACTTTTCTAAGCATTATTATATTTTCCAGTGAACATTTGTCTTCTCATGATGCACTCAAAGTATCATAGCCTCAGTTTTGTCATTTTTGCTTCTACAGAGAGCTCATTCTTGAATTGATCCTAGCAGTCACTTGTTTTTCTTTCTGGCAGCTATACCAGCACTCTCTAATTCTGTGATGATGTCCTTACAAGACGTCATAGTTCTTTGCAGTGAAGTTATGAGACATGGTACTACTGCTAAATTCGGCCAAACATTTTCTTCATGCAAATGAAACTTGCTGAATTTCAGTCCACTGGTTTTGTTTCAAGAATTCACTTACATATATATTGCCAAATATGGCTTGTGGAATTAAGTATAACCTTGTTGAACATATTTCTTTTTAATGGATTTACGCTTACACATGCCTTCACTTTCCAGAAACCTCTATGCAGGTCTTATTAATTTGAAGCACAGAAGAATAGGGTTTTGTGGTCCTTGCACAATATCATAGAAGCCATTGTACAGAGAAGTTTCACATACTTAATTTTTCAGTGACTCATTGCACAGCATAAGGCAATTATATACTGTTATGTAGCAAGTTCAGGCAGTACTATGCTTGCTTATGGTATCATACTGAGCCAAATGCTCTCAAGTTATTTGTGAAGAAAGACACCACCCATTTTGAGTGTAGGTGGCAGGTTCTATGCCCGTGTGTTGTGAGGAACCCATTCAATTTTCTCAGAATGAAGAAATGAGCACATGCAATGACATGTAGGTGGACTGAAATACCAGACTTGACTTTCCATAATAGATTCAGAAGCTTGGATGGTCTTGCTAGAGCAGCCATTCTCAACAAGAACCGTATGGCCACGTGGGGGACCCTGTCACATTTGAAGGGGGCCACAGACTAGAAACGCTTCTTCACACACTGCCTTCATTATGTGACTTACGCAGTCTTGATCCAGCCTATATTTCTTTCATATTGTGTTTTTCTCCCAAAAAGGTTGAGAATAGCTATGCTAGAGGAATGACCCTAAAAAGAGGGATGTTTCTGTTTTCTTTAAGTGTACTGTGTTGCGTTGTAATTTTAATGACTGTACAACACAGTTATGCCTATTCATTCAGAAATTATTTCTGCTCTGGTCAGTAGGACTCACTTGCAGATAGTGTGCATAGATGTGTCCTAAAATGTTCAGTCATATCACCTTTGCTGTATTCTTGGTAAGAAAAGAGCACAGTGACGTTAGCATCCTTCTTCCATGTGTGGCTGTTTATTGGGTAGGTGTCAAATACAAGTGGTGTCAATATATACAATGTGTCTAGGGACATAGGATGCTGCCTTAGACTGAATCAGGCCTTTGGTCCACATAGCCCAGTGTTCTCAAATCCAGATGGCAGTGGCTCACCAGGATGTCAGGCAGGATTCTTTCCTAGCCTACCTAATTATCCTGATATCCCCTGATGGTTTCTTATCCAAGCTCTAACTAGATTTAAGTCTACTTGTCTTTTGAAAACAGCTGAGAGTGGGTGTGTTTGTGATAGTGTGATGGCTCCATGGCATATAAGTTGCATATTTTGTTTTTAAACAACAAGACAATTATTCTACATGTGTAAAAATACAATGGGAGGAAATATGTCGTTATTTAAATAGGTTGATTTATGTATACCAGCTTAGGGGGAAAATCAGACACTTGTCCTTCCATGTAGCAAGAGGCCTGCTACAGCTCGCTTGTCAGTACCGGTGTACTTAGCATGCGAATATACTTTTAAAAGATTATGAATGGCACAGAATGATATTTGTCCAACATGGATATTGTACCTAAGAAACACAAGGAATCCTTTAAAAATATAATGAATCCTTTAAAGGTTAAAAGAAACTGTGCAAGCCAAATAAATTGAATATTAAGAGCAAAGCCTGTGCATATTTACTCAGAAGAACCTCTCTGGTTGGTTGGGCTTGTGGCATCTCTAAGACTGACAGAGATTACAGTCCATATCACAGTTTATTTTCTATCAGGAATGTGAGTTTCTTTTTAACAAAGGAAGATGCCAACACTGAAACTAGAAAAAGTGTGTTAGGTTGCAGGCAGTTCTTTTCAAAGGGACTTTGTATAGTTTATCATCCTATTTTTTAAAATCTTAAAAAAAGAACACTAGAAACCATGTTCTTTGTTCTATCTGTTTATGTTCTAATAGGCTTCCTTTCTTTTGAAATTCTGTTTCTTTTAGGGAGAGTTTGTTTCATGTCTGTTATCATTATTACGACAGATGACAGACAGACATTACCAGCAACTCCTTGACAGATTCAAGACGAGGGATGAGCTCAGAGTAAGTAAAAAGACCTATGCTTTCGCTCCTGGAAACATCCTTTGCTTTTTTCCCCCTGTCCCAATGAACTCATGATTTTGCTTAAGTGACCACTGAGTTGCATGTTTAAGGCATCATCTGGAGCAAGTTAAATGACCTCACTTGTTTCAGTGAAAATCTAGCATGTTTTTAGCTCCAGTTCCTTGATGTTTTCTTTCCCAGGGTTAGTGGAAACTATTCAATTGCAGAGCGTGCTCTTTTATAAAGCAGGCACACTATGATGCTGTGGAATTGGCATCCTGGCCTGGGTTTTGGAAGATTTACGTTCACTGGGGATGAAATCATAATGCTTAAAAATGACTGTGTGATGCTGAAAATTATGAAATATTTGCCATTGAATATTGCTACAAGGGGGATAAACCACAAATAAAGCATGAATTCAAATAATAAATAGAGCCAAAGGGTAAAAATCAGAACCTGGAGATAAGATGTTGCTAATAACATTATCTGTAACGTTGCTTTTAAAGATAATATCGCAATACAGGTATTCTTATTCTGACATAGAGCAGTGGTTTGGTGATATTTTTTATATTTAGTTTGATGAGTAATGTTTACTCATTATTCCATAAATACTGCTGTTTGGAAATTATTTTGGGACATTTTTGTATTTTAATTGTCCTTAAAAAGTAATAATAAGAAAGGAACGCTGGCGATGAGTTATTTAAAGCAACAACAATGAGCAGCTGATTACTTAAAAACTAATAACATTCCAAGCTCTGCTAACAACACATTCTGTATTTACATAGACAAACACACCTATCCTAGGATAGGGAGCAAGCATTGGAACAATGCAACTGTGCTTTTTAAAAATTTTAGTTCTCATTTCATGGAAAAATCTAAGTCTATATGCAATAGTTCAGTTGTAGGGCTGGAAAAATATGCACTTACTTAAGGATGAGATACCTTGAGGAGGAATGTTAAAGCTCTGTGAAATTTCTCACATCCAGCTGAAAGCAGGGAATATTGCTTTCTGATTTCTGCCTCCACCCCAATCTCTGCGATGTGCATAAAATGCCACTAGTCTCTTTTTCCCTTAGAAAGTAATGCATAGGCAGGCGCGCGTGCGCACACACACACACACACACACACACACACACACTGCGATGTGCATAAAATGCCACTAGTCTCTTTTTCCCTTAGAAAGTAATGCATAGGCAGGCGCGCGCGCGCACACACACACACACACACACACACACACACAGAGCAAGTACAAAAGACCTGGCTGATCATTAAAAAGGATACCAACAACCCAGCAACAGCTTCAAATCCTTATATAATGTGGCCATCATCCTAATTTTGAGCAATTCACACTATTTATGTGACTCATGAACTATGCAGTTTTGCATAAAAATGAGCGCTCTGTGCACCAAACACTCTTCTTCATGTGAAGAATCTATCAAGGGTGCAAGGAATTCCTTGCCATCCTTGCTGGTGAAGAGGAGAAAGTTGCAGTGCTTTGTCCTGGCCTGAGAAGATGAGACAAGTGAGGGGGCGCTTCCCTATGCAGTTGCATCCACCCCCCTCTGCTGTCAAATCACCAGAGCATAATTAGATTTTGCTTATTATCAACAATGAGATCTTGCTTATTCTTGACAGTGAATCAACATTAGGAGTGTTACTGGCAGGCTGTCAATTACATGCACATGTTCCCCCTAGATTGCATTTTTATTTGCAGTTTCCAAATAACAGATCATAAATGACCTTCAATAAAGGCCTGGAAATGCTTCGTGGTTGGATGTTATCTGAGCATCTTCTAGCATAAGTGCCACAGAGTTCACTTCACCAGACCAGGAACTGAAATTGTTATGTTCATTATCTTATAGCATGGTTCTATTATGCAGTGGTTAAAACGCTGTACTGCAGCTAAAACTGTGCTCACGACCTGGGGTTCAAATCCCAGGTAGCCGGCTCAAGGTTGACTCAGCCTTCCATCCTTCCGAGGTCGGCAATATGAGTACCCAGCTTGCTGGGGGGGCAATGTGTAGCCTGCATAATTAAAATTGTAAACCGCCCAGAGAGTGCTTGTAGCGCTATGGTGCGGTATATAAGTCCAAAAAATAAATAAAATAAATAATAAATACTGTAGATAACATTGGCTTCCAGTGCCTGCGGATAATCATGTTGCTTCAGTGTTGCTGTTTTGTGCAACTGACATTTCTAGTCAGAGGCAGTGATGTTCACACAATAAGCGCTCATTTCTCTGACCATCTCAGTTTGTCAGTTCTCATATTACAGAAGAAGCTAACCCTGGGAATATGTTGTATATATTTGAGATCCCACACATATCTTTCTGCATAGGTTGAAAACTGAACTCTGTTATATTCATATTATAGTAACTTCTAGTACACTGGTTCTTAACCTTGGGTTACTCAGGAGTTTTGGACTGCAACTCCCAGAAGCCTTCGCCACCAACTGTGCTGGCTGGGGTTTCTGGGAGTTGCAGTTCAAAAACATCCGAGTAACAAAGGTTAAGAACCACTGTTCTAGTATAAATACCACAGAGTTCACCAGACCAAGAACAGTAACACAGTCCAAAAGGAGCAGAACATATCATTCACCATTTATCATTACAGATGTCTCTGACTCTCATGATGAGATTGCAGGTGGCATTATTTCATTTCATTTCTTGCCTTTTTTTCCCTTGCAGGGGAGATCCAATACAGCTTAATAAATAAAAAAGAAATAAAGTTCAACGAATTATTAAAAACATTAAAATTTAAATTTAAAAATATATCATACACATATTTCTTTTAAAATTTATAGAACAGAGTTTAATAAGCCCACAAACTTTTCTGCCTCAATTTCCTGCTGACTCCCTGAAAACTTCTCTAAAGATGTAGGTTTTCAATTGCCAGTGTAAGGAAATGAATTGAAGGACCCAGTTCAGCTTCCTACGGAATGCAGTTTCTTAATCTGGGAGCAGAAAACTGAAAGCAGAACATAATGCATTTTTAAGCCAGACAAGTCAAACGTTTCCTCTCCCCACCCTAACACTCTACACAGCAACAGTTATGGCTAGATAACTTGTGAGCAGAATCAGTATTGACCAAGTAAAGCAAGGGGGGGGGGAATGGATGTTGGTTGACAAGGATCACGTCATTCCTTGGCAAAAATGCCCCGAGAGGGTTCCTAAGTATCTCAGGGTATTCCCCACCAACACATCTTTCCCTCTATAAATATTTTTTTCCTTAGATGGAAATTACAGTGTTCTTTGAGCATAAAGGACATATAAAGAGAAATCAAATTTCCAGGGATGCAAAACTGGCTATGTGACTGCATGAATTGTTTGGTGTGATGAAGAGGCATGAGAGAAAGGGCAGCAGCCAGAGGGCGGGGAACTAATCAAGCAGAGCTCGGACAAAAGCAAAGAAGCAAATATTACCCAGTTATTAGGGTATGATTGAAATTCTTTACTATGCAAAGCCTTTACAGGAAATCAGACTTGTTTTTGATTTATGCACTGGGGACTGACATTGCGAGTGGATAAACTGCAAAAACTGAGGGAAACTTTGAATCCCACATGAAAGCTGTCATACAACAACTGAGCCTATCTATTGAATAATAGTAGCTCCTGGATCTATGCAGTGACCAAAGCAGATGTAACAAGAAAAGTCTCATAGCACTTAATATTTATATCAAAGAGCATTTGTTGGTAGTGGCATGATTATATCATGGACTGCAAAAAGAAAAGAGAATGAGATTAACCCTTTTCTTGCCTGCTGTTGTCCTAATAAATGTGGGAGGATTTCTTCCTGTGGCCAAAAGACAGCTCCAAGAGAGCTCTATCTACTGTAGTTCTGATTGTAACAACCACATAATATACCAACAACTTAGATTTGGATTTTTAAAAGGATGCATGATAAATGCAAGTACAGTCGTGCCCCGCTTTATGATTACCCCGTTTAACGACAAATCCGCTTGATGGTGAGGTTTTTGCGATCACTTTTGTGATCGCAAAACGATGGTTTGAATGGGGTTTTTCCGCTTAGCGGTGATTGGTTCGCTGCTTCGGGAACCGATTTTCACTTTACGACGATCAAAAACAGCTGAGCGTCGGGTTTCAAAATCGCCACCGGCTGAAGAAAATGCCCCCCCCCCGCTTTGCTTAGGGACGGATTCCTTGCTGCACAGGCACCAAAAATGGCCACCCCTATGGAGGATCTTCACTGGACGGTGAGTTTTCAGCCCATTGGAACGCATTGAACGGGTTTCAGTGCATTTCAATGGGCTCTTGTATTTCGCTTTACAACGTTTTCGCTCTACAGCGATTTCGCTGGAACGAATTAACATCGTAAAGCGAGGCACCACTGTATACAGTTAAGACCACATTCATTTTATCCCTTGGTGTTTTTTTTTTCTGAAAAAGATGGTACATGGTGGTGGCCTCCTAAAGAAACTCCATTCCAAAGAGTTTCTGAACCCTTCTCTACAGTTTGTAGTGTATACAGGGAGCGTCAGGGGAAAGAGAGATGGTTTTTGGTTCTGGTGAAAACTTTGGGCAAAATCCTGCTGTGTAATTTGAAGTTGTACAAGCAGTTGCAAAATTCACATCAAAGCAGACATCATACCCAGCAGGCAGTTGCACAGACATAATTGCACAATTACTTGTGCAATCAGTCACATAATGTGGATTGCCTCTTTGTGAACTTCCACAGACATAACTTTACACTATGTCAAGAGTAAAAGGATTTCAGCCAGTGGAATCCAGTGGAAAGACATCATTGGGTTTGGACCAACGAAACTATAATGTCAGTATGTAGGCCACTAGACATCAAGATGCATGTTGTCATTTTCCCCACCCTTTTCTTTCCACAGGTAGGCAGTTTTAATAATGTGAACTCCATCAAGAACCTCAAGTGATATATTTAGGCACAGGCTTACTCTTTGTAATTTGTGAGAAATGAACCTGAATTTATTTACGCCAAAGATTTCCAGAGTGTGTTATGGAAAACCTAAGATCATTCAAAAATGTGTCAAGGAAGGTTCCCCAGAGAGAAGGTCAATAATGGTGGACATTGCTGGAAGGCACCTAAAGTGTACAATAATGGGAACAATAGTTTGGCCAAGGATACAATAAGGCAAAGTGTCCTGTTCTACACTGGAAAGCTCACCTCAGCAAGAAATCAGACAAGGCATTCCAAAGCCATAGTCCAAGGAGCTGTCCAAATAGTCAAACAAGGTCCAGACAATTGAAAAAAAGGGTTTCAGGAACAAAGCAAAGAGCTGGTAGATAGCAAAGCCAGATGAAGGCTGTTTTCTAGCTGCATTCCTAGAACCCCAGCTGCAGGTGTTCAGGAAGCAAGGAAAGAACTCAGTTACAGGGTATGGCTCTTGTTGGGGGAAAGATTCCACTTGTGAGGAAACCTGCTACTCACAAAGAATCCTCCTCTGCAGCCAAACTCTCTAACTTGAGGCTTCAAACTAGGCAAATGCCTTCTGTCTGCTTTGCTCCTAAGAGTGGGGAGGCTGTCCTACCTCCTCTTAAGTCTCAGCTCCTCAGCCCGCATAAGGTCCAGGATCTGCTGACTAAAGCATTACGCCATAAGTGGAAATGTTAGGTGTTTTTTTTTTTATTTGCTTGGATGAGAGTGAGGTAGTTCTGTGTATACAGACTAATTAGCTAAAAATAAAGGTGTATATCAGGGTAAAGATCCACCTGTGTATTACACCCCAAAGTGTGAAAATTTCTGATGTGTTGTATAAAGATTAACCCAATTGAATGTCATTTTGCTCTTACTGCTGAATATTTTTAGAAGTTTTTGACAATGTGATCAACTTTCTGTATCTCACTTAAAAACATGTTAAATAATGTTGACATTATTCATTGAAGTTCCTGGAAAACTAAGATGCACAGAATTTTCTTAAAGAGCCATTAGAATGCTGTTTCTTTTTTAACTGCAGCTGTTATAATGTTGTTGCTGAAACTGTTTCAATTTTCTGTCACTTACCTAAGGATTTCCCCCCTCTGTCCTAGGATTTTTTGTTACAAATATTTACTGTCTTTCGAATATTAATACGGCCAGAGATGTTTCCAAAAGATTGGACAGTGATGCGTTTGGTTGCTAACAAGTAAGACTTCTTAAACATAATCATAATTGTGATAATAGTACTAATGTTAATGAGAGTGGGTATTAATTATTTGGTCACACAATTCCAGCATACTGTATTGCAGGTGTCAACATACTACAGTAGCCTTAAAACAGAAACATAGTGAAATACCTTTGAAACATTTCTACTTGTACAGTTTGATTAGCATGAGTTAAAGCTGATATTGAAGATGAAACAAACTACCTTTGAAGCATGCTCCTAGGTCTTATTCTACTACTGTCTGGTATAATAGAATGTAAAAGGCAATGTTCCATAAACATGTAGGATAATCTACCTATTCCATCAGTTTAATGGAAATGGATTTGTTAGTCAGATGGCATCTGTACAAAGGACAGGACATTTGGGGTTGGGGGTTAGTCTTGAAGAACCTTGTTTTGCCTCTGCTGTCCTTGGTGTGGTAAAAGATTTAAGCTTCCTGGATGGAAAAGTAAGCCACTGCTTATCTCTAGAATAACTTTCCATATAAAGGCAGTAAGATTTAGAAAGCTCAATTAATTCGAAAGAAATGTTGCATCTTCATTTCACAGCACTGAATGAGACTAGAAGACTATTCATGTCTTGACAGAATTCCATTTAGGGATAACAGTGGGGTCTCGACTTAAGAACTTAATCCGTATTGGAAGGTGGTTCTCAAGTCGAAAAGTTCTTAAGTCGAATCTGCATTTCCCATAGGAATGCATTGAAAACCATTTAATCCGTATCTGCTCTTTTCTGTCCATAGAAACTAATGGGAAGCTGCTATTCTGCCTTCTGCCACTAGAGGGGGATATTTTCTTTCTTTTTTCCCCTTAGGTTCAGGGAAGGCAGGGAACACTAAAGGCAGCACTTTAGAACTCTTTTTTTTTTTTAAACGAAGCCAATTTTAAATAATGTTTTAAAGCATGTTGTGCTGATTTTTTCAGCACAAAGGCACTCAGGCAAGCTTTTTAGGTGCTGAGCAAGCCTCCAGAAGCCTGCTCAGAGCCAGCCGATCAGCTGTTAGGCGGGGAGAGGAGCGGGGAAAACCACAAAATGGCTGCCAGGCTCTTTCTGGGTGTCGGCTTTTAGCTCTTTCCTGCTCTTTTTCCTGTGGATTAGGGGCTACCAAGGCCTGGTAAGTGACTTTATTTAACAGTACAGTATTTATTTTTAAGTTTCTGACCCTTTTCCCCCCTCCAGAAGCCTCTAAGGGGAGGGAGGGGGGACTTTTTTCCCTGTTCCTAACTGGAGGGGAGTTCGCATGTCGAGTCCTTACTTTCCCTATAAGGCAGGTTCGTAACTCGAATTGTTCGCAAGTCGGGTCGTTCGTAAGTCGAGACCCCACTGTAGTAGTAGCAGCACATAATATTCATTTTCTGGTAATATATAACAGGAATTGAATAAAAATAAGACGAATATTGTGACACTTTAAAGACTAAATGACCTATTTCACTGAGATACGTCAATGATTAGTTTTTATAATGTCACAGTACTTTTTGGGTTTTGTTTGTTTCATTTTTGCTACATATGCTGAATGAGACAAATATGGCTATGTCTCTGAACACTGTCCCTGGGAATGGAAATTGCAAAAAAGTAAATCTGCGATTGGCCTGTTTTCCCCTGTGGATTGTTTGGGGTTCTAATTAAATAAGTCTGTGGGAAGTGCTTTTAGTTGTGGATGCATACTAGTTGCCAAACAAAACAAAACAATAACGCAAGCAAGCAAGCAACACATGGAACCAGAAGGGAAAGGTGAACCAGAACAGGCAGCTTAGAAATTGAAAAGCACAGTGAAATCATTCCGCTTTTTTGTTTTATAAACTCCATCTTCTCTTCCAGGGAAGATGAACCACTAATCGTGTGGTGTATATTTTACTTATATAGTTCAGTGCTTAAACATGTTGGGTGATGTGGGGGAACACACCATGTGTTTAAGAAGCTAAAGACCTCCTGTTGATTTAAAGCCTGGAGCACATTTCATTCCAGCAAGGAAGTGTTTGTACATCAGTGACTAGGTGGCAAAGTCAAGTAAGCATGAAAATGATTGCTGCCATTCAATGTTAGTTAAATCCTCTAGCAGCTGAGAAGACACTTAATATATACTTTCCTTAGGCCCACAGATTTAGAAAAAAGATATAGCCTTACATAAAAACATGGGTTGAAAAATGTCCTTTAGACTGAAGAAGCTACTTGGAGGAGTAGCAAAACATTTCAGCCTAACAAGAAAGAAGTCCAGTTGCCATGACTCAACTTCCGGATTTAAATTTATTGTGTTGCCATCAAATGATTAAAAATACAATTGGCCCGCTGTAAAAATGGACCAAAAAATAGTGTCGTGCATTTCAAAAACCAAGTAACTCTAAGGTGCCCATCCTAGTATGCCATTAGTATGTTTAACGCACTCAAATTTGCACTGTCATCTAATCATGTCAGATTATCCAGTTTTCTAATTATCCAGTCTGAGGGAAAGAATAATAAGCCAGAGTTAGAACGGTGAAATATGTGGCTCCATCCAGCTGGATTTGAACATGTCTTTCAGTAGAATAGTGTATCTAAGCGGAGTTTGTCAGGAAGCTTGCATATATAGACTCAGCTTATTGATCCATCTAGCCCAGAACTGTATGTGTTGACAGGCAGAGGTTACCAGGGTTATAAGCAAGTTTCTTTGCCATCTTTGCATGGAGATGCCAGGAAAGGATCTTGGGATCTTTGGTTTGTGAAGCATGTGATCTCTCACTGAGTTGCAATTCTTCCCTGTGAGCTACAACCTTTCTACTGTGCTGCAACATTTTTGATTGACTAGTTATACATCAGTAAGAATCCTCTGAAGGGAAGGTACCTCTATCTGTTTTTGGAGGATTCCCCTCTTTTCTCTACACCCAAGCCCACACCATTCAGCAGGATTTCCTGGTCCTCTGCATATCAGTTTTGAGGCACTGGACGGGGCTGTTAGGGGGAGGTGGCAGCAAGCAAATCCATTTCCACTAGTACTGTCGCATTTGCCTAGATACAGATTTGTTGATAATATTTGATCTAAGGATAATGAATTCTGTATTAAAGTACCCTAGTAATTAACCCTAGATGCATGCACTTGTGAAATGGGCATGTTAATGGAGATGTTGCTTTAAAGAAAAGGAATTGGTTATGTTAGAACAGAGAAACAAAGTAAGTAATCCATAAATGTATGTTAAATAGCTTTATTCCTTTGTTCTCCTTCATAAATTCTGTGAGTTAAAAGAGAAGTATTAATCAAAATATTTCATACCTCACAGCCACAAAGCTAGAAGCAAAATGCATATTGCAGTAGCTGGTTAAGGATTTTATTATGCATCATTTAACTTATACTATACAATTGCTTTTATTGCCCCAAGAAACAATTATTTAAAAAAGAAAATACATTGCCTCTTTAATTTATATTTGTATATCTCTTTAATTTAGAGAGAGTACCCACATTTAAATATGCAATATCTTTTTTTTTACTAGTGTTATTATTACAACAGTGTTATACCTTTCGGATGCCCTTCGTAAAAACTTCTTAAATGAAAACTTTGATTACAAGGTAAGCTGGCATTTGGCTTGCATTATTAAGATTGGTGGCCAGTATCCACATCTGGAGCTCCGCCTGTGCAGCAGGAGTGACACAATTGGTAGTGGCAGATTGCTGCTAATTAAATAGTTTCTTTTTCACTTTTGGGGTGCACGTATCTCAATGAGACAAATTTGTGTACATGATGAAATTGAAACAGGAACTATTTAATCAGCAGCAATATACACTGCTAGTGATGTCCTTCCCACTGCACAAGCAGACCTCTGCCAAAGGATATTGGCCTCAGTCTCCTAAACATTTGTCTATTTTCTTCATTCCACCGGGTGGCCACTCTGTGCCTTACCAGTGATTCTGCCATTGCTGAGATTTAAATTAAGGTATGGGACTTCACTCCTAAATATTCTGCCATTTGTGTAACTGGGCAACACAAATTTGGCTGCTATGTAACCTTGTTTCTGTTTTCTTCACAAGTAAAACCAGTAAAATTCAGTGGTGCTTACTTCTCATTTTCTGAGTTTAAGGAAGAAATCTTAAGGCATATTTTTTTCCATTTTGGGTGCCTTAATTTAATCACAGCTGAACCACTGAAAGCATTGTACAAGAAAGGGAACAGACATCAGGGGAAGTGTACATAGGACTGACTCTTATTTCTACCATCATAAACTAGGGTTATCAGAGCTGATACAATTACATCTGATTCAACCCCTTGTCTCTTTGTACCACCATGGCAAGTTCTAGTGAAATTAACCAGTGGCTGACTGGAACATTTCCATATGTTTTATTAGCAACTTATGTTCATCTGACCAATTTCACTGATTTTAATAGACATGATAGTATTTAATTGTTCCCAACTGTTGAATTATTCGCCCAAATATTTATTCACGGTCGTGCTAATCAATAAAAGTTGCCTTATACTAGGAAAATAAGTATTTCCCTTGTCTGGATACAATATGATCAGTATCTCTTTGAAGAAAGAAAATCACCAGACTTTGTTTTCTTTTAGATTTGGGATTCCTACTTTTATCTTGCTGTCATTTTTATAAATCAGTTGTGTCTACAGTTAGAGATGTTCACACCTTCAAAGAAGAAAAAGGTTTTAGAAAAGTAAGTATTGTTTTTGGTTCTCATAAAAACAAAAGAGCATCCATAGCACATATTATTCCTGTAGAAAATATTTATGAAGTAGTGGATTTTGATCCACTATCCTCTGATCTTTTCACTTCTTTATTGCTAAGAATAAAGCAATCCTGTTTTTTAAAAACATGGCTGGAGATACTATCACAAAATACCATTATTATTCGCTGTTATACTAATAGTATAACTTTTTCTTATGGTTTAATGATCTGTGTAAGCAAGAAACATAGTTATTTTGAAAAATATGTAAGCAGCATCTCCACTGTTCAGGTCTAGCTTGATTAAGTTCATATTGAGTCCACTTTATTTTAATGAAGATGGTGTGTAGGAGAGCATCATTCAAGATCCAAAGAACGAATCTCATATAATAGCCCATGCTGTTAGAATGTTCTGTGTTGCTTCCCTTGAATAACTAGAATCTGTTGGGAATTGACATTGGCATAAGTGCAATTGCATAAGCCATGGAGGTAAATTGTTGCAAAACAATGAGTTGCAACTTGCATTCGACATCATATGCTAAGTTGCATGACCAATTTGCAGCTGGGCAGGCAAGCAGCAATGACTTAATTACTAAAAATTCACTGTTTCGTTTTCCACTGTTATGCTAGTATAACACCACAGTGAAGCTTTCAAGAGAAAATTAGACAACCATCTGTCAGATATACTTTGATTTGGATTCCTCTGTTGAGTAGAGGGTTGGACTTGATGGCTTTGTATGCTTCTTCCAACACCATAATTCTGTGATTCTCTTCATCTGTCCAGTGATTCCTACTGCTGAAGATATATGCTGATTTTTTAAAACTGAATGTGACATTTCATCTTCAGTAGTAGGAATAGTTATGAGTGAAGATGTCAAGTAAAGCTTTAGGTATGTCTGCAAATTCCCTTTCTTGGATTCCACCCATAATGTTCATTTGGACCCACAACAGATTGAATACATTGCAACCACAGTACATAGCATGAAAATTGTATTTTGAAGCTAGTGTTTAGCTGTGTATGTTATTCCGTTACCAATATACATTAATAAATTGCATTTTTTTCTCTGCCAATTTGAATTTCACAAAGTACTTATGGAGAAAATTGTTGATAATAATATGTTATCATGATTTTTTTTTACAAAAATCCTGAAAATATTCATGTTCCTAACTGGATTGTATATCTAGGCCATGATTGTCTTTTTGATCTTTTGCTGGTACAAATGCCTCCACTGTAGGTCTTGTCTCTACCATCTTGCCACGTTACCTATGGGATTTTCATTTTTCAGCCTTTCTGCTTCCACTTCAGCTTCTTCAGTTTGCAGTCTTATTAATTGGACCTGAATGTGTGGCTTATGATAAAGTGAAATTAATTGCTAACAAATCTTTGTGCTCTCTCTCTTTGTGTCTCTGTATTTCTTTCTTTCTTTTTTTCTTTTTGAAAAAAAATTCACAGATATGGTGATATGCGGGTGACAATGGGATGTGAAATCTTCAGCATGTGGCAGAATTTAGGTAAGATTACTTCTTAAGATTCAGATGCATATATGCATTTTAACTTTCAGTGTTTATTTTGTCAAAGAAAGGATAAATTAATCTTGGGTATGGAAGACTGAGATGCCTAACAGATCATTCATTTGAATTCTTAATTTGGCTGCAAATCTTCATCACTGAAATCATTAATATACTTCATTGAAGGAAATATATTTGATTATTGATCAGTGTTCTGATGGCAGAAAATGAGGAGGAATTAAAGAACCTCTTAATGAGAGTGAAAGAGGAGAACACCAAAAATGGTCTGAAGCTCAACATTGAAAAAACTAAGATCATGGCCAATGGTTCCATTAGCTCCTGGCAAATAGAAGGGGAAGATATGGAGGCAGTGACAGATTTTACTTTCTTGGGCTCCATGATCATGGCAGATGGTGACAGCAGCCACGAAATTAAAAGACTGCTTCTTGGGAGGAAAGCGATGACAAACGTAGACAGCATCTTAAAAAGCAGAGACATCACCTTGCCGACAAAGGTCTGCATAGTGAAAGCTATGATTTTTCCAGTAGTGATGTATGGAAGTGAGAGCTGGACCATAAAGGAAGCTGACTGCTGAAGAATTGATGTCTTTGAATTGTGGTGCTGGAGGAGGCTCTTGAGAGTCCCCTGGACTGCAAGGAGATCAAACCTGTCCGTTCTGAAGGAAATCAACCCCGAGTGCTCATTGGAAGGATAGATCCTGAAGCTGAGGCTCCAATACTTTGGCCAACTCATGAGAAGAGAAGACTCCCTGGAAAAGCCCCTGATGTTGGGAATGAGTGAAGACAGGAGGAGAAGGAGAACGACAGAGGATGAGATGGTTCGGCAGTGTCACCGAAGCTTCCAACATGAATTTGACCCAACTCTGGGAGGCAGTGGAAGATAGGAGGGCCTGGCGTGCTCTGGTCCATGCGGTCACGAAGAGTCGGACACGACTTAACGACTAAACAACATCAACAAATATATACTGTGTATTCAATTGTATGACATATCTGGATGGGAAACATTCTTTACAGCCAGCATCACAAATACTGTACATACAGTGTATTTTTAGCCACTGAAAACAGTATTGATTGACAGAAACAGTATTGATTGACTGCACAAAACAGAACCTTAAGAATGCTTTCCTGGGTAACGTTCAAACTTTAAAACAGAGGCACAGATATCTCTTGCAGCACTTCAGCATATCTATATTCTGTTTCATACCAGCCTTCCTCAACTTGCATTCTTTCAGATGTGTTGTATTTCCACTCCATTGTTGGCTGCTGAATTATGGGAATTGAAGTTCCACTGATGGATGAGAATTTCAGTTTGCTACAAATAAGACTTTTCTTCCTATTTGAAATGGAAAGAACTTTTTTTTTAATAGGAGATAACTAGAACTGAAAGATTTGTCCATCCAGGCCCATAAGTTTGACTGCTCAATTTTTGAAAGCCTGGAATTGAATTTTGGTATGTTCAACTGTGTTAGTATTGAACCAGCCTTGTTGTCTCCTTTTTCTGAAGAAATCCTCATCTTTAACATCTTTAATATGGCAAGTAGGTATGATATGATCACCCTCAGGCTGTACCTGTGGAGTTTGACTGACATGGAAGGAAGAGAAGTTTGTTTTCATTCATTTGTGAATAATTTATCGACATCTGCTATTTTCTTCCTGCTTGCAATAGGAGGGACAGGAGTTGTTGCTGCTGCTGCTGTTGCTCATGTTCAAGCTAGATTCAGAAAAGAAGGGCACTAGAGATTATATTGCAAATATACATTTGCTACTGGAGTGAACCAAAGAATTTTGGAAGAAAATCACTTTGTGCTTTATAAATTACAATGAAACCTTTGACTGTGTGAATTATGAAGAGTTATGAAATGCTCTAAAACAAATGAGTGTGGCTCAACATTTGATGCACAATCTATACTCTTGACAAGAAGCTGCTGTTAGAACAGAATGCAGAAAAACAGAAAGGTTTGCCCTAGGCAGAGCTATCACAAAACAATGTATTTTGTTTCCTTATCTGTTCAGTCTGTACACAGAATATATACAGAAAGAGGGATTAGATTCAGATGAAGGAATGAAAACTAGATGAAGTAATATAAATAGTTTAAGATATGAGGATGGCACCATACTAACAGGAAGAAATGATTCCTGATGAAGACAATAGAAGAAAGTGCAAAAATAGGACTGCAGTTGAATATTAAGAAGACAAATATCATTATAGAAGAATTATGTAACTTCAGTGTTGACAATGAAAAAAATCGAAATTGTTAAAGTTTTTCTATACCTTGGTTCAGTTATTAATCCATAAGGTCACTGCAGCCAAGAAATCAGAAGTACATTGGAAGGGTGTCTATGAAGGAACTGGAAAACATCCCCAAGGGTAAGGTGCAGATGTAGAAGTTGGGCAATGAAGAAATCCAACAGGACAAATATTGTTTGATTTGAAATGTGATGTTGAATGAGAGATTTGCAGATACAATGAACTGCCAGAAGAGCAAATAGGTAGGTACTAGAGCATATAATGAGTCAAGTGTCCCTAAAAGCAAAAATGACTAAACTGAAATTGTCATATGTTGGGCACGTGGTGAGAAGATTCACAGCAAAAGACAATAATGCTCAGGAAAATTGACATCAACAGGAACAAGGAAGACCAAAAATGAGATGGATTGATGCAATCAAGGAAGACAGCCTTGCAAGAGCTGTGCAGGGCTGTTGAGGCAGGACTAGTTCATAGAATCACTATAAGCTAGAAGTGACTCAACAGCACATAACAGCAACAGCAAACACCCCTGCTTTCTCTGTATTAATTTTCCTCATGTAGAAAAGGCCAAATGTGAAGAGGAAAGGTTCTTATTCATATGCAGATGCTCCACAGAATAAAACCCTCCAGTTTTTCCAAGGTTCTTTCATTTGTGGAGATCCTCCACACAAACCTGAATCTCTCCTCTTCAGTTTTGTTGCTTTATGAGTGAAGAGAACAATGACAGAATAGGCAAGGATATGTCCTCGCCTCTGGTGTTTTGGTAAGAGCATGGTGAGGATAATCTTTGAATAGGGCTATAAAGAAAATATACTCACAAGTCAGTATACTTTAGGTAACGTAATATTAAATTACAGCATGGGATGTGTGGCAAACCAACAGATGTAATACTTTGTTGGGTTATATCAAAGTAAGTGGTGCACTGAAACTCAAGATGCATAGCAGGGTATTAAAGGTAAAGGTTCCCCTTGACATTTTTAATCCAGTCGTGTCTGACTCTAGGAGGCGGTGCTCATCCCATTTTCAAGCCGTAGACCCAGCGCTTGTCCAAAGACAGTTTCCGTTGCCACGTGGCCAGCGTGACTAGGGAACGCCATTTTACCTTCCCACCGAGGTGGTATCTATTTATCTACTCGCATTTTCATGCTTTAGAACTGCTAGGTTGGCAAGGAGCTGGGAGCTCAGTCCATCATGTAGATTCGACCTTACAACTGCTGGTCTTCTGACCCTGCAGCACAGGCTTCTGCGGTTTAGCCCACAGCGCCACCACGTCCCCATAGCATGATATTACTTCTGTTTATTTGTTCTGTTTTAAAATTTCCAAGCAGGTTACCAAATACTGAAGCAATTTCCATAAAGGAAGCCATGTTAGTCTATCACAGCAAAAGCAACAGTTGTTGTCATTTCATTTTAGGAGAACATAAAGTCCACTTCATCCCAGCACTGATTGGGCCCTTCTTAGAAGTGACACTGATACCTCAACCTGATCTACGGAATGTGATGATTCCTATTTTTCATGACATGATGGACTGGGAGCAAAGACGCAGTGGCAACTTTAAACAGGTATTATCGATCAATTGGTCTATCTAATCTAGGAATACAGATCAATTTTTCCACTTGTCAGCATTCTCTCTATGCCATATACAGCTTTGCTGCTGGATAGTTAGTTAGAACAAACAGTTTTCCAGAGTTTCTATAGAAGGAGGAACAGGATTTTATTTCAAAATAAAGCCATTTTCTTCTCTTCTCTCTTGTGCAAGGCAGAGGAAACAGGAGTATGTAAGCTTATACTATGTGCAGACTTATTTATGATCATGCAGAGATAGGCAAAATGTGTCCCCTAGATATTGTTAGACCACATGTCCCACCAGCCCTAGTAAGCATAGCCAATAGTGAGGGATGCTGGGAATTGCAGTCCAGCAACACCTGGGGTCCACACTTTGCCCATCCTGGATTTAGAGCATTATATTAGATGATCTGCTGCATTTGAATGTATATAACTTAACAGAAGGGCCTTTTCATTAATACGTTCTGGTAAAGGCAAAGCAAGGTAAAGAAGAAAGAAACTAATTGTGGCTAGATTTTAAAACAAAGCATAAGGATGTGCTAAAGAGACTTAAATAAAATTTAAAGAAGAAATGAATTATGATGGAGAAGGAGTGTTGTGAAGAATTGTTGCTTACCAAATAAAGAGGATGCAGGCAGGCATGGAGGTGGATGACATGAAGGCTAAAATGTTAAAAAAAAGCAAATAAATAACTGATAGCAAATAAATAACTTTTTTTGTTTTGCAATGTCAAGAAAGCAAATGAGAGGATTTAAAGCTCAGGTGAGGAAAAGATCCTTAAATTCAGTGTTGAAAAAGGTATAAATAGACTAAAATCCAGGTTTCCACTTTTAGGAAATTTAGATACACCCTATATTACACCTAACTGTGTTACACCCTTGGTCCTTTCAGCCCTGTATAAGCTATTCTAACTGTCTGCTGCTTTCCAGCATCTCAGGGTGATGCCTTTTCCAGTCCTATTCCTAGAAATCCTTTCACCGGGAACAGGTTGTGCAAACAGCAGAAATGGAAGCTTGTAGAAATTCTCCAGATTCTTCATTCTGCCTCAGGCTGTTATATAATTTTTTTTCACATGGAAATTCATGTGTGCTTTTGCATTCATTTTTCTAAAGCTAGGCACTTCTGGTGAGCAGTTTTTAAAAATGTATACATTTTTCTCCCATCGACAGGAATGTGTTTCTTCACATACTTTTAATCATTTTTTCCTCTGTGAACATTTTTCAGAAGTATGCATTTCACTGACACTTGTTTTGCTATGTGAATCAAGCAGGTTTGTGAATGTATAGGTTTCCAACTTCAGATTGAAACTTCAGTAGGTTTTGGGGCTTGCAAAATAGATAAGCTCACATAAATGTATAAACAAAAGAAATGTCTTCCTCCTTCTCGTTGTGCCCTCCAGGGAGCGTGGGGAGCCGTTTTGCCCTGAATTAAGGCCCCGAGACTTAAATACCCCCAATTATTTTCAAAAACTTTTTAGGGTGATACTAAAGTGTACAAGAGGTCTTTTTCTGTTTAATATTCATTTTTAAAAGTTAGGTATTATTTCTAAGTGATTAAAAACATCATAGCAAATGCTTGCAATACATAAGCACTGCATGGGTTTTATAGTCACATAGGCGTCCTTTAGTCTCGAGAGACCGTGGTAACATACTCTGCATCGAGGAGTGTCCTCTCCAGAGCATGAAGCCTGGGTGAAGTAATATGGAGGATAGGCTGTTGCCGAAGCCCCAGATCCCCCCTCTCCACATTGCTGAAATGGTCCAATAGAAAGGCATGAGCCAATACAACTGGTTTCAGCGATGTCGCAGGAGTTGGCAGAACGACACGAACTGCCTTTGGGACTCCAGCTCCGGATTTTGCTCTAGGTTAACTCCTGAAGCTGTTTCCATGAGTGGATATAGCCACAGGGCAGTGGAGGTTTGAAATCAGAGTTTTCTTTCTCCTAGATGGGCTGCCTTCCAAGGCTGACGAGCCCCACCTACCCGGGGTAGTATGCAAATATGCATGTCAGTCTCTTTGACTACACTCTTTGCCCTTTAGCCTCAATCCCTTGGGCAGCCAGCAAACCTGAAAAAAGAGCTATTCCCCCCCCCCCAAATTGAGATCACCCACTCCTGCCTTAAAGGCAGGACAAGATCTTACCATGATGCCTTTTTCTTCCTCTAAAAATAAAACTTCAGAAAACAGGACATCTGAATTATGCCACTTGTCACATTCAAAGTGCAATAAATGTCCATGACATGGAATCTCATCCCAGCAAGCAGGTGAAATAAAACAATATTCCTGTTTTACATTCCTTTAAAAAATACAGAGCAAAAAGTCCCCACTAGAGGAGATACTTAGAATATAAGGAATGTCACTGGTGGGACCTTAGTGGGGAATGCTTGAACCAGTAACATCCTTTCAGATCCACATTTTTGAAGGGCAACTTGCCAACCTGTGCCACAGTCTGATGCTTTTATTTTATTTTTTTTATTTCTTTGCTACTTAAGCATTCTCAGAGATGCCAAGTAAGGAAATACCAAATGTGCCATCTGCTCTTGCTGTTTGTATTCTGCTCCTCAGTATCGCTCCAAGCCATTTCTCTGTGTTCCCTTTCCTGCTGCTGCAAATGAAGCAAAGCACAAGCATCTGAACTAGTGAGGTGAAATGGCAAAATACGGGGACTGGAATTTGCAGAAATATCTGCAGAACAAATAAAGGATTAGAAGTGGAGCAATGAATGCAGGAGAAGTAGGCTAACATAGGTGGTCATGTTCTGAGAGCTAAGGAGAAAAGGAGTTACCATATAGACAGCGTACAGGCCTTCTCATTTCTTTTTGCATTATTGCATTCTCATTACAGATAAAAGGGATCATTCATTCTTTAGTAACTCTACAGCAGTTCATTCTTCCAGATTTTCACTCCCTAATTAATTTTATTACTGCACAGGAGACAGTTTTCCAGTGCAATATTAAACTCATACAAAGCCACCATGCCACATTTCTTTGATAATATAATGCATTTCCCAGTGTGTTTAAGCAGTGCTGCTTAGTCAACAAATTTAGGGCTCATTCAGACAGGCATTTGGTACATTACAGAGGAGGATTGTTCCACGTTTTTTCCATATGTCTTAATCTCTAGAGTGGACCACTTTGCCCCCAGAGCATCCCAACCTGCATCTTTTTGAGCCCCTGCTAGGGGTTTCTCCTTTTTTTGATGGAGCTTATTATGTTCTAGTTTAGTATGTTCCCTGCATGTGCAATCACTAGGAATAGACCAAAATAGACCCTTGCAGCTATCAAAGTGTCCATTCCTGGTGTCAGTTTCCAGCATCATTAAATGGCTCAATAGTCGAGCCACTTTAGGATAAATTGGCAAATTGAACCCTTCATCTGCTTCTCTGCAGAGGGACAAGGGGATTATTTTCTTACTCTGCTAAACGATCACTGTTGCACTGAATCACTTAGATTATATTTTAAAAGAATTTCTTTCCTTTGCCTTTGTGTGAAGTGCAGATCAAAACTGGAGTTTCTTAATTGACATTACATACACGGCAATTAAACAATAATAATCAAAGTGATTCACTTCATCAGCAGTGGTCTAGCACAAGCAAATAAGAATAATTTCACTTTTCCTGCCCTTCCTCAGAGGAGCAGGAGAACTGTTCAGTAGGCAATGAAAGGAGCTGAAGGGTTGCTTAAGATCAATAAAACATTTGGACACAAGGATTGCACCAAATGGCTTATTACTTCTCCCCTGACCTCAAGTGACCCTATTTCGACCACACCAGCCCACACCAAAAGGACGAGTGCAGTTGTGCCCTCATATTCCCCCAACTGCTCTTGCTTGCTGAACTGGAAATTAAGTCCATTTCTCACTTGTCCAAACTCTGTTAGAGGCAGGATAGGTTTCAGTATTAGACCATCAAATAGAATAGAGAAATGCAGGTCATCATAATGCTGATGGAAATGTTTCTGGAAGTAAGGAAGTAAAAATAAAATGGTTTTAGGCTGATACAGTATTATAATATCTTCTGTTTCTAACCCTCGGATAGGGTTTTCATGCAGGAGTGTTAGATTGTCGGTGGTTGTTGTTTGGCTCCATAAATAGCTTCCTTACAGAAGCAGCAAATGCCTCTCCTTCAAAAGCATGTCATTCCATTGGAATTAGCGCTTATGTGGCTTTCAGGAGATGGTTCCTGGGGGCAGATACAGTCCTGTGAAGGAGAGCTAGAGTGAAAGTAACGTAGCAACTCTGATTTGTTTCCTATAAAGATGATTTAGTAATATCCATTGCAAAAAAAAAGCATTTTAACATACATTTTGATCAACCATGTTGTTCATAACTGCCAAATAGCTCATATTCATATGTATGTTGCCTATAGGTGGAAGCAAAACTGATTGATAAATTGGATAGCTTGATGTCAGAAGGAAAAGGTGATGAAACATACCGAGAACTCTTCAATAGTATGTGAGTAACAGATGTACTTTAAATGTCCACTTGGATAATCATTTTGCTAAGGAGCAGAACTGCAAATGCAGCTTACAGCATTGAAGCAAATGCTTTGTTTTCCTGACTTTATTTAATCAGGGTTAATTACCTAAATCAGTTAACAAGTCTTGTGACTTTAATTACTAAGATTTGTGCATTTTCTGTTTAATTTGAGAGCTAGTTCTTTTCTCATTCATTTAATTGTGAAATTTGAGAACACTTGAACTATTTACACTAGATTTCAAACAGTAAGCAATATTTTGAAATGCAAGTTATGTATATCTTCAAGAAGATATCTATTAAACATTTTATAGCAAAATAAAATCAAAACCAAATTGGATTCAGTTCTCTTTTTCCTTTTTGCTCAGTTTCCTAACATAAAATGTGAACAAACATGCCATAATGGAATTCTTGCTGTGGCACAAAACCCATGGATATTTAAATCTAAAGCTTGCTGTCAACTCCCTGGAGATTAAAAATAGCTTTGCTTCTTTTTGATTGGGTATGAGAGAACTTTTAAAGACAGAAGGGTCACTTTCCCCCTCAGGAACATAATCTGCTTTAAGATAAACTGGTTATAAGGAGAATAGCTCTGGTGGTTCTCTGCTTTGATCCTGTTCAAAGCTTGGATATAGTGAATGTGCATTCCAAGCAGTCACTGGTGAAATGTAAATTTAATTGACTATGTGTGTGTGTGTGTGTGTGTGTGTGTGTGTGTGTGTGTGTGTGTGTGTGTGTGAGAGAGAGAGAGAGAGAGAGAGAGAGAGAGGCTGTGACTAGAGGAATCACCCCAATTTGGCTTGCTGCGATTTCATTCACATCCTATTTTACTGCTGAATTCACAGTCACTGATTGCACGAGGGCTGCAGATTGAAACAGGAGTTCACTGTTCACACTCAATGTGGTAAAATTTGTATTTCAGTCCACAGCCCCCCCTTCCCCCCTTTTTCCCTCTGTCCTGCCTCTGCCAATCCTTTTGTAGTTCACTGTCAAGCCACTTGGTTTTGAAAGGGCTGTACAGTGCTCTGGAAAATATGGTAGCATTCCAAAGTTCTTCTTAACATGTACAGAAATACCACACACCGCAGGAATGTCTTTTATTTTGTCTAAATGGCTGATTTTTTAGTCATCATTTTAAATATTTTTCTCATCCAGAAGTGATCTATTACTAAGCTATTATGCCAGTTCTAATGATAAGATGATCTAGCGCTAATCTCATATGTAAAAAATAAAAATAAAAATTGGGAGAACAATCAGGGGGAAAATGAAGGGGCAGATGTTCCTGAGGTCCTGAACAACACTCCCTGATTGCCTACATCACTGGTTCTTTACCTTGGGTTACTCAGGAGTTTTGGACTGCAACTCCCAGAAGCCTTCACCACCAACTGTGCTGGCTGGGGCTTCTGGGAGTTGCAGTTCAAAAACATCCGAGTAACAAAGGTTAAGAACCACTGGCCTACATAACGACAACATCCCCATCTTTCCTACTGATCACAAAGGGGAAAGTCTGTTTGAATCGTTTCAACTTGGAAAAGGTAGAAGCCCCCAGCAGGAGAGGGAAAAAAAGCTGGTTTGGGAGCAGAAAGAGTTGGACAGATGCGAATCAGCCTTTGCATTGTGTGATTCATAAAAAATAATTTGAATTCATCCGTTTTTATAAATGGAGAAAATCCTCCATTATTTGACTGCCTAGTCACAGCCAAAAAGAGAGAAAAGCTACATACAAACCTCTATACATTCCAGATTCCACCTCTGTAAAGTGTACAGTGAAATCTTTCTGGATTGGGAACAAATTATTCTATAAATGCTATTGCTGAAAGGCCATAAATGTGTAATGCTGATGTATGAGATATCTGGTAAATGCCAGATATGTCTGAAAAACAGAGATTAGTTTATTCTATTTATATTTAAAAGAGGGAGTTCTTTTTAAGGTACAACAATCATAAGAAGGCTCACAAGATGTATACAGTACAAAAATAAATGCACATGAGAATGACATACAAACAACGCATGAAACTGAGGCCAAAGCATTAACCCAGTTAAAGCTGTGCCAAATTCACTCAGTTCCTCTCTCACCTCTCACTTTTAGACTTCTTCTTCATCATCATCTTCTTCTTCTTCTTCTAGGGGTGTGTTCTTGGCATAGCTATCAAGACGGTTGTGACAGCTGATTTCTTTGAAAGTCCCTGAGACTAGCCGGGAGAAGGAATTTTTTTTTTTGCTGTTTTTGCTGACACATCTTTGAGTTCAGATTTCATTATTAAGTTGCTATCGTAACCATATTTACCGGAGAGCAAGACTACAGTCTTTGAAAGTCCCTGATGTCCGAAATGGCCAAATGCCAGCTGAAGTGACACTGGAGCCCTCAAGCAATGGTGAATCTAAACTCCTCCCAGCCAAGGCTAGTTAAAAATTACTTATGATTACCCTTGGCATAGCCTGCGTTTGAACCAGCACGTCACAGTGTCCTTGGGTTGGATGAGGTTTATTTTGGGCTGGAAGGGGATCTGCCATAACTGAGCGCCTCTATATCCCTTTGTCAGCTCTTCTGTCAGCAGAACAGTTCTGCCAGCAGATTACTCCGTTAGCAGAAGGATAACCTGGCAGAAGGGTATTTCTGCCAGCACAAGATTTCACACTAATCTTAAAACTAGTTCACCAACACTTTTTTGAATTAGGACAGCACTCATTCACTTCTCAGTGAAGTTTGCTCCTTCAGGGCAAGGCAGTATTAGAATCATGTGAAGTTTATGAAGCACTCTTTGAGTGCTTCAAGGGTTTTGGTTTTTATCTGCGGCAACAGACAAAAGTAGTTTCTAGTTATAACTGCACATTTAAGAAGCTACAGAAACCCATATTCCATCATACTAAAGTTTATCTAGTCCCCGCACACAGGTCACAAAGTAACCAACATTTATTTATTTATGTATCTGTGTATTCATTCATTCATTCATTCATTCATTCATTCATTCATTCATTCATTCATTCATTCATTCATTCATTCATTCATTCATTTAAGGATATTAGGGCAAGTTACAAAGCTGCATAAAACAATTTTAAAACATAAGATGCTTCAAACAATTCAAAATCCAAGATCACAAAATGAAAGCATTCAAATATTAAAGGTTTTGCACTGAAATCTAAGCAGGCCACAATGCTCAACTCCCAACATTCCTAAATAATAAGAACACCTTGACCTGGCACCAAAATGATGTCCACAAGAAGGAAGTTAATGAAATAAAACACCCTCTCAGTTGTGCTCCATGTTGTTGTTGTGTACCATCAGGTCATGGCCATTCATGATGACTCTATGAATGAGAGATCTCCAAAATGTCATGTCTTCAACAGTCCTGTAAACCAGTGGTTCTTAACCTTTGTTACTCTGATGTTTTTGAACTGCAACTCCCAGAAACCCCAGCCAGCACAGCTGGTGGTGAAGGCTTCTGGGAGTTGCAGTCCAAAACTCCTGAGTAACCCAAGGTTAAGAACCAGTGCTGTAAACCCTTGTAAAGTGTGGCTTCCATTAGGGAGTCCACCTTGTACTTGGTTTTCCTCTTTTCCTGCTGCTTTCTGCATTTCTCAGCATTATTGTCTTTTCCAGGAAATCCTGCTTCCTCATGATGTGCCCAAAGTAGAACCGCCTCAGTTCCATTATTTTTTGCTCCATTTCAGGTTTTATTTGCTTAAAGACTCACTTGCTTGTCTTTCTGGCAGTCTAGAGCATCCACAAAGCTCTTTTCCAGCACCACATTTCAAACAAATATATATTTTTTTCTTGTCAGCAGGGATGGGAGCTCGGCACTTTGGTGTTCCAACCAGGGGCCCAGCTAGCCTTTCTCCTCCTCGCCAGTCAGCCAACTCCCCTGGCGAGGATGTGGGATGGGGAGTCTCCCTGCACAACCAATGAGTGGTTGGCTGCTTGGGGAGGTGGGGAAAGGCTGGCTGGGCTCCTGCCTGGATTGGAGCACCACTGCCAAAGAAGGACCCCAGCAGCATGCGGAGCACAGTAAGTGGACCAGAAGGCCTGGGTGAGGGAGATGGAACTCAGCACCACCTGTGGTGCCGTGCTTGGTACAAAGCTCCCATCTCTACCTATTAGCTTTCTTTACTGTCCAGATTTCACACCCATACATGGTGATTGGGAATACAAGAATATGGATCGTCTTGGTCTTGGTTTCCAGTGACACATCCTTACACATGATCTTTTCTAATTCCTGCCCTCCTGAATCTGTCTTCTTCTGATTTCTTGGCTGCAGTCTCCATTTGGATTGATAATTGAACCAATCTATAAAAAATCCTTCACTATTACAATTCCTTCATGGTCAACCTTAAAACTGTGTAGTTCTTCTGTAGTCTGATTTTGGCCTTCTTCATATTCAAATGCAGTCCTACTTCTTTCACTTTTATTAAAAGTCATTTAAGTCATTATTTGCCCTAGCAACTGATATACAGAGCCATATACAAAGTCTACTTATAGCCACTTTAGATACTAAAGCTTTGTTACATAGTATATTTTTATTTTCAGCTGAACTTGTTCATGTTCTCTTGAATCTTAGAATAGATATTTCTTCTTTCTTCTTTGATCTCCCCAGGGAAAGGGGAGTTCATGAACATTAGAACTATTTATTGATTTCGGAAACAAATCACAGATATCATCTTTTTTGTTAATACATGCTTGGTGAAAGTTACTATTGTACTTAAATTACACTATAATGAAATATCCTATAAAATTGCATCTATAAATCTTTTGGCAGTCTTCACCTAGGGAATTTTGAAAAGTCACCAGATATATCTGACTCAGGTGTCTCTCTAAATTGGTACTGAAATTGGAGAGATGAATGCTTTATTGCTTTCACTGTTGAGTTATTCAGCCTTGTTCTACCTTACTAGTTTTTATATTGAAACAAGGAAGTTTAATAGAAGGATTATCCTATAAATACTAGACACACATGGAGATTTTATCATTGAGCTGTTGTCATGCATTATTATGCCAGAGTATTTCAAATAGGAAGACTTTCCTCGGCTCCTCTTCAAAAAGTATATTATTCACATAAATCATTCAGTTTAACATCTTTTCTTCATTGAATCTGGCCTTTGGAAAATTTTGTAGGTTTGAAAACTTCCTAGACAAGTTTTATATCAGAAAGGGGCAACTTGTGCACCTAAATATGTTGTTGGACTACTGTTTCCATCATTCAAAGCTAGCACAGCCAGTGATGAGGAATGATGGTGCAGTTCTCCTTACATTGACCTTGGCTTTTTATTTCTTGTTGTTTTGGAAAAAAAAGAATCTTTGATGAAAGAATGGCATAAGGCTGAAAAAAGTCCACACAATGCTCTTAAAAATAACTAGCATATGTTACTTAAAGAAGCCGTTAATCAACAGCAATCTCTCACTGCTGATTACATCATTCATTGCACAGGCAGAGTGGAGTAACAGGATTTCAGCTTTTGCATTTAGCTCAAACAATAACTTATAACATCAAAAATCATAATCTTAGTCCAGAATTGATAAAGGGATGAGGTTCTGTGAGGGCACCAGCCAATTTAGTCAGTGAAAGATAAACATTGGGGCATCCCTAGCTCTGTGTTCTGGCAGCTTACACCATCCAGCCCCACCATCTACCTCACTGTGCCTAGTTGTATAGCTGGCCTTGAAATCCAGTACAGACATCTGAACACAATATATTTGCATATGGTGCCCCAGTTGTAAAGGATGGGTCCAGATATTACGGTAGTTTTGCTGTTTTTCCATTTAAAATACACAGACACAGAATTTTCTTCCCATTTTTTCCAAGCATTTGTGTGCATTTTAAAGGGAAAATGGGACATAGATGAATCCATGGACTTTTTGCAAATGAGACATTAGTTACCTATTTTATATACCCAAAGGACGCGGGGGCACTGTGGGCTAAACCGCAGAAGCCTGTGCTGCAGGGTCAGAAGACGAGCAGTCATAAGATCAAATCCACGCGACGGAGCGAGCGCCCGTCGCTTGTCCCAGCTCCCGCCAACCTAGCGATTCGAAAGCATGCAAATGCAAGTAGATTAATAGGGACCACCTCGGTGGGAAGGTAACAGCAATCCGTGTCGAAGTCTCACTAGCCATGTGACCACTGAAGATTGTCTTTGGACAAAACGCTGGCTCTATGGCTTGGAAACGGGGATGAGCACCGCCCCCTAGAGTCGAACACGACTGGACAAAAATTGTCAAGGGGAACCTTTACCTTTACCTTTATATACCCAAATTCAGTTGCTAGCCCCAGCTGGAGCAGACCCACTGAATCTGTAGGATTCATGTTAAGTGTGGATATCATTTAGCAACTGATTTGACTTTTGGATCTGAAAAGAATGTGGAAGAGAAGTCACCTTTATTTGTTCAGGCTGTATAATTCATTTTGGTCTTATTTATTTATTTTGCATAGCTTTCTTTACCTGTGCTCTACAAACAGGGATTAGTGCTGAAAACAGGGTCTCTGGCTCCTGTTAAAGAAATTCCATTCTGTTTGGAAAGCAAACAGGCCTCTGGAAAAAAGATCAAAGGGAGATAGGATAAAATATTGCAGTAAAGCCTGCAGAAGAGTTTCTGCCTTCCGATGTGAAGGGCAGAATGCTAGCTTACTTGGAAATAACCCTCACCTCCTTTGACCTGCTCTCCAGATATTGCCTGAGGAGGCTGAGGCATGTGTTTGAGGAGCTCCCTTTGTTATGAATGTTTGCCTTGTGCATTATCTCTCAAAGGTCAATGATGAGAAGGGATTTTTTATGAATTTTTGAACATCCCTGTGAACACTTAACTTGATATGAAAATATAAACTGGAAGTAAGCCCTGTATTTAAAATGGCTAATCCGGATCCGTTCTGAGAGATTATAGCCACCCTTATTTTGAGAAGCTCTCACCTTGAGCAAGTGTTTGATATTTCGTGGAGAGAAGCCTTCAGGCTAGAGAACATATTCCGCATGCACCATTTCCTAATCCCTATATGAATTCAGAACCTTTCCCTGAATAAAGTGAAATAAATGAAGCCCAGCTTTTCAACCCCTTCATCCCTCTGGACTGTTCTATATCTTAGGTAGCAGATGTATTTCCTGGAGGTCCCTAGGTAAACTTTATAATGCCTGAAGGGCAAACACATGCTTGTAAACACAGAGAGAAATATGCAGAGAAGTTCCAGTTGGCTACATTGATTGCTTTTTTTCAGTTGCTGTGGGCTAGACTGAACCTAGTAGATAGCAGTGAAATGTATATCTTATATAAAGTTGGAGCATGTTCAGTGTCTCCACTTTATTTCTAAAGCCTTATTTAATTCAGCTGATCTCTGCCATCATTGGGTAGTCCTTTCCTTCTCTCATCCTAGGAATACACGGCAGCTGCATTAGCTGGAGGAAGGGAGGGCAGAGGTCCACAATTCAGCAGCCAAATTCCCTCGCACCTCTACTTAGCATATCATCTGAAGTGTGCACTTACAAGACCTTGGGCCGGACGTTTGGTCAATGATATTGGAACTGCATTATCGCTGCTCCCAGCCTATAGTTGTTGACCTTGTAGGGTGATAAAACTTACTAGAAATTCCCAAAGGGGTAGTCATGTTAGGCTGTAATCTCCTGCCACCAAACCAACCAACAAACAAACTAGCGGACAGTTTTCCTAACTATAGTTAAATACAGGAAGTTGCATCATCAGTTGTACCCAAAGAAGTGGGCTGCACTCCACAAAAGCAGATGTCAGCCGTCAGACTCAGTGGGCAGCTCAAAGTAATTGGATTAGTTAAGAACTAATTAGTAGTTCCTGGTTGTGTGATAGCTGTAGGGAAATTGCTACAAACATTTTCGTATGATGGCTCCCAACTCCTGGTGCCAATTTGAAAGTGGGGTGGAGCAGAAATCCAGGATATAATTTTCCTGATTAAGTAAAATGGTGATCCAGTTGTGTATACCTATTGCTGCATTCAAGATTCCACTTTGGCAGTGCCAAAAAAGTAGCACTTCCCAAGAAATGTCATAAGTTAAATTTTGCATATGACAATTGGTATGCATGAGCTGGCCAACTCCGTATCCATCTGTTCTTGACTTCCTGATGGATGTGTTAAGTGTTCTTGTGCTTTCTGTGTTGGCCTTTGCTGTTTCGATCTGAGCAACAAGTTTTTGTCATGTCCTGCCACCGTACTAGTGTCTCAACCAAATTATGAAGTCACCCTTCTGACTTTTCCCTGATTACACTCTGCATCTCCTGCTGTGCTTTGCAAAAATATAAATAAATAAATAAAATCTGGTGTTTCTTTCTGCTTCCCCATCATCTCCTGCAGAAGGAACCTATTGTATAGATCACTTCACCAATCTGTAGAAATACAGATAGAAGAGCATCAGTCGGAGTGAATGTTGGGCTGCTGAACCTGCTCTTCTCTTACTGTCCCCATACCTTCTTAACCTGAGCAGAGTAATAGGCTTTTCTCTAGTGTTTTTTGCCATCCTACTTTTATTGAACACATACCACTGATATAGCCACAGTGCAAAATGTCTATAAAAATATAATTCTGGTGAGATATTCTAGAATTGCCTCTAGAATCCCTTTTTATTACAACTTTCAGCTTTGAAAAATAGGAAGCAATAATAAAGGCAAGAGTCCTTTTGAACATATGCAAAGTGCCCTTCCTACAACCGCTGTACAGCAGCCAAGTTTGCGTGTGTCTGACTTAAGAGGAAGGAGGTCCAGGGCAAAAAAGACATTGCGATACCTTTATTTTAGACCCACAGCAAATGCTAATTGATGTCCGTTGGCAGCATTGCCGGTGGTTCTCTTTCTATACTTCTGTATACCGGCTGAGCTCAGTAGCTCTCATTCTAATTGACTTAGAGAACTGGACTAACACTTGCCATCGAGAAGCCATCAATTATTTAATGGTTAAATGAATGAGATTGAAATGCATAAATAACACCAATCGAAAGGGAAGTATGGGTTTAAAAAAATCTGAGGAAAAGGCTTTTCCTGTGGCAGTTACAATGCAGTGAATTGTGTGGGTGCAGAACTACTGTCGACTAAAGTAGAGGAGGAAAAATCCTACATTGGGAAGATTTGAAATCTCGTCGGAAGGGAGCAGGGAGATGGGAAATGCTCTCCTCTAGGTAACAAAACCTTCAATTTATTTTCTTGGTGGCAAAATGCTGGTCTAGTAAATAGCACAATAGAGTAAGAATGGAATATAAACTCTGAAGCTTCTGTGTGTAAAGGCTGTGAAATCTCTCTCTGTGTGTGCATATCTACATATTGAAAATAGGATGTTATCTCTCTGTGTGTTGACTTGGAGTTGGCTAACCTAAAAAAAATCAATTTGCCTTGTCAATGCTTCCTGGACTAGAATTCCACTCTTTGGTCCGTATCCCAGGTAAGATAATACTTGCAATTGTGTTTTGTATGAGAAAGGGGGAAAGTATATATTTAAATGTGTGAATGAGCAGATATTGCTAAGACATTTTTGGGTACCTTTGAGTACAAATGGTTGTTATGGAGACCGGTAAAAATAAATGCTGATATTCTGCCCTGGGTTCATTCCTTCTAGCCTGCTAAAGAAAATTGAACGTGAAACATGGAGAGAAAGTGGCGTTTCATTAATTGCCACTGTAACTCGCCTTATGGAGAGGCTGCTGGACTACAGGTGAGCAATTGTTGCATGCTTTATAAGAAGAAATATTCAGTTGTCTGCAAGTCTAACAACAGTATTTTGTTGGGGTCGATGATTATTGCCAAGAAATACACACATACTCATAGACCCTAAGTTTTCAGGAGCAGATATGCCAGAAGTCATAAAATATGATTTTAAGCCCCTTCTGTGGCCTTTAGCAAACATAAAGGACAGTGTTCCAGGACAGAAACAAAAAAAGGTTGGTATGGCTTCCCATATGTGGGATATAGATGGAAAGATCATATGCCCCTCCCCACCCTATCAAAAACTGTATTGAAAACTTGCATATCAAGAGGAAGCAGTCTTGCTTAATCTTCTTTTTGAACAACATGTTAATTTTCTGTGTCCAGGAAGGTTTCCTCTCTTCAAACATTGTGAAGTTAGAAACAGTTTGTAGAATTCCATGTTCCCAGTATATACAGATATGCTCTAAGTGTTACTGCATAGGTTATTTTCATAGAAGAGGCACATAAGAGCAAAGGGCTGCCTTTGCTACTAAAGCCAGATCTATGTCTCTGGCAGGTGACGGTGTGTCACAGAAGCATAGCAAATTCTTAGTTCTATGATCAATTATCATTGCATTTTTATTTTCATTGGGGCTGGGGAGGAAGACTTGTTGGATTGACTGTGTCCAGTGGAAAACTAACTTGACTTGACTTCGGCATGAATATGGGAGGTAGGGGGTGTCATTTGCTATTCCACCTCAGGCAGGAAAATGTATTGAGCTGCCTTTGCCATGTTAAGGTCAGGGGTGGCATCAGCACTGCGTTGTTCCTTGCCATTCTTCTTCTGATGCATTTCATATAGGACACGATGCAATTCCTTCTCACTTTGAACAGCCCTGCAAGCTGTTACAGCTGATGTGGTTGACAAGAGAGGACTAATAGCTTTAGACACTGTACTTTTTGAATGGAAGACCATCTGTGGCCTGGAAACATAACACTGAGTAGGCACACATATAGGAGATAGGTGGTGAAACTCTCCATTCTTTCTTCTTGATGCCACATGAGATTTGGACTCAAGAAACTTTGAGTTGCTCATGTCTGTCCATCTACACCTATGACATACTAGTTGTCCATGTAGTTTCTTAGATCGATGGAGATCCCACCCATCTAGGTTGACACTGTTTATCAGGCAATATGCTGTTAACCATGTTGCTTTGCAAGGTCATCATTTAACAACAGAAAGCATAAGTGGTTTCGCATTTGGGATTCAGAGTGAATAACAACACCTGCAATTTTAATAAAGCAATAGTAGCTGCTGCTGCTGCTGCTCCTTCTCCTCCATTACTGATCCATGATATCTGGGTGTCTGAAGAAGGAACAAAATGCTGTTGCCCCAACCCCTTTCTTTTTTTCTCTTTAGTATCGGTGACATCTTCTAGCATATCTGACAGCAGCAGATTTAAGGGATTCAAAACATATTATTTGGCCCTCCTTATTCCATCCCTCGCTGGAAGGGAACATCCAGGAGAACAATTTTTGTTTCCTTCCAGTCTGCCAGCTGAAGTGGTCACCTCACACTGCCAGGGGGAAAAGCCAGACCTATGAGAGCAAACCAAATCTGTTACCGAAATGTAATTTGCATTAAAAGGGGCAGACACTTGTGGCCTACAAGATGTTGTGGGTTTGTAAATGCTGTCACCCCCGCACCACTGGCTGTTCTAGCTAGGGCTGATGAGAGCTACTGTTCAGTCACATCTGGAGGGCCACATTTTGCTTTTCCCTACCTTACAACAGTCTTATCATCCTAGATTACTGATAAATGGACTGTGGTTAACAGGGAAGGATTTACTTAAGACTGCCTAGTGAGTTTTTGACATAGGTGAGATTCAGATGGTGTATTTCTTGATCCACAGCTCAGTCTTTTAGCCACTAGTCATCAAAGTACGTGTTTGTTCTCCCACCACCACTGCTACCTCTAAGCCAAATTCAGAGAAATATTGATTGCAATCTTCATATGGATGTTTACTGAAGAATCTGCTTCACTGAGTTTAGTGGAACTTAAGGATCGTATGGATCTTGAATTCCAGTCTCTTTTATAGTTTTAGGTTTGTAGACATTCTATATACTGTACTTGAAATATTTGCTGTCTTTGTTTTCAGTTTCATACAGCTTGTAAAAACAATGGAACCTTAAAGATTAATATATTTTATTTGTCCTAAGCTTTTGTAGATTGCAGCCCACTTCATCAGATGGAAACTGTTACCCAAGTAGGCAGGTATTATTTATACACAGGCTTGAGTGGGAGGAAGATGAAGGGAAACAGAGAGGCTACAAATACAAACACTGATGATTATCATTTAAGAAAGCAAAGGTACAGACAATTAAGGGCAGTGTGGTGCTTTTCACTGTAGAAACAATTGTTAAGATAATCATCCATATTTGTATTTTGCATTTCTTTCTCCCTTCATCCCCATCCCACCCAAACATTTATAACTGTCTCTGCCTGCTTAGGCAGCGTTCCTTGCATCAGATTCTGTGGGCTGCAGCTTGTGAAAGCTTCTGCCAAATTAATGCTTGTTGTCTTTAAAGTATCAGAATATTCTTTTCTGTTTTTTATCTATTGCAGCAAACGAAGGGTGCAGCTCTACAGTGGGGAAAATGTGAATAGATCCACTGCAAAGTTGCAGCTGGGAAGATGGGTTTCCGCAGGTTCATTTGCCTCAGTCCACCACATAGGAGTCAGCAAAGAGAGGGAAATAAATCAACCTTGTTTGTAGCTTATTAACTATTTGAATTTTCTCCTCCCTACACCTGGTACCTGCATCTGCTTGTTTGCCTCTTCCCATTCAGTTTTTTTTCCTTTTTAAAAAAGGGGGACAGCTAGGGGACTGGGTAGGGTAGGTGAGGAATCGTCAGAGAGAGAGGAGGACGTTTTGTATTTTAGCCTTGTTTCTAGCTTATTAAGAAAAAAGAGGACTCAGTGCGCACAGGCACAGAGAGAGAGAGAGAGAGAGAGAGATGTTTTTTAAGGTGGCTTGACTCTGACAATCTAGATTTGCAAGAGGCACAGTTAGAGCCAAAGTACCGTAAAACTTCCTTCTCTTTCTACCACGTGCTTGCTCTGTTTTTATCCTCCTTTGGTTCCCTGGCTGCCCTAGTGCTAGATTAGCAAGTTGTTAAATAAAAGAATAAGTAAGTAAGTAAGTAAGTAAGTAAGTAAGTAAGTAAGTAAGTAAGTAAGTAAGTAAGTAAGTAAGTAAGTAAGTAAGTAAGTAAGTAAGTAAGTAAAAGAAAGAAAGAAAGAAAGAAAGAAAGAAAGAAAGAAAGAAAGAAAGAAAGAAAGAAAGAAAGAAAGAAAGAAAGGGAAGCTGAAACAGACCTAGACACCAGGTGTGGAGAGGAGAGGATTCAAGTGGCAACAATTTTCCCTGCTGCCCTGATTCTCTCACGGTACTGCTGTAGCTTGGCTGGATTGGCTCAAATACAACATCTACAAACCCCTCCACATTAGCTCAAGTGATTGTACCAATTTTATATCAGGTAGTCAGTGGGAAACAATGTGAACCAGGCCATCCTAATTCTAGAGCATTTCCCACATTACTCGTCAGTGTAATTTTACCCTTACACCGTTACCTCATCTCTATTGAAATTACATGTTTTAGTTGCTGAGGTTTAGATTCTGGTTCCAAAAAGCTACTTCAGGCATACCAAAGTGCTGAAAACAATTATAAACACAGAGATCTTATTGTACTGTACTGTTTTTTGGGTCCTAGTTTGGATCTCTGCATAGTGGTGAGTTTGTGATGGGCCAATGTATGCACCTTCTTCAGTCCGATGACACTGAAAATAGTACAGTGGTGCCTCGCATAGCGAGGTTAATCCGTTCCGGATTAACCTTCGCTATAGCGAAACATCGCTGAACGGGACAGGGAAAGCCATTGGAACGCATTAAACATCGTTTAATGCGTTCCAAAAGGCTCCTCTACTCACCGTTCAGCGAGGTTTCCTATGGCCAGCAGCCATTTTCGCGCCCTCATTAAGCGAGGGGAGGGCGCGAAAATGCTGCGCGCAGCCATTTTGAGGCTTCCGGTGGCCATTTTGTCCGCCAAACAGCTGATCGTCGGAGCTTCGTTTTGCGAAGATCGGTAAGCGAAACGCTTACCGATCTTCACAAAGCGAAATTCTCCCTATCTGAAGCTCGTTGACCGATCGATTTCATCATTATACGGTGCGCTCGTTAAGCGAGGCACCACTGTATTTTGTTTCAATCTAAGGCAGAAGGATGTTTTTTTAAAAAATGTTAACTACTTTGTAGTGAAATGTGCATAATGATATTGATGATAATTAATTCAGTACTCTCCATGTACTGCATTTGGCTCTTTGCAAGGGAATGTAGTTCCCCCAACCCAAGGGCTTACCATATCCAGAGTAGGTATCAGAGAAACAAGCAAGGAAAGGAATAGAGCAGAAGGAACAGAGGAAGAATGTGTGATAATTACAGTGACTGTCGCGCACCCCCAGTGACCTCTGTATGTTTTGCCTCTCACACAAGTTCACCTTCGGACACAACTTGTTCTTTTCACTTTTATTCGCTGCCACCAGAGGATATTATACTTACTATATCAATTATGAATCTCACACTCTTGCTGCCAAAGATAACTAGGTTTATTTACGGAGTAGTAAGAAAATCACAGAAGGAAAATCATGGATGTTCTATTATCATTCATTCATTAAACTTGGATTGGATTACAGTGTATGTAAGCTTGCTTGTATTCATTTACTTTAATCAAGGTCTCAATATATTCTTTGTCTATGTACTTCTAATTCCTTTTCACTCTTTAATATTCTCTAATACACCAACTGTCCCATATCTTGTCTAAACACTTCACAGTCTTTAATCTAACTCCCTCTCTGACACACACAGTTTTCCTGACTCCACCCTTCCTGTCCGGTCATAGGCTCCTGCACTAGAGCTCTAAAATGCCTGACAGGAGTGACGTGTGGGCTGTCTGCCACAGTGGCATATATAGCTTTACCGTGTTTCTCCGAAAATAAGACAGGGTCTTATATTAATTTTTGCTCCAAAAAACACATTAGGGCTTATTTTCAGAGGATATTTAATTGTTTTAATGTACACCAATCTACATTTATTCAAATATAGTCATGTCATCTTCTTCTGGTTGTTGCACAATGTTGGAGGGCAGGGTTTCACTTAACTGGGGCTTATTCTTGGGGTAGGACTTATATTACGAGCATCCTGAAAAATTATACTAGGGTTTATTTTCAGGTTAGGTCTTATTTTTGGGTAAACAGGGTAATTTAGAGTTGATTTATGCCAATTCCCATTTGGAGCCATCAGCTATTTTATTCCACTTTAAGAATACCAGTTGTTACAGATTCTTGCATCAACAGTATATTTGAATCTTTTAGCACATATATTTCTCTCAGAAACATCATTTTATCTGATGTGCATAATTAATTCTTTCCCACATAATTTGATCTGATTTTCTTCCCCCACCGCATCCAGGGACTGTATGAAAATGGGAGAAGTGGATGGCAAAAAGATTGGCTGTACTGTCAGCTTGTTGGTGAGTATCACTTTGACTTGGAAGATCTTAATTTTCACACTGAAGATCTGTATGGGAAGACAATGAATGCAGTTTTAATAAAGGAGGCACGGTGGAGAATTAAACTCCCAACCTAAACTACTGAGCTATTCCCAGCCCAAGGATGTTTTGAATATGGCGACAACATTGTTTAGATGTATTCTCAAAGGCTTTCATGGCCGGGATCCGATGGTTGTTGTGAGTTTTCCTGGCTGTTTGGCTGTGTTCTTAAGGTTTTTCTTCCTAACATTACACCAGTCTCTGTGGCCGACATCTTCAGAGGACAGGAGTTAGAACTCTCTCTGTGCTCTGGTGCAGTTTGTTGGATAGTTGAGTATTTATAGCTCAGGGATCAGCTTTTGTCCTTTTCAGGAGACTGGGTGATTATGGTGATCAGTGTGTCTTTGATGTGGGTGTATTGTGATAATGGGGAGAGGTTATCTGTCACTTTGATTGATGGATGTAGTTAGCTGGTCTTTTGTGTGCAGTGATCACCGGTCCTTGTGCCTGGGTAGAGTTTGTTGACCTTTTGCAGGCTGTATTTTTCAGTGCTAGGAGCCAGACTTTGTTGAGTTTCAAACTTTTCTTTTTTGTTGAAGCTCTGCTTGTGTTTGTGGATTTCAGTGGCTTCCCTGTGCAGTCTAACATAATGATTGCCGTTGTTGTCCAGTACTTCTATATTTTGAAATAGAATTTCATGTCCAGCTTGTTTTAGGGCATGTTCAGCTACTGCCGATTTTTCCGGTTGTTTTAGTCTGCAGTGTCTCTCATGTTCTTTGATTCTGGTGTGGGTGCTATATTTTGTGTTTCCAATATATACCTGGCCACAACTGCAATGTATCCAGTATACTCCTGCAGTGGTGAGGGGGTCCCTTTTGTCCTTTGCTGACCATAACATTTGTTGTATTTTTGTGGTGGGCATGAATACTATTTGTAGGTTGTGTTTTTTCAAAATTTCCCCATGCGGTCCGTGACCCCTTTGATGTATGGCAGAAATACTTTATTTGTGGGTGGCTGTTTTTCCTCTTCAGATTGGTGTTTTCTTGGTTTGATGGCTCTTGTGATTTCATTCTTGGAGTAGCCATTTGCCTGTAGGGCCCAACTCAGATGGTTGAGTTCGGTGCTGAGAAATTGAGCTTCACAGTTCCGCTTTGGATGGTCTACCAGTGTTTTGATTATGCTTCTTTTTTGTTGTGGGTGGTGGTTGGAGTTTTTGAGTAGGTACTGGTCTGTGTGGGTGGGTTTTCTGTAGACCTTGTGTCCTAATAGGAGGTCAGTTTTGCGTATGACCAGGACATCTAAGAAAGGGAGTTGGCACTCTATTTTCTTTTTCCATGGTGAATTGCATATTTGGGTGGATGCTGTTGAGATGGTTTAGAAATTCTTCCAGTTTTTCTTCACCGTGGTTCCAAATTGTGAAGGAGTCATGCACGTATCGGAACCAGACTGTGGGTGCGAAGGGTGCCAAAGCCATGGCCGGTTTTTCAAAATGTTCCATGTAGAAGTTTGCTATAACTGGGCTGAGGGGGCTCCCCATGGCCACTCTGTCTGTCTGTTCATAGAACTCGTTATCCCACTGAAAACAGTTGGTCATTAGGCAGTGTTGGAAAAGGGCCTTGATGTCTTCTGAAAAAGGGCCTTGATGTCTTCAGAAAACCCTCCCACAACAAAAACATGCTGATCATCATAATCACCCAGTCTCCTGAAAAGGACAAAAGCTGATCCCAGAGCTATAAATACTCAACTATCCAACAAACTGCACCAGAGCACAGAGAGAGTTCTGACTCCTGTCCTCTGAAGATGTCGGCCACAGAGACTGGCGAAATGTTACGAAGAAAAACTTTAAGAACACAGCCAGACAGCCTGGAAAACTCACAACAACCAACATTGTTTAGAGTTAGGGAAATGCTACATTTTGGAACAACAGCTTCCAGAACTTCCCAGCCAGCATTGCCACTGACTGCTGTGGCTGCAGGATTCTGAGAGTCCAAAAATGTAACTTTCCAAGAAGCCTTGGCATCTATGCTCTTGCCTAATTTTAGACAGTTCTGGCAACACTGTTCTCATTCGTCAGCAGAGCCCCCTTTTAACGCTGACATTTTATACTTAAAAAAGAAAACAGCATGATGCATGCTTTCCTCAGAGTCATTGGCCCTGATCCAAGGAAGTAAGAGTCTGCCAGCCTTGCCAGTACTTCTGGCATACTCCCAGTGACCGGGCTGATGAAGAAACCTCTTGGTTCTGATAGCATTGCCTACGTTTCCCATGGGCAGGAAGATCTGCCTCCAGTGAGCCTGGTGTGTAATTTATCTCCTTTCTTACTGCTTCTGAGAATGTTTGCCCTGTTGGATCCCAACATCACTTTACGTATTCTAGTGAGGTAGTGTACATAAACTCAGTTTTCCCACTAGTAATACCTCGGAGACTGTTCCATCACACCTACAAGCTCAGAGTAAACAAGAAAAAATTTGCTGTTCGAAGCCCATAAACTACTTTAAATTTTGAAAGGTAATCTACACATTTTTTTCTTTTTGAACAACTGATTGATGCATTGATCAATAATATTTTAAAATCTCCTCTTGTTCTCATTCTCCTCCTCCTCCTCCTCTTTTGCCCATGAGGGTACCCAAAAGTGATGCATGATTAAATCCTAACATAAAAAGAAAACCTGGACAACCTTCTTTAAAAAGAGACTAACAAGAACTTTAAAATCACTGATATGTAATATATCAGAACTCAAAAACAGACTGATTTTTTTGAAAGCAGTGATGTACAACAAATTCAGTAGATAGAAAGAAAACAGAGGTAAGAGCATTATTTAACAACAGGGTAAAAATAATTTTTAAAACTAAAGTCCTGATGAAATAATACTGATTTGGAAGCTTGTCAAAGCCTCACTAAGAACAAAATCATCCTAACTTCCCTTGGGGGCGTGGTAGACAATAGAAGTACTGCTATAGTACTGCTCCTTCCTATTCATTCCCAGTCTAACATCTCGACAGGATGAACATTCATCTGCATCCCTGCTGAAAGGCAGGCTCCTTCAAATATTGTGCTCCCAAGCCATTATGTATGAGAAGGTGAAGCACATTGCTTACCAAGGGTAGGAGCCCCTTCTGGTTGCTTGTTTGAGCATTTAGAATGTTTGCCACTGTGACACAGATAAGAGCCAGACAGCTGCAAGCCACAGGGCAATTTTCCTGGCGTGGGGTTCATCAAAGTAACAGTAAAATATCTGTTATGGAAAGGATAACGTTCCATACTGGTTAATCCCTCCCCTTTTTTTCCTTTTCTTTTTGGCAAGGGTTTCTCAGTAAAAGATAAGCTGCCCTCAGTCAGAGTGAACCTGACTCTGCCCTTCTGTCAAGGACCTTCATCCCAATTGGAGGCAGGAAGAAAAATAAAGATACATTGGATGTCCCTGATCCTAGGTCTAGAAGACACAAGATGTAAAATCCTGAAAATCCTGACAACAGAAGAGGTTGTTTTGTAGGCATATGGTCCTTATCATGGACCACATACCTATGAAAGGAATGTTTTTTGGGGGGGAAGGAGAGGGATTAAAACAAGAAAGGCAACCATCACACAAATACAGTAGGACCCCCATATCCATAAGATTGGTATCCACAGTTTCAGTTATCCATGGTTTATCACAGCCCTATATACAAAACACAAGGGGTGGGCTTTGTGGCCTTTGTCCCACGTTGTTGTGTGTTATGTATAGAATTTACTACTATTTGTGGTTTCAGGCATTTGCAGTAGATTGTGGAAAGGATCCCCTGCAGGTACAGGGGTCCTGCTGTACAAGTCCAAATAAAAGCAATAAAATCAGTTTAACCTATTTATAGTACCACCTCGCATAGTGTTGGGTTTTAGATCATACACAGACTTCATCATAGAAAGGATAATCTGAGACTATATTGGCATCTAATAAGATAATATTTGGTGAATGACAAAGATTACATTATAGAGTGAAATCTTGTGTATGCCTTTTAGGAATCAAGTCCTACTGTGTACAGTACTGCAACTGAAGTGGGATTATGTTTATGATTACACTTGTTTATAGACTGGAAGGCCTCATATTTTATTTATGTTTGAGTTTGTATATGAATAATATTTACACACTGTTCACAGTACTGCGTAAAATAAGAGTGGATGGTACTTTTAGTAGGCCACTTCAGATATATAAATATATACACATACACATATACCGTATTTTTCGCACCATAAGACGCACTTTTCCCCCACAAAACAGGGGGGTGGAAAGTCTGTGCGTCTTATGGAGCGAAGAAAACAGATTATATTTTCCTGTTTTCATATCCTAAAAAATTGGTGCGTCTTATGGAAAGGTGCGTCTTATGGAGCGAAAAATACGGTATATGCCAATCTCTAAAGTACTGCAAGACTCTTCTTTAGGCTGAATGTTGTGAGTTTGATAGCACACAAGAGCAGAAAAGTCCAAAACTTCTTATGGCCCAATGCTGATGCTACAGGATCTGAAGTTAACATCCCAAGGATGCAAACTCGAAAAATCAGTTGTGTGTTGTATCAAATTTTTCCTCAGGGGAAGTCCCATTTCTGTATACACTAATGACCCTTCCTTTCCCTTTTGTGGAAACACATGACTTTTGCCCAGAACCATATTGGAAGACCTGAAGATTAAATTTGGAGCCTATATGAGAGCTGGTGTACTTTCTAAAGTGTGATAGAAACACATTGAGGCTGACATCTGTCCTATGGGATAGACTAGGCTGAGAGAGTTCCTTATCTATGGCTAAACAAGAACCTCAGCCTGAGTTCCTATCTATCCTAGGGATGTTGTTGATGATTTTTTTTACATGTAGTGCCCCCCCCCGAGTGTGCAGTTGGAAAAAAAGTAGGTGAGTTGGAAATGGATAGCTGTGCAGTTGAAGAAACAGAGAAACCATTAGACAAGTTATGTATATCTGTTTATTAAGAAAACACAACAAGCAGTGTCAGGTAACACAGTTTATACAAGGGCTAGGAAGTGCTTGATTCCCTGAGTCCCAAAGGGGTCAGTTATCTCCCCAGTGCTTGGGTGTTCTTCTCAACCCAGCACTATCAATGCAGTCCCAGGTCATATCTGTAGCATCTTATGCCTTTTTACATCTGAGGTGGATACCCAGCTGTTTCCCTTCCTTGACACCAGATCCCTCACCATGTTGATCCATGCATTGGTAGTCTCATGTTTAGACTATTGTAATGCTCCCTATGTGTACTGGCTACCTGTTTGTTTCTGTGCCAACTTCAAAGTGATGATGCTGTTTTACAAAGCCCTAAATGGTTTGTAACCTTGATACCTGGCAGAATGCCTCTTTCTGATGAGATCTGCCCATTTTACATGATCTTCCCAGGCTGGGCAGATAAGAACACTGACCTTCTCAGCAGTTCCTCCCTGCCTTTGGAACAATCTCCGACCTGAAATTCACATGGCCCTTCACTGACAAGCTTTAAACGATCACTGAACACATGGCTTTTAGGCAGGCTTTCCTAGAGTATTTAACATTATAACACAGTGGTTGTTTCAGCATTTTATACTACCCATTCCACCATCTTGCTTTTAAATTATTCAAAAATATTTTTAGGTTTTTATTTAGATTGCGAGTTTATGTTCATTTGATGTTTAATTTTGATTTTGATTGTTATTATATTTATCATTTATCTGGTTTTTAGTTGTAAACAGCCCAGAGTGGCCCTGGTAGCCCGATGGGCAGTATAGAAGTTAAATAAAATTGCCCAAGTCATAAAACAACTTTTTTTTTTTGCTGAAGACTAGTCTTTTTTGCCTTCACCTTCAAGTAACACTTAGCCTGAAGATTTGTATTTGGTTTTTGGATGGTGGGGTCTGAGCAGGCATTTGCACAATTGAAATTTTTTGCTTTAAAATACCCTAAGTATTCCTGCATAAGAATCAGTGATATGAATTGTGGTCCCTTCTAATTTCTCAATCTCTTATCAGTATTTCCATCCTAATGCATGCAACAGTCTTTTTAATCCAAGAGAAAAACCTTTAGCACACAGAGAACAATGTTATACGGAGCAATGGAGCTCAATGCATATGAAAAGTCCAAAACGTCACCTTTTATTTCAAGAGCGAAAAAAGAGAAGTTTTCAGCCATTTTTGTAACTCTGAGAGCTTGCCAGAGTGAGAACTGTGAAGTGACATCTTAATGACAGGGTTGTTTTTTATATATGCTCTGTTTTTTAATTCTCTACCTTGAAACCGCCCATAAGGACCATACTTTGGCATTTACAGTGCTTGATGACAATGTCACTTGCTTTCTCAGTTGTTTCAGATCAGAGTGTCCTGATATGTACTATATTGATAGGCGCTACATTATAAATCCTTTTTGGTTTACAAACACAATATTGACCTTCTCCAAACTAATGGAAGGTGCAGGTTTAGTTCCTGATAAATGTTTATAGGATCACACTGTAAGAGAAGCAGTGACTCCTTTAGGCTTAGAGCAGGGATAGGGAAGCATTGTATATTGAATGAATGAATTTATTTATTTATTACGGTCGGACCAGCTCATAAAATATTATATGGCTGAAATATACAAAATGCAATTTTTAAAGTGTACAACCCGTTCATAAATGCATTGTGTGTTGAGATCATTGGGACCCTTAAGCTCCAGAAGACCCAGCCAGCATAGCCAAGAGATCATGAGAGTGGTAGTCTAAAATACCTAAAGATCTAAACTACCCACCCCACCCCCATCCCTAGATTAGAGCAATTAATTCCTGCAATTCTTGTTCAATCAGAACATGGTATAATGAAGCTTTTTCTTATCCATCAACAAAATTATTCCCCCTGCTTTGCTATGCTGTTGGTGGGTCACATGGAACTTGTATGAAAAGGGAATTTCTGTAAATATCACCAGCTGGAGTGATAAGTCATTGATCTTTCAAAGCATGCTATTTGGGGAGGAGACAGAAGAAGCTGTCTTCTAAATGACTGGAGAAGAGACTGTTTCTGCAATTTTAGTGATTTAAAACCCTAAAGCCCATAGTTGTGAATGTATTTCCACATTTTCTTTCCTCTCATTTAAGTAAGGGGATCCAGAAAAAGTATCTATCCAATGGAATTTGCCTGTGTACCATTTTTGCATACATTTATCATAAACAAAACAATTACCTGAACAAGACATCACTCTGCAAGCACACTCAGAATAAAGCGTGCTACTCCTGTGAAAGTCTTGCAGTCTTAGAACAGAATTGGGTGTAGCATTTGTCAAAAAAATACATTTCCTTCCATCTGGCTCATTCATACCTGGAGGCTATTGTTATGGAAATCAGTAGGCAACAGTAATACAGTTGTGCTGGTTTTTGCTCATCAGTTTGAATGTGTGAACCAGTTCTAAAGGAACATCTAATGCACTTTTTTTCCTTAGGAGAAGAAACACTTAATAGAAAGTACAAAATCAGAATGCAAAATCCACCTGTGAATTTGCATTATAAAGACCCACAACCATTTCTCTTTATGGCTTCATTAAAAACAAGATGTTTTCCCAGGTGATATGGTCATTCTCATGCTACAACCAATATGCAAGTCGGATTGGACAAATCACTGTCCAGAGGAGGTACATCCATCTTCTCTCTGGATTTTCCCAAATATTCTTGGATGGATGAGATACTTACATAAGGCTTACTCATGTCAAGCCCCATTAGCATAATAGTTAAGCAACTAGAATCCGGGAAACAACCATGTGGTCAGTTCTTTGTATGTTGCATTAGATCCTTCAGTGTAAGGATATGCATTGTGCAGAAACTTGGAACAAACATGCTCTGTTGATGGATTCAGGAGACCTAGTCCTGCATCCTTCACTGACATAGCCTTTACAATGGCCTTAACTGGCATCAGCCATGTATGAATTTTGCATTCCAGTTCAGTTGAAACTTGAATACTAAGATTAGGTTCCCTACATTCAATATGGCTGCATTTCCAGGTTTGTCTTCTGTACTGTTCGTTGAAAGCCTCTTTTCCTTAGAATACCTATTGTTAAAGAATTCACACATGTTCATTCATTAAAAAATACAAACATATATATTTATTTAAACATTTATACATACCACCCACATGGCTCCATAGATCTATTGGAGCAGCTAACAACATTCTACAAATGGCAAGAAGAAAACATTAACAATTTAGAAGTGCACTAAATGGCATGTCCCACACAAAATATTTTGTTGTTAAGGCATTAACAGGTAATCATTCCACACAGACCTAAAACTCTGCACAGTAATCGCCATATCTCAGATCATTAAGCAATGGATTTTCCATTTGCAGCTTTGAATTCCATTGGTGACTAAATGTATCATATTTAGTTTTCTCATCTGGTGTGCTTACAATATTATATTATATATATGTAGTGTACCAATTGGCAGTAACTATCACATTGTATGCAACAGAAAAAAAAGATGAGCTGTATATCTGATTTCCCTCTCTTTCCCTAATTAAGTCGTCTGGTTTGTTATTTTATTTTAACCTAGATCAAAACATTTTTTTGCTTTAAAAATATAAAGTTTTAATACATTTTTAAAGATAAAATTATTCCAACAGAACCAGGAGAATATCACACAAATATGATATTTCAGAGTCCTCTGTCTTCTCCATCTCCAGAAAGCAGAGTCTTCCTGATAGGAAATGGTATAAAATTCAGGAAGCACTTCAGGACTGTGTTAAAGGAGTTGTACTTTATTATTACAGTTCTTTTGTACCCGTCTAATGTTTTACAATGTTTTTCCCCTCAGAATTTTTATAAAACAGAATTGAACAAGGAGGAGATGTATATTCGATATATACATAAATTGTATGACCTGCACCTAAAAGCACAAAACTTCACAGGTAAATGTTTCACCATTTTATCTGGACAAAAATATTTTTGAAAAATTGTTAGTGTGTGTTAGTGGAATAAAGAAGAGTTTTTGAAAGCTTTCATTCGTCTTAATTTGGCATACATGTTTTCAGGGGAAAGCTGGTTGTGACAAGGCATGGGAACAAATTTCTTCTTTATATGCCTTCATTCTAGTTGTAAGCCAGGCACTGAAATTACTGTTTGGGTTTCAATCCTTGATGTTTTATGGAAACCATACCTTGTGCTGTAGTGGCAAACTATTGCTTGCTCAAATGTGGAAGGGAATCAAAGCGGGAAGAGGGACAGAGCAGGGGGAACTCATGTCACATTCCTTTTATTTGAAACCTTCAAAAATTGGTTGCAAATAATAAGTCCGAATGTATCCTTTGAATCTCTAAAATACCTGTTTCCAAGGCAATTTTGTTTTGTTTTGGTCGGTTAGCTTTTACATCCCTAAGCAATATGTACAGGGTTCAGCAGAGTCATACACACGTTGAGATAGTAAGATGTAACTTGAGTATAGATCTGTGGATCAGATCAGCCGTCTTCAAACTGATGCCTTCCAGACATTTTGGGCTCCAGTTTGCATCATGCTTGACCTGTAACCATGCCAATGAGGACTGCTGGATTTCTAAAACATATGGGAGATCCCATGTTATGGAAGATTATGTCAGGCATAGCATCATTTGTATTTTCATGTACATTTTATTGGGTGATCTTTTAAAGCCATGTCAATAGTTCTCTAATAATACTGCAGCATTTGCATGTGAGATGCCGTTAATAACTTTTCCATTGACAATACCATCATTTGTTTCAACAAGAGTATCTCTATAAATGTTCTTGGTGTACAAATGTTAAGATATCTTTGTCATATTCCTTTGTCATTCGATTTTCAATTTTTACTGCATCCTTTTGTTGTCAGTACAGGTTGCTAATTATATGAATATCTCTTGAATTGAGATCTTTGTTTACTAAAACCTCCATAGCTTGCCTTGTTCTACATTGTCAAAACCTTTCTCATAATAAAACAAGCATACATATTTGCATCCATGGTATGACATCTTTCCCCAAATACATGTATGTAGAATAATGCTTCTCTGGTTCCAAATTTTCCTCTGAATCTAAATTGCAAGTTTCCTGTCACTTCTTTGCACTTCTTGTGCTTTCTGCCATGCTTTTAAAGAAAACCTTCAGTAAATAACTTATTAAACTTACCAATCTGTAATCAATGTGAGTCTTGGGATTTTCTGTTTTGTATAATGTAATAAAGATGGATTCCAGCCAAATTTCAGGAATTATTCTTTGGTAGTTTGATTGAATAGATTCACTAAAATACTTAATTTGCCATTTTCTGCTAGCTACAATACTTCTGTGAAAACATCACTATGCCTATTTCCGCTGTTTGGTGGCTATGTTTCCATTTTCTTCTTTCTATTAGTTCTAATATTCTTCTGCCACCCACTTTTTTCCATTTCCACTTTTGAGGTTGCTGCTCCTGATAGCAGTTGCTCTCCACCCCAACAAACATCTCCTGCCTAATGTAAGGAATCTGGAAATGTCAAGCATTTCCTTTATTGGTAATCTTCCCCAGAATAAAATGATAAGGTTGGAATCTATGAATACTGCTAGTTTTGCTGTACTGCTTCTGGCCAAATTTATGGGCCAACAGTTTTTGGCACAGCCCTCTCCCTTTTAATGCCAGTTTTAAATCTTTCCTTGAAGAGCTGGCAGGCAATGCTGCAATTGCAAATCAGGTTGGTGTACATCTTCTATGTAGTTCAACAGGCTGTGTGTAGTACTGAGATCAATAGTGTTCAGAGGGAAAGTATTTGATATATTTGACCTGGAGTGTGCGGTGTTCCCCAGCATCTGAATATAGTCTCAGAAATCATTTATATACCTCTTTTTAAATAAATGTTTTGTTTTCTAACCTTTTCTCAATAAAACTGAATACCCAGCTCATGATTCCCAATTGTTATGTAATTCTGTTGGCATTCTTCAATGTTGTTCAACACATTGGTGTTGGGAGGAGCTACGTATGTCTTTGTCTTTTATTTTACAGAAAATGGAAGCCATGTCCTTTTTGTTTTATTTTCCCATTATACTGTATACAGATGGACGGACGTGGTCCAAGACAGAAGGACATGATCCTCTAGGTGTTGTTAAATAGCATCTCCTGTGATGTCCAAACATTGGCTAGGCTTGCTAATATGAGTAGGATGGGCAGTTCAGCAACTGGTGCCTACATTTTCTACTCCTTTTTCAAGGGCACTGTTGTAAATAAATGCATGGCAGTTTGTGCTGCATTGGCTGCATTTGGGACATCATCATAAACTGATGTAGACAGGAATAAATATAGGCTTCTTTTCCAGGCTTACACGCCCTGCCTTCCTAGTACAGCTGCAAAGAGGAGTTTGGATCCTTTTGTTTATCATTTTGATGAACCACAGTTTAATGCATTATCCATAGATGACAGATTATTGTTGAACTTAATTGGGGTTTCTTTGGAACCAGCCAGTTTGGTTTACCAAGTGGGGCTTTTTTTCAATAAACCATACTTAAAGTTATCCACTTTTTGAAGTTTGGACAGAATCAGAATTGAAAGCTTCTCATCACAAGAGGGAGGAACAAAAATGTGACAGCATTATCTGGGATTTGAAGGGAAGGTTTGACTCATTCTGTTATAGCAAAGACTCATTTATCATGACACCTATGGGGAGTTATCCTAAACAGAAAGAAAACAGATAGATAATAGATTATTTTTTAATAGTACTTCTTTAAAAAAAGAAAATTCTACTAATGCTTATATATTTTGTTTCATATTTACTTGCAACCCATGATAGAAGCTGCTTATACGCTGTTGCTATATGACGAACTGTTGGAATGGTCGGACCGGCCACTGCGGGAATTTCTGAACTATCCCATGCAGACAGAGTGGCAGCGCAAAGAATATCTTCATCTCACTATCATCCAGAACTTTGACCGAGGAAAAGTAAGTAGATTGGGCTGCCAGTTTTAATTGCTGTTTTGAACAGTTGATTACTAGTAAGCCCCCCCATTTTGTAAGCTATTAACTTATTTGAAAGTATATTTAATATTCAACGTGAGTTCATCTTTTTGTGTATGTGTGATAACCTCATAGGAAATGAAGTTTACCATTATTATAATTCATAGCATTAGAGTGAAATCCTAGCTAGTTAAAATGGATGAGGATAGCCAGCTAAAGTTGTACTAAATCCAAATCCTTTCCAGCTTGAGGATGTTAGAGATTGCTTATGACTACCTTCACCTTGGCCTGTTTTGGTATAAAGTATGTGTCCCGGCCTGGAAGATGATTGGATCTAGCATATGGCTTCTGCTTTTTCCCCATCCCCTTTTTTTGTCTCTACTGCTGACACACCTTAGTCAGACCAGTTCTGCTGGGACATGGCTCTGCTAGTAGTTCTCTAGGATCAGCCAGCAGAAGGGAGTTGTGCCAAGCACAACGGGATTTCTGGTTGCAGAAGAGATTTCTGTCTGAGTTCACCCTACAGTGAACATTTCTTTAAGTTAGAATTGCACTGTTAATCTGTAGAACGTCTCAGTGCTTGCCTGGTTTTTACCTCATTTAACATCTCCTGTTTACATTTGAAGAAAGAACCCTAGAGCAAGGATGATGAATTTTTGTTCTATTGTTTGCAGCCACTATGCCCCACTGTACTGATTCTATCAACTGTAGTAAATCTTTTTAGATCAGCCACCATAGTCTTTAAGCAGCAGAGTGTGCAATGGCTGGGTCTGAATAGTTGGAAACTGGCTACTTTTTTCTTAGCTGATACCAGTTAAAAGATTGATTGTGATTTTAATAATATATTTAATTTGAATAGTCCATTCTGATAGGATGCTCAGATAGTGTTGTGTTGTCTTTTAAAAAACAGCACAGTTGCTCCACAGGACAACAAAAGACTTGGGCTTCTATTTGTTTGCTTGTTTATGTTGTAACACATCTGCTTGCCATAAGGAAAAACACTTCTGAGAAGTTAAGAATCCTACTGGGCATACCCATGCTCTTGGCACTGCCTAAAATACCATTCTGGGCTGAAGCCTTGTTATAATAGACTTATGCAGATGTCACTCCAAAGGTATCTGCCACTGTGCATTATGGACTATGGGGCCACATCTCTAGCCCTACCAAGAACCATATTAAGCCTCTCCCCCTTCTTTTTCAGTAGAGTGTGCATACAGAAACCTTTGAACATAGACCCCTGTGCTCATTCACTGAGAATTCCATAGCTCCTAGAATGCTGCACGTTCTTTGGCACTGCCTTTTGTGCCTCAGATATTCATGTTAAAAGTTCTGGATGATAGTGAGACAGTAGGGTCCAGGATGGTTGCAGTTGGAGCCTGATGTCCAACCTGCACTGCCTTTTTGATCATGCTATGCTCCTTTTATACCAATGATTTGTGAAAGGTGAGGGGCTTGTACCTGGTCTGTATTTGGAAGAGGATCAGACAGTCTTTCTTTTTAGGAAAGCCACTCAAGGGTTTGGATTATGGCAGTGGGCTGGATGTTATGTTTCGATAGGGTTGTAACTGAATTTACCCAGTTGAGTAGTGGTCACAATTTTATATCTTGAAAACTAACGGTCATAGGAATTCAGCCTCCAAATGTTGTCCTCAGTTCAAAAATTATTCTTAGTACGTCTGTCTCTAACCTGACTGGGGGCAATGGAGGATGTGGTCCAGTTTATCTGGGGGGCAACAGGTTGAGAACAGTGGCTGTAGTATATGAACATCAGTGAGCCTTTTAAGAATTGGGGCACCCAAAGCCACAATCATGAGAGATTTATAGAAGAAGGCAAGCGTTTGAACAATGCAATAAGGCTTTCTAAAACACTCACCCTTCTAGCAATGTGAGTCTTTGAGCTCCATTTCAGGCAAAAAAAAATTGTGCTAGTATGGTAGCATCATCTGAAGAAGATGCCTTGATATCATATTGTCAGTTCTCACAAGCATCAGTTCTCTTCCTGTTTGTTAATGTTCTCTGAAAATGCTGATTGATGTGAGATTGTGTGGCCAAAAGTTGAAAATCTGTTTGAACCAGCTAAAAAAACATTTTGATTCTTCTTTGTGTTGAACATCCCTTTTTCTTTGTCTACAGTGCTGGGAGAATGGCATTATCTTATGCAGGAAGATTGCCGAGCAGTATGAAAGCTATTACGATTACAGAAACCTCAGCAAAATGCGGGTAATGAAGCAGGATGTATTTTGTTAAGAGTCAGTATAAAATGACTTTTGTTAATCAGCAGGCAAAACTTTAATTTCCTCAATGTAGCTCTCATGCAATTGTAGTTTTTAAACCAACAATAATAATTAATGGCTATGCTGGCTGGATAGCTGTGTGGTTTAGGAATCCGGCTGTAGAACTGAAGGTTGGGAATTTGATTTCCCACTATGCCTCCTGAGAGTAGAGATAGCCTGTGTAGTCAGGGCAAGCTGCATAGTTCCAGGATGCCTCCAGAAGAGCAGAATGGTAAACCACTCCTGTGTATTCGCTACCTAGAAAATCATGGAAAGGGTCACTATATGTCAGAATTGACATAATAATAATGATGATTTAATGTATTCGCTAAGGCTTTCATGGCCAGGATCTGATGGTTGTTGTGGGTTTTTCGGGTTCTTTGGCCGTGTTCTGAAGGTTGTTCTTCCTGACATTTCGCCAGTCTCTGTGGCCGCCATCTGCCAGAGACTGGCGAAACATCAGGAAGAACAACCTTCAGAACACGGCCAAAGAACCCAAAAAACCCAGAACAACCAATAATGATGATTATCATTTTTATATGAAGATGTTCATGATAATGATGACAATCCTGTTAATGCTACTCAATATGTGGAATATATGCAGAAACAGAAAATAAGAAAATTATTTAATTGCATTTTTAACTGGGACAATTTGTCTGAAAAAAGGCAAACAGCCATTCATGAATGCTTGCAGTGCTACACTAGAAGCTGAAGGGGACTGCAGTCCGATACCTCTGAACTCTAAGCCCCTTGATTAGTACAAAAGCTGTCTTCTGTATGCAGTATAATTCATTGCTTTCTATAATATTCCTGTCTTGAATTTTATTGTTAGAGTTAAGAATACATATAGGATTATTCCTGTGGTATTGAGCACATTTTTAAAAACTTCTTTTGGTTTGTGTAATGATGCCTGTTAAACTTGTAGTCAGACACAGCTTAATGTGCCACTGTTAGGGCATCAATGCTTTCCTTTTTTGACTACTCAAATGTACCAATCGAGGCATAAGGGTAGAAATAATAAAAAAATCTCCTTATTACGATTATTATTTTTTAATCCAGATTTTTTTTTCTATCTCTGTTTGGAGAGATGACGGAAACAGAGATTCATAGTGGTCTGTAGATTAAAGTATGCTCTACTGGTTGCCTGGTGAGCTTCAAAGAGAATGTAAATCCACAAGGAAGTGGCAGACCAAATCAAATCATTGCTCCACTGGGCTCCATGTTTCTCCAAGGTTTCAAATAGGGATCTTTCTCAGCTGCATTGAATCTGGACCACTGGATTATAGATTCTGGCTCTATTTATTTATTTATTTATCTATCTATCTATCTATCTATCTATCTATCTATCTATCTATCTATCTATCTATCTATCTATCTATCTATCTATCTATCTATCTATTTATTTATTTTCAGCTAAGAAAGGCCCTTGGAATGGCTTACAAAAGTCAATGGCTTGGTCTCACACTTCAAATTTCAAAGACAGAAATCAAAAAGAAAAGGTCTCAGGAGGGAGGAGGAAAACAGCAAACTTGGCCCCGGATCATAATTAAAAACTAAGGGGACCACTGAACTAGTTCTTGCATTAACTAGTATCTAAACAATCTTTAAAGGGACGTGGTGGTGCTGCAGGTTAAACCACAGAAGCCTCTGTGTTGCAAGGTCAGAAGACCTGCAGTCATAAGATCAAATCCATGCGACGGAGTGAGCTCCCATCGCTAGTCCCAGCTCCTGTCAACCTAGCAGTTCGAAAGCATGTAAATGCGAGTAGATAAATAGGTACCACCTCTGTGGGAAGTGACCGTGGAAACTGTCTACAGACAAACACTGGCTCTATGGCTTGGAAACGGGGATGAGCACCACGCCCTAGAGTCGGACACAACTGGACTAAATGTCAAGGGGAATCTTTACCTTACCTTTAAACAACCTTTAAATAGTTGTGTCAGGTTAAGTTTTTATACAATATATTTAGTGATTTGCTCTCTTAAACAGTAACATGGAACACCCTACTTTCTTCAAGATTTTAAGAACAAAAACAAAACTTTACTCATTCTTATACAGGTGATGGAAGCTTCTTTGTATGATAAAATAATGGATCAGCAGCGGTTGGAGCCTGAGTTTTTTCGAGTTGGATTTTATGGGAAAAAGTTTCCTTTTTTCTTACGAGTGAGTACAGTCTTTATATACTGCATTGATGTTTTAATTCACGACAGCATCACCTCTAGATATTTTGACACCAGCTTAACTCAGGGATCAGCATACAAAGTATTAGTGCCACTTTCACCTGTGCCTCAAATAAAATAATCTGTTCCACCTTTAAACTTGAAAGGGTTGGCTAGGGTTCAAGATGTTCCCCAAACATAAGAGAGGAATATTTTTCCACTGTAATTGTCTAGGACCTCAGGGTTAAAGGATTCTAACTCGAATGTGTTGGATTTATGCAATGTCTATCCTTCATGTCTTCATGATTCTAAACTGGTCTCCTTTGTGGCAAGGGGGAATGAAACTGCATACTATATTAGTGGTGCCATGTAAATTTCAAAGCACAGACACTCAACATGATAGTCAGATCCTCAAGTGTGTGGGCAGCTGGCAAATATGTGGGCAGCCAGCTTGTTTCATATCAACACATTAGTTCTATCAGTTTTCATCTCTGTAAGGAACTCATCTTTTGTAACATTAATGGGTCTTCCATGTAAGACCTCAAATACTTCATGACACAATGTAGATGATGATGGTGATGCTGATACCTTTATTGCTATGGGGAATGGGCAGGCACAGGCTATCAATTTCAAGAACTTCTATATGGGTTAAACAGTCAAACTTCAAAGCCACTTCTCTGGGAGAATGGTGCCACTTAATAAGATCATAGAAGAAAATGATAAAAGATGAACAACTTGAACCAATCTATGTTAATGAAGGTCCTGCGCTGCAAGGATATGTGGCCACTGCATGGAGAGCACCTCCGTTTTCCTGGATGATAAGCAGGCATTGAACCTGTGGCTTATAAAAGGCCTTCTTCTGGCGGAAACTGAGGGATTCCCATATGCAATCTTAAGTTTTGCACAAGTCATTATCAGAAAATAATTATGATTCAAAATGTATATGTAGGGCCTGCCACAAATCCAAATATGTAAATAATTGGTCATATCATAGCTGGATGCCTAAACTAGCATCACCAGATTATATGTGCAGGCATAACCAAACTACAGAGACCATCTTTCAGGCTTTAGCAGTCAAATGGATTTCTCACACATTTTCCTGCATGTTACAAATTCCTGACAACCTCCATTTTTAGGGAAAAAAACTGCAGTGCTGCACTGGGACAAGCAATTTATCACTAGTGTGACACAAGCCAGTCAGGGCCTATTTCAATAGCCCTCTGCCACACTACTGTTTTTTGTCCTGAGGCAGATAAGCCTGAAAAAGAGCTAACTGGAGAGGAAATTAAGGAGCCTGATGGAAACTGTGTTAGTCCTAAACCATCCAATTTATTCCATTCTGGCAGTGTTTCCAATAATAACCTTGAAAAATGCACAAGGTTAGGCACCTGGAGCATGTGCCAACTTAGCAAGATAGAGAGTTGCCACCACACACACACACAAACACCAGAAATTCTAGTACATGGTCAAGGCAAGATCTGGTTTTAGTACCATATCCCTCTCAGCCAAAAAATATCAGCTGGTCAAACAAAGTCCATGCAATCTGGAGCAAGGGATTCAAGAACAAGGCAAAGGCTTCCAAAGACTTGTAGAGCCCACTGAAGGCCTTCCACACACACACCCCAGCTATGTTGCTGGAGCCCCACCTAGCACAGCTGTTTCAAGTGGCAAGGGAAGAACCCATCTGTAAGGTTTGGCACCTGAGCCTTCCTGGGAAAATGTCCCTTGCAGCTGAGCATTCCACCTTGGGGCTTTAAATCAGGCTGGTGCCTTCACCCTTCTTTGCTTCTTCAAGGCCTGGAAGATTGTCTCACCTCTTCCATATTCTTAATTCCTGAGTCCCCATCAGCTCAGGCTCCTGGATTTCCAAGGATCTGGAATCTCTAAGGTCAGGAAGGTCCTCCACCCCATCACGAGTAACCCGTTCCTCAGGATTGCATGTGGGAATCCCTCCAGCACTCTCATTGTGCTGAGGTTATGACAGCAAAAAAAATATGTTTTGGCGCTTCAATCTTACAAGCCCTGGCTCCGTTACAGCAGCTGCACCCTGCCTGTCCATTTGATGGAAACTGGAGTGTCAGTTCATCCATGAAGCCACATATGAATGCACATATGAAAACCTATGAGTATCCCACTGAAGTCTAAAGATCCTCACATTTGCTTACTGAATGCTCTGATAGCTAATTATGTACTTCCTGAACATAAGCTGACAATATTATCTCCTTAGGAGGTTTCTTGAAATCATCATTTTGTTGGAGGTATTTATTTTTGTCATGAATTCTGCATTTTCATTGGTTGGATGGTAAAAACATGGGCAGCAATGCTTCCTCTAAGCTACGTAAGTGCATGCAGTCGAATGAGTGTATCTGCCCATTTGCTTCTGTTTACAGCTGGAACTCCATGCGCAAGGGGCGGAGCCTTCACACAGAGCTCTGGAGAATTAGAGGGAACACTGATGGGCAGTAAAGGAATTGGCTTAAGCAGCTTATAAAATGAGTTTACACTGGCAGATAAATCAATTAGTAGATAAGATGTAGCTGAAGTGGCAAAAAGTGTCTTCCACTGAATGATTTTACCTTCACTGGGGATATGGCCCTCCAAATTATGTTCAACTGTTACTCCCATTATGCCTTCCATTGGCTGTGCTCACAAGGGGCAGCGGCTATGGCTAAAAACATCTCCTGAGTTACTGTTGCCAACCTCTGACAATTTACAGGGTTGATTAGGTACCCGATGTCCAGTCTTTCCGCCTACCGCCCATTCTGGGCTCCCTTTTAAAAAAAAGAAGAAGAATCTGAAAGGAATATAAGATTGACTTGAGGCGTGGCATTTGTATCTATTTAAAGAAATGTTTTCTGCTACCATAGCAACATGAAGTGGCTGGATTCTAAATAATGAGACTTCTGTACAGTTCATGCTCCTGTAATTCACACATTGGTAATTGGTTGCTCTTGGTTGCTTTCAAGAGAATTGCCTCAACAAATCACAGAGGAGGACCACTACAAAGATGTATGGTGTGAGTGGGAGAGGGCATAGAGACTTGTACTGTAAAATGCCACAGGCCTATGCAATCTGCAGCACCCTGGATGTACAAAAAAATATGGTATGCAGAGAAATGGCAAGGTTCTTGTGCTTGGCTGTCTACAGCAATTACTGAGCAATTCAGGTGATATCAGGATTTCCATGCCCTGGCAACAAAGGTGGCTGCCTTGTGAGAACATAACACCATGTATACAAACTCACAGGAAAAAGCAGCCACCATCAAGTGAAAGCACAGCCTTGTATTATTTCAGAAAATGGCGGCAGCAGTGGGGGGGAATCTGCTTCTAGTTTCAGGAATTGAACTGTGTATTTTTGTTTTGCTTTGTGGGCACTGGATGGGGCTGGAGGCTGTGTCCCATTTAATCACCATTCTTAGAGGATGTTAAGTGACCTTTGGCCACACTTTGCTGACCTCTAGGCAAAAGCATCCATTGGAGGCTGTGACATACCTGCAAGTAGAGTGTTAAGCCTCCTAATGCCTTCACTGTTGCCTCACATTGTTAAGGCATGAGGGCTCCTTTCCCTTTCCTTCAGGTCACTGCTTAGTAGAATTGACCACTTTCTGTCCCTTTCTACCCATAATGCTGCCACACTGGCTCACTGGAGACAAGTGTTGTCTGGTATCTTATGATTAATATTGAATCCATAACCACTCCACAAGATGAATTGAAATGTCCAGTCATACAGAAGATTTTGGAGATGGTAGAAACTGGGGTGGGGGGGCAGCACTTGCTTCTCCTACGCCTACTGTTGGATAAGCTGTGCTGTTTGTTAGGCACTTTCCCTCTCTTTCACTTTATTGAGATAATCAATAAAGACCTGATGAAATGAAAAACCTAGATAAGAGCATGCACAGTCAATATGTGATTGATCTCTTAGTCCTTATAGTGCAGAAGCAACCAGAGCAGCATCTGTCAGAAGCAAAAGCCAGATTAAAATATCTGCAGGTGCTCTACATGTTAGGGTTTTTGTTTTAATCCTTGGGACTAGCTGTCATGCGTCCTCAAGGATTGTTGAAGCTCCCCTGAAACAGAGATTTCATTTCAATGGTCAAGAGAGAGAAATCAATTGAGAAAAGGGGGGGGGGAGCCATTACTAATATTTTAATTGTTTGTGTACTTACAGTTTATCATTGTATGTCTTATCTGTTGTAGTAAACCACCCAGAAGAATTCGTTGCACTAATGGGGTGGTGTATAAATTAAATAAATAAAATAAAATACAAAAGGAAGAGACCAGAAAAAGCTGGAAATGTAATGGGATTATAAACAAACAGCAAGTACTCTTTTTTAACACTTGTAGACACTTTTTGCACTGAAATCATAAATAAGGTGCTCTGCAAGAAACCAAAGAGCTTTATCACATGCAGAACATAGTAAAAGAAATGCAGATTTGTTTTTACTGAATACAACAAGTGAAAATAGTTTTGTTTCTAGAGGAAGAATTTAATTCTGTTTTTAGATTTCTGTGTTTTTGGAGTGGGTTTGTGTAAAAAAAAAGGTACAGATTAGAGTTATTTGAACTGAAGTATCCATCTGGATACTGGCAAGTGCTGCTTCATTAAAAAAAAAACACTCCATTTTCACATAACCAACTTTGCATTATTTTTTTATTCTGCCCAGAACAAAGAATTTGTTTGCCGAGGACATGACTATGAACGTCTGGAGGCATTTCAGCAGCGGATGTTAAATGAATTCCCACATGCCATTGCTATGCAACATGCCAATCAGCCAGATGAAACCATCTTTCAAGCAGAGGCACAGTGTATCCTTTTCATTGAAATAACAACAACAGCAACAATAACAACAATAATAAGCCATCAAGTCAGTTAAACTTCTGACAACACTTTCCCAAGGTTTTCTAGGTTCAAAATAGAATTAGGTAAGTTTGTTTGCTTGTTTGTTTAAAATATTTTTGCCCCATCTTTCTACTTCAAAAGGACACAAGGTGGCTTACATCATTAAAAGACAATATTTAAAGTTAAAAACAATGAGTATACAAAGGAGGCTTACTTCATTAAAAGATAAATTTTAAAGCTAAAAACAATGCCATGGGACTGTGCCATTTGCCCAAGGACACAAACTGAGGAGAATCCTTACCTTAAATCAGTGGTCCCCAAATTTATTTCCTGAGGTGGTGTTGGATTTTAATTCCTAGAAGACCCAGCCCACTTGGCAAGTAGTAAAAGATTTCTTGCAGCAATCATCATCATCTTAGAACTGCAGTTAGAAGGGACCCTTTGGATCATTGAGTCCAGTGGGGAATTGAACTTCCACCCTTTGGCTCTGCAGCCAGATACCTTAAACCACTGAGTTATCCTGCAGTTCTCATCCCACACATTCTCATGATCTGTGGTTGGGAATCACTGACTTAGAGAGGGAGGGGGAGAGATAGCGTGCGAGCATTTGCCAGGTTTCACTGAACATTGTTAAAAGTAATAGAATCTCCCTAAAAATCCATGTCACCTTCATCAGTGCAGTGATTTTACTTTAAAACAGCAACGATAAAAATAAAATCATATATCCTAAAATCATATATCATGATAGCAACATCAGACATTGATTTATGATGGCTATGTAGCCAAAGCTACTGAGAAACAAGAGGCGGCATGTGAGGAAAACTGTAAGTTTGCAGACTTGAAATAAAGGTAGAGGGGTGGGAGTAGGACATTTAAAAAAAAAAACCAAAGGACTGTGTATGTTTGATGGCCACCAACTGTTAATGGTCTGTTGCTGGAGAACAAATCAGGGGAGTGGAATTCTGATAGAAAGGCATGATTGGAACACAAAACAGGAACACTCTATACAGCAATACTGTGATGTCATGTGGTTTTATCCCTTGTGGTTTTGTATTTAAAAATTCATCATGAGGCATTTCTGACAGAATAATTAAACTTTTAAAAAAGCAAAGAGCTTATTTGATTTTTAAAGGCTGATTCAGACATTTGGAAGCTTTTAACACAGCATTTGCTGTTATGGATATCTGTTCGAGAGTTACGTTGCTATGCAACTAGACTGGAGGAAGTTACAAGGTTCCTATAATTCTATAAAGCTTAATCTCTATCATGTAGTGTACATAATTCTCTGCTACGCTCACCCAGTTGGTGAGGTTGGGATAATCCAAAGACAACAAAAGTTGTGGGAATTATATTTGCCATTGTTCTTGGTGCAAACACTAAGGCCTAATGGAATGGGGCTGTTGGTTTGCTTGTCCACCACTTGTACTGTATAAGTTTTCCTTCATCCTATTTAACTGAAAGTCAACCACTTACTTTTCCTGTTGGTAAAATAGCTTGATCCTTAACTTGTAACACATAGATCTGCAAATCTATGCCGTAACACCAATTCCTGAAAATCAAGAGGTGTTACAGAGAGAAGGCATTCCAGATAATATCAAGAGTTTTTATAAAGTAAACCATATCTGGAGATTTCGATATGACCGGCCATTCCATAAAGGGACCAAAGATAAGGATAATGAATTCAAGGTATGTCATTTTTCTCTCAGTTTTTCTTGCTAGTAGGTATGTGATTTGTAATATATATATAATATATACATATATACATACACATTTATATTTTACATATTATACATATTTACATATATATATATTACAAATCATTTTATATAAAAAATTAATAGGAATTGTAAATGACACTGACTAGATAGTATCTGGGGTCATCTATACTTAACTGAGCTGGGCATAGTCTGAATTGGTATCATTATGCTTCCTTTCAAAAATCGACCCCTCCTGGAATGTCATGTGGCATAGACACAGGTTCAAATGATTCCAAATACAGCATTTAATCAATGTGTTAAAAACTCTATTTGGAAGGGAAAAAACTGCTAAAGGAACACAAGTCCAGAGCCCCCTTCAATGTACTGAACAGCTGCTGGGTTCTTTCAATCTCAGCTGAAATGAAGTTCTCAGGAGTAAAACTGGTAGCCTTTACTACATAAACTACCGGTTGTAAGTACCGTAAGGGGTAGGCAGGTCAGATAACATCTGAAGATCTCATCATGTAGCCTTCTAAGGAAATTAAGCAGTATTTTACCTTTAGTCTTCTTAGGTCTGGGATGCAAATTGTTTGTTATATGTAATGAAGTCACATCAGATTTATGGCAACCCTAACAGAGTATTCAAAATACTGAAGGAGCAGTTTTACCGTTGCCACACTGCTATGAGTTTCCATGGCCCAGCAAGCATTTTAACTCCTGGGTGCGAGCCCACCACTCTATCCACCATAACACACTGGCTGTCATGGGAAGCGAGATGCTTCCTTTATGCCACCTCCTTGAAGAGCTTGTTGGTGAGCCTCATTTCTTCTTTTTGCCATATGGGTGATCTTGGGGCAGTGTTCTCTACCTTGGTGTCTTCCAAATCTACTAGACTACAGGTCTTCTAATTGTGGATAGGGGTGTGTGGTTAAGGGTAGCACATCAAGGAAGGCTGCCCTTCCTGCATGTCTGTTCTACTCCCTGCCACCTGGGGCAGGAGAGTAATATACCATGGAAACAAAAGTCAATGTGTAAAAGGAGAACTCAGTCAAAGTGCTAAAAGCTGCATGCAATGTTATCACTCACTAAAGAAAGCAACTCCAATCAGAAGTTTGTTTTTCTTTGTCACAGAGTTTGTGGGTGGAGAGAACTACGCTGATCCTGGTGCAGAGTTTGCCTGGAATTTCCCGTTGGTTTGAAGTAGAAAAACGTGAAGTGGTAAGTATGAAGTGGGGGATGGCTCTTCCTCACTCTGAAGTTATTTGCTAATGTTGACCATACCATTCTATACATTGTTTTAAACTCAGTGTGGTAAGAATAATGAAAAACATCTGATATGATATAGAGAACAGTGAACTCAGTATAAATAAGTACTAGAAGTTATTCAGCTAATGAGAGAGAGAGAGAGAGAGATTATGTAATAACTTGTGTAAAAGTCAAATATGAAAAGAATAAATTCCAATCTGTCTTATGAGGCCTAGCTTGCATCAGAATTTTCTTTTTAAAGTTTTCTTCTTTCAAACAGTCAGGAGGGAGTTGCCTTTTAAAAAGCCTAGAGTCAGATAATTATATTATCTTAAATTAAATTATATAGTTGCACTCCTTTTGCTCTATTAGACTGATTAGATGAGCTCTCCCTGTAGCTAGAATAATGAGAAGTGACAGATCTATTGCAATAAATTATATAGCACAATAAATTCATGATATCAGGAAGAGTCTGTAACCAACTGAACAGCCCCTAATATGGGAATTTGTTTAGTACTGTATACCTTAGTGCATGAAGACTGATGTCTAGGCACAGTGGAAATTTGGCTACTTCTAAGATTCACATTTTGCAATACAATGGTCAAGCTGGTTGGGAATGATGGGAGGTATAGTCCAAAAAAAATCTGAACCTCACTAGGACAGAAGGTGGTGCTGTGGCCATTTGATAGTGCACAGACAAGTGTTCAAAGTCCTGTTGTGAACTGCAAAAATGCCACAAATCTTCCAAATCCTTTCTGGAACCAGCTTTCTGTATTCCCTGCCTCATATATTCATAGAAGCATTGGATTTCTATGAGTGAGAAGCTCTTAACTAGATGTATGAGGTAGGGAAGTTGTTATGCCAAAACCACTTCCTAGAAGGGGCTCTTCTGGTTATGGAAAGTTTATTACTTATAACACGCATGCAGTATGTTAGCTGGACATCTGCTTATAATTATTCTGTACATCTGGACAATTGCTAGAACACCAGAAGCAACATATGGATAGTTCTTGATTTTGCTTTAATTTAAACAAACAAATTAGTTGCTGTTTGTGAACATTTCAGGGATGAGATTGTCAAGAACCATAGTTAGTTGCAAAGGAAGTCTAAGAAACTGACACATAACGCAGAATTGTGAACCAGTTTTTGTTCTTGATGCTGCCTTTTAGGTGGAAATGAGTCCACTGGAAAATGCTATTGAAGTGCTGGAAAATAAAAACCAGCAGCTGAGGACACTGATCAGTCAGTGTCAGTCTCGACAGATGCTGAATATCAACCCTCTTACAATGTGTTTGAATGGTGTCATTGATGCAGCAGTGAATGGTGGTGTGTCAAGATACCAGGAGGTATGTTGTTCTTGTCCATAATACTTGTGAATAATAATGCATGTTGACTATTTATTTTTTAAAAGCCAAATAAATTATTACAGTATTTAGAAAGCATTAAACAAATATATTGAAACACATAATAAGAGCAAGATTAAAAATACAAGTGAAACATAGAATAAAATGATCCCTTTCAAAAATCCCTTTGATCAACCAATCATTTAAAGGAAAGCTTGCCTGAAGAGAAAGGTCTTCATCTGCTTGCGGCAGAACAGCAAAGATGGAGCCAGCCTAGCCTTCCATGCATGCTCTCAGTTTAATTAAAAGTGTTTAGAAATCTGAATGCCTATTGGAGCTAAGAAACTGTTTGACTGTCTGTGTAATCTATAAAAAATAATGCAATCATTTCATGTATTACCTTTTTATTTTACCCTTCCTATAAAGAGCCCTGGGCAATGTAGATGGCTTTCATTTCCCTTTCATCCTTACAGAAAACCGATGAGAAAGATTAGGCTGGGAAATAGTGATTAGTCCAAGATGAGCTTTTCAGAATTTGATATCCGAACATCAGTTTCCTTAACTTTTGTCCATCTATCTAACTACCGAACAGCATTGGCTCTAGTTAGTCATTGTAGTCCTCATAATCATTTTCAGGAATGATATTGTTGCTAGTAAGGAAGACTGCACTGTTCTCTCTCCATGTGCTGAAATCCTTCAAATGCTTCTCCACTGTAGTTAGCTTTGGAAAAAATTCTCACATTAAAGCTAATGTAAGGATTTCCCCCCTAAGCTTGTTCAACATAGGATGTGAAATGTTTGTGAAGCGTGTGAACTGCTGTTTAGAAGCTTCACCTGGTTGAGAAGACTGTAGCCAAACAGTTGACCACCCCCACTTATAAGGAACATATAATTCCTTTCCCACAATAACTGATTGTCAGTCTGTTTCCAGGCACATTTTAAAGTGCTAGTTATGATATATAAAGTTCTAGACCTCAAGGTATCTGTCCTAAGCTTGAAAATCTGCAGAAAAAAACTGTCTCACATTTACACCATCTTCAAGAGCCCTGTTTGGTGAGGACTTGTGAAAGGAGGCCTTCTCTGTGTTGGCTCCCAGGCTATTTGCCCCTCCCTACTATTCTTCCACCAGCAGGCAAAGACATTTCTGTTTGGGTAGGACTTTGGCGATTAACAGCTTCCAAACCACAGGGTTTTAGCTGAGGTGCTGGTTTTCTCCTTTTTAAAAAATAAGTATTTTTAGTATTTTTAACTATGATATTTTAAAATTTTGCTTTTAATTATATTTCAATAATATAATATTTTGAAATTTATTTTAATATTTGCAACTTGCTATATTTTAATTCTGTTATTTCCCTGACGATCGTGTCAGCTGATTTGGATGTGAATTCTAGGAGAAAGGTGGCATATAAATAAACAAAATCAATCAGTCAATCAATTGGTCTATGTGAGAGTGAATTGGTATGAATAAATCTTTTGTGTGTTGTGTGAGTGTATCAGAATGGGGAGATGTTCTCTTGTAGATACAAGAGAAGGAATAGCCTGACACTTCCTCATACCATTGTTAATCCTACCCAGATTTTTCAGATATGTTCAGCCACTTAATTGTCCTCCCTAATGGATGGGGCCCCTGGGTTAATTTTTTTTTCCTGCTGCTATGCTATGTGAATAAATTAATCATAATTGTAATTACTCTGCAACATGCAGAACCGAAGTACATGAAGTGAGGACATAAACCAGACACAATATGAAGTCATAATTTTATGGTCTGGCTGATAGTAATTGAAACATTTGACTACCCAGCGGTAACAACTATTTCAAGCACTTATAAGCATGTATTTACAACTCAAAAGTGGGCAGTATACAAAACTTTTAAAATATATATATATAAATAATTTCCTTATAAAGGTATGGTAAAGTAAGGGGCACATAAACAAAAACAGCAATGAATAGCAGTATAAAATTAAAATGTACATAAGATTACATTAAAAACAAAGTCCAGAATGTTCATTGTAATAAAATCTGAAAGTAAAAGTTAAATGAGAAAATGATGTCAGAAACCACTATATAACTATATTGTCTTTATTACTGTTCTAAAACATAGCAAAGAGTGGCTGATCTGTTTTCCCCTTGGACTAAATTCTGCTGTACTGGAGAATTTTTAAACTTGCAGGCCCCATGCGTTGCATAAAACTCACAAGCCTATCACAAGAGTACTGGACTAGAAAGGAAATGGCAAATCGTAGGCATAATTTAATTTTCATAATATTCATTATGAAAATTAAACTTAGGAACATTATGACCATGATCAGCATTTTATACATTTGTTAAATTTGCACATTCTTTGCAAATATACATATTTGTTAAACTGAAAATCATAATAGGTTGGCTTAATATTCAGAATGGATTCAAGAATTTGGCTTTCTTAGATTTCAGAATAAATAAATCACAACATGATAATGAGCATGGCTAGCAAACATGCCTTATCAAGGAGGTGAACTGATCACAAGCCAGTGGTGCTCTTTGAGCTCAAACATGGTGCGAGGAAATAGGAAGATACTATCAAGGGAACTGGATTTGCTGACAACTCTTGTAAGCGTGATGTACTTTGATCTAACATGAATGACCTTGTGTGGCAATTGCATTCTGCTCAGGCATTCTTTGTGAAAGAATACATCCTGAACCACCCAGAGGATGGGGAGAAGATCACATGCTTGAGAGAACTGATGCTTGAGCAGGTAAAGGAACATCCAAGCAAGCTGTGTGCTGTCTGTTGTAGCTGAAATTTGTACCTGCCTCCTCTAGCTGAAATTGACACAAGCCTGGGAAAACACATAACATGGCTACATTCTGCTGTTCAGAGGGCTTTGGGATTTGTTGGCTGTTGAGGTGCCTGTGATAGGAGCGAGCAAGCAAACCTAAGTATATTTAGTGAGGAATAGGTGACAGGCAGAATTTGTGATGGCCACATTACAACCTGCACATTTTTTTTTTTGCAGGAATGTATTCCATGTGGCTTTAAGCAGTCTGCGAAAGGAATCAGAAGCAGAACTGTGCTTATTAAGAATTTTCTAAGATTGCTTTATGATACTCATGTGCCATTAAGTCAGTTCTGACCTTTTTTAGGTAGAGAATATTCAAAGTTGGTTTACTAGCTCTCACTGTTTAGATATCCGGCTGTGGAGCCAGAGGTTGGGAATTTGATTCCCCACTGTATCTCCTGTGAATAGAGCCAGCCTGTGTGGCCTTGGACAAGCTGCACAGTCCCAGGGTGCCCCAGAAAAAGGGAATAGTAAACCACTTCTAAGTATTCTGTACCTAGAAACCCCCCAAAAGGGCCCTGTATGTCAAAATCGATGACACATTATTATTAAAATTGCTTTGCACTTTTAACTCTCTAAAACTGGAGATGAGTAATTTAAACCTAGAACCTAAGTCCTTTTCAGAGCCCTGCTCTTTAAGTGTTCCTCCTGCCAATTGGGTTATTCTCAGCCTAACCACTAGGAACACTGCTGTTAACAGGCTGGCAAACATCTATACATGCAGATTGTGCTTTTCAGTCATCAGCAAATTGGCGTGGATGCCCATGGGTCATGATTTATTATGATGGAGTGAGCAATGGTGCAGCTAGGCAAACTTAATGGTTACATGGCAGATATGGCAGTTATAACACTCATGCACTGCCACCCCACGGCAAAAACTTTATTTCTGTTTTTTAAAGGGAGAATTGTGCTTCCAGAACCCTCCAACTTATAGTTAAGGTTAACTGTTATTTAAGGTTTGGGCGTAGCACTGAAATAGGGTAAATACAAATCAGTGCAAATGGTTCCAGTTGAACCGCTGGAGAAGGGAGGGAGCCAGTGAAGCAAGCCTGGGGTTCATTGCAACTAAATCTTGTCATGATCCAATGTAGCAGAAGAGAGCCTCTGTTTGTATGAAGAAAACCAATTATTTAATGACACCATTATAATTTCTGAGTTGAAAAATACATAAAAGGTAAAGGTAAAAAAGACATACAAAAGCAAAAGTTAATAATTTTTCTCCCTTTGTATTACGAAGGCCCAGATTCTGGAATTTGGCCTTGCTGTACATGAGAAATTTGTCCCTCAGGATATGAGACCTTTACATAAAAAACTAGTGGATCAGTTTTTTGTGATGAAATCAAGTCTGGGAATACAGGTAAGTGGGACTAAGGCCATTGGGCCCATCATGTGCTTTATATGGATAGTGGTTAATGTTTTCTTGAGCAACAAATGGTGACATCTTCTGGCTGTTTGGTTATATTGCTTTACTTCCAACTTCATTGGGAAAAATATATACTGGAATGAAACAATAATGAACATCTCATTTCTCCACAACATTTCCCCCTCCCCCCCCCCGAGATGCATTTGATCAGAGCATGCAGAAGTTACTTTTTTTGGACCGCACCTTTTGTCCAAGAAATAATTTCTCCAAGCTTTGCATTTATCTCATATTAAAAGTATCATCAAAGTATCAAGGCATATTGTTTTGCATTTTTACAATTTCTAATATTTTAAATTTAAATATACCCTTAGGAATTTGCTGCATGCATCCAGGCCAGTCCAGTTCATTTTCCAAATGGGAGCCCCCGTGTTTCTCGAAATTCAGTGCCTGTTTCTATGAGTCCAGAGGGTGCCAGGGTAATTCCTAGGCGCAGGTAAGTGAGATAATGAAGCTCCCCATTTCTTATTTGGGTCCATATTTTATGCAATGGGGTGGACTAACTGTCTCATAAAAAACCAGACAGCATTGAAATAGTTAACTGACAGCTGGCGAAAGAAGTGGTGGTCCGTGGAATGGTTTAGAGAATGGTTTCTTGTGGAGATCTGGATTATGTGACAAACTGAAGTTGGACCCAGAGTTGATGGAATATGTTCTCATTTTTCTTTCCTTTAATAGTCCATTAAGTTACCCAGCTGTCAACAGATATTCTTCTTCATCGTTGTCTTCTCAAGCTTCTGCAGAGGTCAGCAATATAACAGGACAGTCTGAAAGTTCTGATGAAGTTTTCAACATGCAGGTACAACTTGCTCCCTGATCTGAACTGGATGGATTTATTTCTTTTTGATGGCTTCCCTAGTGAGGGAGATGGCAATAATTTTAATAGGAATGAAGGAAACCAACAAATTGCAAGAAGGTGCCAAAATGTCATTTGTTTCTACACGTTTTTGTTTGGGGATCATCATTCTTTTTTTTCTTTTTTTTAAAAAAAGATTTCCTCCTTTTAAAATCTTGGTAGTCAAGCTCTTAAAATAAAAGGTGTTTTAGAAAAAAGCTCAGAGTTGGCCCTCTGCATATCTCCAGACTTGTTCCTTGTGCATAATGGGAGGGCCTACTGATCATACGTGCCCTTTTTCTTCATATGCCAGTTTTAAGATAAATTTATTAGTATAGGCTTCACATTAAATAGGAATAAGACTGCCATGGTGTGTGGCCATGATGCAATATTTGACCAGAGTTTTCCAAAGAAGTGTTAATAACCAAAGATCAATGGGATGTTCTGATAATCCATTTTTTCTTTCTTTCTAATATTTATCTCTCTTGTGCTTGTTAGTCCTCTCAACGTAATGTACAACAGAACTGAAATTCTTTTTAAAACAAATAAAAATTATTCTAAATACATTCAAAATGTTCCTTATTTGGAGTTAATTATTAGAGGATTACTTCTTGATGCAAGTAAATGGCCTGAGTAGTCTGGCATACATTGAGAAACTGACCACAATTTTTGAATGGGACTCAGAGAGACAGAAGCTGGAATCCAACTGAAGAATTAAGCCAGTGTAAATCTGTTAGCATAATTTTCAGCAGAGAATTGCTGCTAGTTAAGCTGGTGTTTTAATTTCTTGTCACATGTCAAGTCAGTTAGCTCAGTGGTCCCCAACCTTGGGCCTCCAGATGTTCTTGGACTTTAACTCCCAGAAATCCTGGCCAGCAGAGGTGGTGGTGAAGACTTCTGGGAGTTGTAGTCCAAGAACATCTGGAGGCCCAAGGTTGGGGACCACTGACTTAGCTGCTATATGACTGGAAATACAACCACTGGCTTATTAACTTTCAGCAATTCGCTGCTGAGGTTTACATCAATGGACTTACGATGGCTGATGTTAGTTTATAGAATTTTGGTCATAGAGAGAGTGGCTTTGGAACCTGAAAGTTAAAAGCATTTTTGGTGGGGGTGGTTTCTGTCTTGAGTTCTGATGTAGGAGTAATGAACGTCAACTGTTCGTTGGAGTTGCAATTCTATATCAACTTATAGTTCACCTATATTTATTTTTCCATAAATGTAAATAGTGCAGAATATCATAAAAGTTTGGTGACCTCCTTTCAAAGGAAATCTAACTTGGATAAACCCTTTGGAATTTTCTTTACCCTTGTTGAGAGGTACTAATGATAAAGAGAGATAGTTAAATAACCAGCAATAATTTTCCTGTATTAACCCTCTAATATATATGCAAATATACTGCAAATCCATTTGTACACCTTTACGTCAATAAGCCTGGTAATTTCATTGGCCATGGTAGCTTTTGAGAAGCTAAAATTTCAAAACCCACCCAAGGTTCTCTTGGGATTCCTTTTGTCATAGGGAAACTTTTGGAAGATGTGTAATGGGTGGGCGGAGTCTTCACTTTCTAAAACCACCAATTAAATCATCCTGCCAGTTTTGGAAACTAAAAACAACCCGCATCCCATAGATCCCATGTGTTACCCATAATGAAAAGGATCCCAAGGAAGCTTAGGAACAAGGGGAGGGATTCAAAATTGTGCAATTTCCAAAAATCCACTGCATCTAATGGCATTGTTAGCCTTAAGTGGTGTAAAACTGCACAATAGGATTCCAGCCAATGTGAACCATTCTGTGGACTCTATTCAAAGTGGAAGACATAGGCTAAAATATACTCTAATGTATAATATTAATTGTGTGCAATCAAGTTAATTCTGACTTAGGGCAACCCTTTCCAGTTTTTTTTTAAGGTGGAGAATACTCAGAATCAGATGGTTCAGTGGTTTAGGTATCTAGCTGTGAAGCCAGAGGTTGGGAGATTGATTCCCCACTGTGCTTCTTGTGAGAAGAACATGCCTGTGTGGCCTTGGGAAAGCTGTATAATCCCAGGATGCCTACAAAAGAAGGGAATGGTAAACCATCTGATTATTCTCTACCTTGAAATCCCTGGAAAGTTAGAATTTACTTGACAGAACACAATAAATAAATACAAAACATTAAATACATTATTTAAACATTCAGATTCCTTATTGCATTTCTCTGTTCGGTACATATCTTGAAAAAGACACACTCTTGTTTATCTTGTTTACTGTTCTCAGCATGATGATAGGGTTACTTCACGGTTTGTATAGGCAATAAACTGGATGAAAACAGGAGTTGGTGATTGTGGGATGATGAGAAATATATACAGACTGGAATCATGTATATATGCATCTTCGAATAAAACCTATTTGAATGCACTGGGACTTAGGTCTCGATAGACATGCTTAGGATTATGTTGTCAGCCATCTACTTATCATCCAATCATGTTCTTGCTCTCAATGTTTTGCTTTTGTAGGTCGAATAATGCTGAAAGCCTTTATGTTGAGCTTTTGTCACACTGTGCCATATCATCAATCAGAACATGCTGTTCCTTGTTGTTGTTTTTATCATGTTGTTGGTTGCATCATCGAGTTGCATGGTACTGAGATTTTGTGGCTCTTGTATATTTCCAGCCAAGTCCATCTACCTCAAGCCTGAGTTCCACTCATTCTGCTTCACCTAATGTGACCAGCTCTGCTCCATCCAGTGCCAGAGGTTAGTGCTTCATAACACAGAGATTCTTCTGGAAGCTTTCTGGGCACAAAATGACTTAGATGCTACTGGTTTTTGACATCATTAGTCTTAAGTGGTCATATCATTTAAATTTTGCAGTGGAAGATGAGCCACTGTAAATGTCCATGTGCCCTCACCAAACTAATCCATCAAACTGGTCAGAAGAATTGCATTGATTCTGTAGGTTTCTCTTGTATTCCAGGCTCACCTCTGTTGTCTGACAAGCTTAAACATTCCAGAGAAAATTCTTGCCTATCTCCAAGGGAGAGGCCCTGTAGTGCCATTTACCCTAATCCTGCTGAGCCTTCACAGGTAGGCCATTCGTCAGGTCATCTTTATAGGGTGGTCCTCCTGCAGATGGGCTGCTGTGGTAGAGAAATGTTATTGAATCTTTCTATTGATTCATACATTGACTTTTCTGTGTGTATGTGTGTGTGCTAAAGATACAATAGATCTATTTGACTTTATAGGAATTCTTCCCCAATTAATAATCCTTAGGTGTCTACAGCTTTGGTAAGTCATAGTTCAGTTCCTGAATTCTTATCCTGACTATGGAGATCTCTTGGAGGATACTGAAGAGAGACTGTGAAGGAAGAAACCAAGAAACGTATTGTTCTTGTTGAAATCCCTTCAGAAAGTCTCATAAAGTGAAATCAATCTGCCTACCATTTTGCATCTCCATATGTCATTTCTAATTAACAGGCATTCAATTTATCAAGAACATTCAACATTTCTCAAAACTCTTGCAGTCCACCCCACCTTCGCTTCATGCAATTAACAATGTCATTCTAATGCTGAAATTTGAATAAACATCTGACCAGGTTCCCAGTGGACTGTGGAATTCTGGTTCTGTCAGGAGAATACTATAGTATTTCAAAGGCTATATTACCTTAGAAATTATCAAGGCTCTCTCCACACCCAAGATCTTCGATAGGAGATAGTTGCTTATAGGTTCCCCAGCAGATTGCCGTTATGATTTGTCATAGTCTTCTAATGTGCTGGTTTCCATAATAGCCAACGCATGTTCTGTGACAGCAGCTGCTTGGCAAATGATAATTCTCTGCTCAGCCCAGTTTCCTGGCATGTGCTGGAGTGGCTAAGAAAATGTTCTGTATGTAATGTGGCTTTTAAAACATGCCACAGAGAAAGAATTGTGCCATTTTTGCTCCCAGCCTGCAAACCCTTACTTTGCCAAGTGGAATGAGGCCTCCATTCCGCGCTGCATCAGAGATTCACCAAGGGAGCTTGAAGAGCAGGTAGGCCCAGTATCTGCTGCTCTCCCAGAGGGTTACCTGACAGGAAAATGTCCCAATCTGTCAACATCCTCAGTAGTCCCAGACAGGGTAAGTAGAAACATTTTTTTTCCACGTAACCATTATGAAGAGAAGGACTTAAGAAGTTCATTTTGCCCATTGTTTCATTAAGCAAAATAAAAAAGACTTTATTGCAAGGGCTTCATATTGTAGAATATCACTGTGGCTGAGTCTTCTGTATTACCATTGGATAAACACAGAGAAATGATGTCCTGGTTTGCCTCAGATTGCAGAGTTATTTCTCAGTGGCTTTGGAAGTCCCTCCAGAGTCCCAACATGCCTAGGAATGATTCTCTTTGTCTACCAACTATTGAGGATAATATTGTGATTAATGGAGACAGACACACCCCCCCCCAAAGTACAGAGTAATGCATCCAGAAGTTTCAATAATTCCTGTCAAATTACTGGAAACTCTACTGAGGGCACTTTAAGGTGGTGAGCAGGACTTGGGCCACTGGTCTGTCATGCTAGCTCTCTTCATGCTTCAGATGGTTGAACAGGAATATGCATCCACCTGTCTGTCTCATTCTTTTCCATTTTGCCCTTTTACTGAATGTGCCTATGTCACAAAACCAGGCCCAAATCATATTACTTAATCTTTTATCTGATTCTCATAGTGGATGAACTCCGAAAGCATGGAATATGGTGGTGGCTTTGGTCACCTTATGTTGTATTTCATTACTACTACCCAGTTTTGTTCATATTGAATTAATACACATGTTGAGGTATTGAACCAAGATTTTACAATGTTTGGCTGTTTCGTTTTCTTTCAAAAGAAGAAACCACCGAACTATATTATGCCAGAGTTTTTATGATCCATCTTGTTTTCATGGTTCATCTTCAAGTTGAAATGCCTTCATGACTGCTCATGGAAAAGCTTTGCATACATTTACTGTGAACACTGCGCTTAGCTGTCGCTGCCATATTCTTTTTCCTTTCCCTTTTCCTTCCTCTGCATTATCCCATGATTTCTTGTTTCCATAGATTTATTATTTGTCTTAGATACCTGGCAGTTTTAGTTATGTTTTGTTTCCACCACTTGAACAGTGACTTCAGTTCCTTGGCAGAAGTACTGATATTTATAGCCTTGTGATGTAAACTGGACATGACTAACTGTAGAGTAGAGATGGGGACGAATATAAAAATGGACCAGTATTTCTGAGGAATATAGCCAATTCGTCATATATTCGTCGATCCATATTTGTAAAATTTTAAATCAGGACGAATATGGCTTGATGAATATTTCCTCGGTTTTATTTGTTGATCCATTCATATTCGTCTATATTCGTTACCCCTTTTGGGGGCCTCTCTGAGCTTGCAGGCACCAATTCGAAGCTCTAGCCAATCAGGTCAGAGATCCTGGATTGGCATGTCCGGCAGCCAATAGCGCTGCTGAAAGATGTATCTGCTTTTACAGACACTTCATATAAGCTTTTCCCTCCCAGCCATTCCCCACTTCTGTTTGTGCTCTCTGGAGTGAGAACAGTTGCTGCTTGCTGGCTTGCTGGTGCTCTTGCGGTTTCGCTTTTGCAGCAGCAAAGCAAAGACTTATATTTTTCTTTTTCATCATCATTCATCCTTTTTTCCCTAGGAAGCTGGGCTGAGGGCGAAGGCCAGGTCTGTTTGCATGGATGCCATGCTGAGTTTTTTTTCCCCTGGGCTTTCTTTTGTCTCCTGACCTCATGGCCTGGGGGTGGGGCCTAGGGGTGGGACTTCCTGCTTTAAAAGAGCGTGTCCCAAGACCACGGACACTTTTCCTACGAAGCTGGGCTGAGGGCGAAGGCCAG